CTTGGACAAGTTTTTGCTCACCTTATTTAAATTGTGAGCTAACGGCATGGCAGGTGGAGCGTTACTCTAGTGGCAGCGATTCAAGTTCGATATAGCGCTTTTGGTGGTGCAGCTACTATCCCAGCTTGCTCTTGGTTAGTGGTCTCATATTGACTACATCCGTTAACGAAATCAAATAAACATTCGAATTTGGCGCACAAATCTAATATTTAAACACAACCCTTGATTACACAACCTTACAAGAACAACTCAATATTGCAACATGTTGGTGTCCCCCGAAAACTTCGGAACTGTTGAGCCGGGCGTATACCGCTGCTCTAAACTCGAAGTTGAAAACTTCCAATTCTTGGAAACACTAAACCTCAAATCAATTATACTTTTGGACGCAGAAAACCCGCCACGTTCATTATCAAAGTTCCTTGAGGAAAACAAAATTGACCTTTACAGTCTAGGAGACTTGAAAATATCCAATCATCAGCATACCGGGATGTCATCCAAGACTGACCTTGAGGATTACACTGTAGATAATGACGATTTAACTTCAAATACCTCAACTAGATCATCCACATCGGCTTCCACTCAACTTCAACAACAGCAGCGACAACAACAACAATCACAGCAATCGTATATTGACCCACTCACTCCGATACCCATACTTTCCCGAAATAGTAGAGATCAATGGATGTTGATTGAGAAAAATATTATTGTCAAATCATTTGAAATCATATTAAATAATAAACGACATCCAATACTAATTGTTGACTCCACGGCAACACTTATTGGTATTTTGAGAAAGATTCAAAAATGGAACTTCAACTCCATTTTGAATGAGTACAGGATTTTTAACGGCACGAGTACTAAGAATAATTATTTTGCAGAGACATTTTTGGAGTTGATTAGTATTGAATTGATCCCGTATGAAAATCGAAAGAAAAGTCCATTTGGAAGTAGACGGAATTCGATGAGACGCAAGTCACTAGGCCAACATCAAGCTCAGCAAATGTTGAAAAATCAAGCAGGTGATGACAGCCCAATACTTGCGCAAGCGCAGAGTAAGCTCTCATCTGGTCCAAGCAGTGGTGCTCATAGTACCGACGAGGATGATAGTGTTCTTGTGGATGGCAACGATGACGGAGACTACAATGAAGATGACATTGAGGGTGAAGACGACTACGATGAAGGGTACAGCACTGATGATCTAGATGATATGGATGATGATCTCCTTTCAGCTTCTCCACAAATTCCTGAAAACTTATTGAAGTTCGTAGAGCAAAGAAAACAAGATAAACAAAATCAATTTCCAACAAGCGGTAGGAATTCCATAGATAACAAATCCGATACTGAATCAGCTTCAACTTCTCCACGATTGATGCGCATACCTATTCAACACAGCAGAACTAATAGTGGCTCAAATAGTCGAAGTAATAGTTTTACAAATGCGGACTCGTACTTGAGCACCGTTCGAGGAATGGATCGCCGTAAATCATCAGGAGACATTATTAAAAACATAAAATTCCGCAACCCTCAACAACAGTTTCCTCATAGAACTTCCTTAGAAAGTTCATCGCCCGTATTAAAAAGACGAGACTCCAAACAGTGCTCAGGGTCTTTCTACATGAACGACGATGGCAATAATCCAAAACCTGTTGAATTCATGTATTATAAAAATATAAACAAGTATGATGTGAAGTTTGAAAATGTGAGGATGATAAAATTCAAACTACCTGCCGAGCATAGACTCCCTAAATGGTTTATTAAAGGACGTGATATGTGGGAAGCAAACTACAAACTATTGAATAAAGAAGTTGTGTAAATATACATATAGTACCTTAGCAAAGTCTAAAACACTGTCGTCCCTAACGACTGTACCTACTGAGATTATATCCCGATCCTGGCGTTGATTGTTGTCGAGATTTGTTATACATGTCTTGTAATTTACTCGAACTTCTCTGAAATGGTGGTGGGGCTTTTCCTTGTCCTTGTTCTTGTAGTTGTATGTTAGCATCATTTTCATCCTGTCTCTGTTGGTTGAAAGACCTTTGGGCGTAACTCTTGTTGAATAAGTTATCCTGCCGTACCGGTTGAAATTGTGACGAAGATGAGTGGCCCCGATATGCATGGCCTCCGCCATTATTAGCCCCAGTGGAATAACTTTGCGATCGGCCATATGCCGGTTGTTGTTGATTGGAATGCTGTTGATCAAATGTTTTCACCCCGAGCCAATCTGGATAGGGAAGACCCTTTGATTCATAGTATTTCACAAACGCACGATGAATCAAGGTGTCATCTTCTGTCGAACCATCTTTTTCTACGGGTGACGACAACGAAAGATTGGCAAATCTGGTGCTGTAGTTTTCTCTGATTTTGGAGAAAAAGCCCCCTCCTGTGTTGCTGTGTTGCATTTGGGGCAGTGGATGAATGGATATAAGGGAATAGCCTAATTGAAAAGATTCAAGTGTTGTCGTTTGAAATAACGTTGTTCCTCTGTCAAAGATTTCCTAATTGAGAAATTTCCTTTAAAACGCTTTTGTCGCAATGACGCAATACTGAAATTTCCGACACATGTGTAATTGTTGGCGACACATTGCACTCATCTCCTAAATGGAAAAAAAAATTAGACAGGCAACTCTGTTTTACCTAGCATTAGTATAACAAATCGATCCAACTAAATGCTAGTATTTAAGCGCTTGGAGAAGCAAGTGTTGAAAAATGCAACTGTTACTAATTATCTAAGGAGTCATATAGCTAGACGTGCATTTCATCCCACACTCATTAAAAGAAATGAACAAACAGTTGATCAGAAACTGGCCATAGTCGCTAATGAAAATAAAATCGAAGACACAGTAGAAACAAGGACGCCACAAGGTGGAGACAAACATGACCCAACTCCTTTCATTCCTGTCAATTTTTCAGATTTTAAAGGCAAAGGATTCATCAATAATGCTGTTTTGTCGGCATTACATAAAGCAAAATTTGATACTTTAACACCGATCCAACAAAGGGCCTTGATACCTATCATCAAGTCTGAAAAGGGTGTCGTATGTCGGGCAAAGACTGGTACAGGAAAGACTTTGACATTCATTATACCAACGGTTGAGAGTGCAATCAAAAGGATTACTGAAAAGCCCGATATGCGTGGTGTTGATTCAGTGATTGTTGCACCAACTCGTGACTTGGCTTTACAGATTCGTGATGAATATGGAAAAGTTTGTGCCAAATTACCTCGTTCTATCCAGCCACGTGTATCGATGATAATAGGAGGACAAAAAACTACATTTAACTACCGCTCGCCCAGTGAAATTGTGATTACTACCCCTGGAAGATTAGAAGCCGATTTGAGGGATCAGAGATTTTCCAAGTGGTTCAGAAATGTCACATACAGGGTTTATGACGAGGCTGACAGATTGCTCGATGTTGGTTTTGAGCCACAATTGAATAGTATTAATCGCACGTTGCAAGAAATTAGAGATGAAGATGCACCTCCAATGAAGTCATTGTTATTTAGTGCAACCGTTGATGAGTCAATTACCCGATTTGCTAAGCAGCACATCAATAGACATTATGACTACATCAACACTGTTCCGAAAGATGAACCCGAAGTCCATGAAAATGTTCACCAAATCTTGTACAGGTGTGAGGACGGAGTTGATAAGTTTAAATCATTCTTTGATTATGTAATTGATGTTATCCAATCTGAGAAAAACCCCAAGATTATTTTATTTTTGCCTACTCAAACAGCAGTTGACTGGTTTTATGATTATATGCAAGAAGCTACTCGCTCGCCCGAAATTGCCGACGCATATTTGGATTTTGGAATGTATCTCATTCATGGTAATAGATCTGCTTATCAGCGTAGGAGGGCATTGGAGGATTTTAAGCATTGCAAAAAGGGTTTGCTAATTTCTACCGATGTTGCAGCTAGAGGTATTGATGTTAAAGGGGTTTCTCATGTGATTCAACTATTCCCATCATCAGAAGTTGCTGATTATGTTCACAAAGTGGGAAGAACTGGAAGAGCTGGTGCAAAAGGTAAAGCAGTTTTGTTCACTTCTGTTAGTGAAATGCCATATGTGCGTAAATTGAAAAGAGAGAGGGGTGTTGATTTCCAAGAGATTGTCGACAGTACCCCAAACAAGAAGTTTGCACAGGTGTTTGAATCAATCAAACCTTCTCATCATCAGACTAACGAGTTCTTTTTCACTTTTATGAACTATGTTATGCAAGTTAAAAGCGTTTACCGCTTAGATGCAAATGATTTGATTGAAGACACTGTGAATTTATATCGTTCTTTGCTCAAAGATGATAGTGCTAAATTGAGTATTGCATCACTAAAGAACGCAGCACGTCAGTTGGACAGGAGTATCTTGAGAGAGTACTTTGAACACAAAAACGGAAGAGAAATTGACGAATTCAGAGAGGAGTATAGACCTAGACAAACTAACAAACGTTCTAGCCGTTTCCCTTCCAGGGGCCGTGACTCTAATTTTGGTGGTGATAGCTACAGAGAACGCTCTCATGGAGGAAACAGACAGCAGAAAAGGTCATCGTTTAATGATGATAGAAGGGGAAGTTTGAAAGGACACAGAAGATCAAATTACAGCTCAAAAGGTTATGATTAAACGAACGGACATTAGAAGAGACTTATAGGGTATCCATTTTATTTCGGCTATTTGTATATACTTTTTTTTTTCTCAAGTTATTTTTTGTTCATAGATGAAACCTAAACACATGTATATAGGGGTATTGAAATAAAGATACTATATGTTGATTTTTCGATGATTTGGGCGCTTCATGGTGCAGATTAGTGAAGGGTTAAAATTGGATCAGATATCAGATGCCTCTCTTTCCTAGCTGGTTCAGACAAGACCTTATCCTTTCTATGTAGAGTAGATGTCAGCGGCTTATCCCGTTTGTCCCTTTCCTTTATGGCATGCCTTTGAATTTCGACATTGGTCTCTCTCGTTAAAATTACATAGACAAGAAGACAAATTATAATGATACTATTAAAGAAGGACAAGCGCTTTTGAAATGTTAGGTCACTGCTGATACTTTTCAACCTCTGATTTGACTCGGCAATAAAGTGTTTGTATTTGTGGTCTTGCAAATGGAAAAGTTCACTGTATTGCAGATACATCTCATGATATGAATCTTTAAACACTGAAAGTTGATGAAGTAAGGTAGAATTTACTGACCTTAACAAATTGTTAAAGTTGGCTGATTGTCTTTTCTCCAAGTTCAGGAATGCTGTGCTTAGTAGTTTCAGCTGCTCTTCGATGTAAAGTAAGGATAGGGTCGCATTAGATTCTAGCAACGTTAGCCTCTTGATAATGTTTTTATAAATAGATTCCTGGGTGGTTGCAATTGTTGCTGTTGTTGAGGTGACTGAGCCCGAGCTATTTCCTTCGTTGAGTAGGCAATGATTATTCTTGGAGGTATTTAGATCTTTGAGAAATTCATTTAATAGCAAGTGTGGCAAAACAACGCTACATTCATTAAATGTGTCGTTAATCAATGTCTCCAATTGACTATCATTGGCATCCAATTCTCTAATCATTGCTTGTTCCTGGTTTTCCAATTGCTGAGAAGAAACCTCTTCGTCCTCCTTAAATTCATCAATCATAGTCTTACCGTGGACTCTCACCACGGATATCGGGCAGTAAAATTCATTCCCGTAATGACTCAATATTTCCAACTTTATATACCTTGCCCAAATCAATGGACTAGCGATATCAAATGTTTGCACATCCCGTATATTCTTTGCTGTGAATTGACCCAATTCTCTCCAATTCTGAGTGGGGAATCTATCACTTACACTCACTCGAATATCCTTAAACATGGATGAAAAGAACTCATAGTTTCCAAGAACAACTTGACTAATAAGAATATCTTGACAAAGTTCAATAATGATGAATTTGTTTTCAACAGAACACTTGTTTAGTAGGTATGAATCCTTATTTTCTTTCAAGATGGCGGATGCCCCTTTTGTTTGAGAATTGGTTTTGATAATGGTAGCTGCGCAATCAGCCGATGCAAAATTGAATTTATTCTTGTAAGTAGTCCCCTCGTGCTCGGAAACGGCAATAACTGAGACCGCGGTTACATTCGTAGAAGAGACATTAGTCGATGGCTTTGAAGGTTCAGTAATGTTCCTAGATGAATTGGACATAGATAGATTTGTTTCGATTTTTTGTTTCTTCCACTCTTCAAATGACATGAAATGACAATCATCAATTATAGAATCTGGATGTAATTGAGAGTCATTGTTGGAATGAGGCTGAAGCACTGGTGATTGTAGATATAGATTTTGCATTCCGCTATGTATACTCGCAAGTGATGGGTTTGCTTGTGCTAAGAACACGGGAACCGTATAATTAATAGGACTGTATTCGTAAGATGATGTATTTGAAGATGCCACCCCTTGGTTGCTATCTTGTGAACTTTGACAACTGCATTTTCTCAAATAAACTATCAATAGTATGATAAGCCACGTGTTGAACATGAAAACTGCAGACCGTCGAATGCAATTAGCTGGTGAAACTTGAACGGGATAATCGGTGTGAAGTGTGTATTGAAGAGATAAGTTGTTTTGCACTGCACTGTTTTTCTCCTCATGAACCACAATTATCATCGCACGCAAAGGATTCGTTTCACAGTCGGCTAATTATGAGTTTGTGAGCGCCACATCGGATAGCAGTGCAAGAAAGTAGTGTTTACTGGATTAAGAGGAGCCTTTCACTAAATTAAAAATAAAATAGTTATATTCACCTAATTCTACACAGAAACAACTACAATACACACATCCCTACCTCCATTCATCATCGTCTCCGCGTCTTCTTCTACCAACATTTCTCCGCTTATTATCATCGTAGTCTCTTCTCATATTCTCCCTCTTCAATCGCCTCAAGTTCCTTATTCTTTCATTCTCTCTCCTTTCAATCTCACTCGAACTTAAGATTTCAACGGATGGTTCCCAACGATCATTGCCATTACTGACACTGCTCTCGGTAAAAATCCTTAATCCTTGTTCAAAAAAGATGCCTTTAACCAAGTGTAAATTGTGAATTTCATTGTTAAACGATCCTTCGATAATCTCCTTCTTGACACGAATAATGATTTCATGTAATGCATGTGAGATAGCTAAGTTAAACTCTAATGATAACCCAAGGTCGGCAACAACAATTTCAGCAAATTTTTCGGGTGTGATTTCGTTCTGATTTAAATCCCACTCGATTCTATCCTGATACAACTGTTTATTTAAATTGACTGACAAATCAATGATCACGTTACAAGGGTTTTTGTTTGGGATAGACAAGTTCGACGCATACGAATATTCTTCAATCTGCTGTGTTATTGAGTCTGCAATTTGTGCAATCATAGGGTGTGGCAACTCGAGATCATTGCATAAAATTTGAGCAAAATCTGTGGGTGTAACCAATGTTTGGTTCAAATTCCACACGAAAATGTCATTGACTTTGTGACTAGTAACAGTACTCTCCAAATTCAACTTTATAGGGATTAAGGTCTCGAGTTTATTCGATTGACTGTTCAAATTTGATTCATCTTCAAGCGAGCTGATTCTGGGAGTATTTCTTGCAGGCCCATATTTCTGCGCATCGACTTGAGTTTTCGATTCATTCAAATTACGCCCACTATCCTGACCATTAAAAGGTAGGTCACTGGGGCTATTTTCAATTTCAAAATCATCTACGAAATCTTCAGAATAGTTGATTTGTTGTGCAAGCCTCTTGGCTTGTCTTCCTGTTGGAATTGCATTTAGTAGCAACGAGTTGGTCTCACTTGACAACCTTTTGGATATACTCGATGCCAAGCCTTGCACCTGGAATGATGATGTTTCGTAGTTGACCATATTGAGAAGCCAGTGTGATGAATGTATTGGTGATGGTAAACCTGGGTTATTGATTTATGGTTGTTTCTTTTCTAATTTTGTTTTTTTTTTGTTTTTTTTTGTCGTTTCAAATTTTGGCAGCACTTAATTCCTACCATTAGAAAGAAGTGTAGAGGAAGAACAACTTCATTGCTTCGTTGCAACTGGCACCATTTAACAAAAGCAGGCGTTTATAAACACCCCAACATTGTAATATAGTGAGTAAGTGGTACATCAATGGCTAATAACCCAATCGATTCAACGTCAATTTTAAAACAGTATATTCTCGAGCATCTGCACTTGGCAGAATTAATTACTCTTGACGCCTTTTCAAAAGAATTTCCAAAGGGTACATCAAGCGACACTATTAAATCCATCTACAACCAATTATCCCAGCAGCAAAAACGAAAGCACTTGGTCATTGAAAGAAACATTGACAACCAATTTAACCTTCCACTACGCCACTTGTATGATATAGCACAACAAGCTACAGTTAGTAAATCCAAAGTTGACACATTAGTTCATCGTCTTGCCAAGCTATGTCAGCAAATGGACAAACTACTTGCAAATCAAACCAATGAAGTGAAAACGGAACTCACCCTTCTTGATGAAACCCTCTGTAAATTGGACAGTTTTGATATTCCCAATGATTTGGATAAGGAACTACAAGATGCACTCACAAAGTGTGACAAAATAGTAAATCTAATTAATAACGTCTAATATTCTAATCGTACATTATCAACAGCTTCATTCAACCTTGACAATTCGGGTTCTCCTAGCCATCTCCATATCTGAAACTTCCAATTAAGTCCATCTAAGTCACCAAGATAATAGCTTGATTCCATCCCTCCACCAGGTGAAACCGGCTTCAAGTAGGTACACCTAACTATTCGTGAATGGACCAATGCCATACTACACATGACACAAGGCTCATGAGTTGTGTACACAATCATATCGGTGCACAAATAGCCTCTTTCTTGTTTTCCATCTTTCCGTTGGTTGTTTTCGTTTCGTGCTATTGCGTCAATAGCCTTCATTACGCTGTGTTGCAGTGGATGACGCTCGCCCTTGTTTAGAGCAACTGTCTGTATTGCAATTTTGTTATCCACCTCCTTTGCCATTACGGTCACCAGTGAGTCTGAATTGTTGGTTTGCTCGAGATAACTCAATAGTTCATTCACCATTTGTCGTTCCTGTGTCATGTCGAATTTTACCGTGTTTAGAAATTGGTGATTTGGATTGCCCTTCCAAGTTAAGGGCCAAATGCTAGACCATTTCAAAGTTGTTTCTCTTGTACTCGCTTGATCTCGCGGCACTTTGATCACTTCGAGATCATCATACTCTAGACTCCTTAACAGGTTTGATATTTCGTTTCTTTGACTCTCCTCTTCATATGGACATATAATCGCCTTTATATGGTCGCCGACTTTGGTCAATCTCTTTAGATGTCTAATCCTTGGCTCATCGTCGTAGTTTTGTTTTAAAAGCGATATTAGTGCTTTGGAATTCTTTGGTTGTATGGTGCAAACCCAGGTTTGGAGTAGATTAGGTGACTCGGGATCTACGTCAGTGCCCAATCTAATCTGTTTCAAAGTCCCATACAAAATCCCATTTTTTAAATCCACTTCTGGCTGGTCTCTGTTTTTCATTAGCGTCATTAATGAAAAAGTACAATCAAGCTTTGAACGCTTTGACAACGGTTTTGAGATGATTCAAATGGTAGCACGATAAAAGGCGCGTCTTCAAAAATTAATTCACAAAGTTGTAAAGGGAGGAAAGAAGGAATCAGTCGTGAAAGTATTGGTAATGGAACTGGCTAAACCACTATTGTTGTACATATCTGACACCTCAGTTCAAAATGAATCACCAACCTTTCAATCATTCTTGTCGTCGGTGAAAATTGTTCCCTTGAACAAAGAGTCCAGACACCGTATATCAGCCAAGTTAAGATTCCGAAATGACTTTAAAAAATATGTCAAACTGTTGGTGGCTGATTTGTTAAAGAATCAGTCGGATAATGTTTTGGTTTCTGGTTTGCCAAAGATAAAGAGAAGCAATTACCTTTCTGCTACGAACAACTCGGTCTACTCATCTTTTGTAATAAATGAGTTGCATTCATACAATTGGAAAAGACTTTTTGAGATATTGGGGTCAATGCGCATGACTGACTTATTGACCAACTGGAAAGGCTTTGTTTCAAAAGAGGGTAGCTTAATTCAAATCTTTGGAGATAGAATCACGTATGCTGGGAAGAAACAGACCGCCGGTCCTTCAAAATTGATCAAAAAGTCCTCCATATTTCACCACCTACAATCCAAACCAAGATATTGGGACTTTTCATTAATTAATCTAGAAGCTGATGAACTTGTTCAAGAAATCTTTGGAAAAAATACAAAAGCTAAACGGTTTAGGAAAATAAAGTACTTGGTAAATACAATTATCAAGAAGGATCGTGCCTGTAAATACCACTTAATTTACCAAAAGCTACTACTACTGGAAAAACGTATCGATCCATATAGGACTTGCAGCAATGCAAGCCCTTTTCCTGAGGTTGTTCAATATGTGTTTGTCATTTTGGGTAAGTTACTATCCTTGGAAGCGTGGGGAGGTTCGGCAAACAAAGCCATCCTACGAAAGCGAGTAGAAGAGTATTTGAAGCTCGACTCAAAAGGAACTTTGCATATACATGATATTGTAAAGTGGCTCCGATTAAGTGACTATCAGTGGCTTGGGACAACATTCCAGGTGAGCTCGAAGCAAGATTTTGAAATTCGGCAAAGATTGCTTCAAGATTACATTCAATGGTTATTTGGGACTGTTCTTAAGAAAATTATCCGTGCTTTTTGGTATGTTACTGAGTCCACTGAGGGCGAGATTTTGTATTTCCCTCGTCATATCTGGCACAAAATTTCGCTTTTGTGGTTGGAGTCGTATTCGAGAGACAACTTTGTCAGGTCGGCTTTAATTGGAAATGAACATTACAACTATGGAACACTTAAACTAATCCCAAAGCGAGATACATTCCGATTGATTTGCATTCCATCAAAGAGATTGCCTAGCCTTTTAGAATCTAAGCTAACACCAGAGCTGCAGAAAGACCAAGATGCCAAATTCTACACCTTTCGAGCCAATGTATTACGGCCAGTTAGACTTATTTTGCAAAACAAATACAATGAGCGAGCTCAGAAGGATCTGTGTTACTCCACTACTGCATCTTCCTCCCAGCAAATCGCCGATAGACTTCTTGCATTTAAGTCCCAGTTATTGCAAAAATTTTCGACTGTGCCACAGCTATATTTCATCAAATTTGATATGAAGGAATGCTATGACAGAATGAACCAGAAAAAGTTGATTGAAAAAGTCATTAGCTTATTCCGGGACGACAAGCCAGAGACAAGGTACTACTATAGGAGTGTTGGAAAGATGAGGCGAAACTTAATGCAGCAAACCATGAAACATTTTGCCACTCCTGACTTAACTGATCTAAACCTACTTTCTAATGATCTAGCTCGAGGCGAAAAATCAGTCTGGGTAGATACAGGAAAGACTATATATTTGACCCGGAAACAGGTTATAAGCGAATGCATTCAACAGATTTTTGGGGCAAAGGGCTACATTGAAGACCCCAAGACCCATTCGCTAAAATTTTTCAGAAGGAAACAAGGCGTATTCCAGGGGTTTTCTTTACTGAGTATTTTTTGTGATATACTATACAGTGCAATGGTTGCTGAGAATTTCAGGTTTTTGTGGGAGTCTGATTCTCCATTCTTGTTTGCAAGGTTGGTGGATGACTTTTTAATCATAACTCCTGACGTTGACCAGTATAACAAGGTGTTGAAGGTTATTTCCGACGGCCGGTTACAGAAGTATGGAGCTTACGTAAACGATGAAAAGACGCAAATAATTGACCATACCAAGACGAGCAAAACATTACAGTTTGTCGGATTGGAGATTGAGGTTGATACATTAAATTTGAGTACCAACTACTCGAAGTTTGGCACCTTGTCAACCAGTAATTACAGGACATTTAGCAGCTTACTATGCTTTCTAAAGACGGCGTATACGTCAAGGTTACATGAATACATGCTAATTTGTGCCAGTAATTCTTTCCAGAACACCCTCAAGAATGTCCTGGACTTGCTACAGTTTATAATGGCCCAGTTCAAATGCAAATTTCAAAAATTATCAACTACTGATACATTTAATCCGGGGCAATTCAACAAATTTCTATTGAGCATTATTTCCCTCACGTTAGATAAGTTTGGAAAATGTAACAAGAGTTGTGATTTGGTAGACGACTTTCTTGACAGTATGTTGACCACTCTTGCGGATGCTTTAGCACACGGTCCGCAATACAAAGAGGTCATTAAATACTTGATGGAGTCAAGTTTAGAAGATGTCGGCCCTGAAGTTCCCGGCCCCGTTGATCTTCAGGTTTGAGACTGATTGCAACCAAAGCATGTGATCCACGACCTGCAATTTGGAAGATCATCTCGCATCAGTTAAATATCTCAACTATAACAAGCTGAGCTTAATAGATTTAATCGAGCTTAGTACTATATCCAAGGTTGCAGTTTGTCTTCAGTAATCCATTTGCTTAGCCACTGAGCAAAGAGTTGAGAATGGAAGTGGCTTATATCGCCGAAAATAATGTACAACTTTTATCGTAATTATACAACTATCTCTCATACTAGAATAGTACGAAAAGTAAAGCATCTATCTAATATACTTACTACACCATTCAACTTTAAAATCCAAATGGGTTGTCTGGTGTAGCTGCCGCGAGGTTTGCTCTTTTACCAGTAGCTTGAGACTGCAATGGTGCATTTCCAAATCCCATACCTGTTGGTTGTGTTTGCAATGGTTGAGAGTTGAAACCCTCAAACTGAGAGTTTCCAAAAGCGCCCTGTTGGTTAAATGGTTGCGAAATTGAAGTATTCTGGAACATGTTAGTCATCTGATTCATGTTAGGTTGTTGTGGCTGTTGCTGTTGTGGTTGTTGGTTAAACTGGTTGAATTGGGTTGGCTGCTGTGTGAATTGATTGAAGGGTTGCTGCTGTTGGAATGTGTTTTGTAAAGGCTGAGAAAAGCTTGCTTGACCAAATGATGTGGAAGGTAAACTTCCATTACTTTGACCAAAAGAGTTGGGGAAAATCCCACCGGCAGGCTGACCAAAACTTGACTGCGGCATCTGTCCACCTGTGATTTGGTTGCCAAAAGATGTTTGTGGCATCATGCCCCCAGTCTGTTGCTGTCCAAAAGATGTTTGCGGCATGACTCCTCCAGTTGGTTGCTGTTGGCCAAATGGTGCTGTGTTTGTATTCATGAAACCACCAGTAATCTGTTTGCCAAAATTTGATTGTGGAATAAATCCACCAGTAATCTGACCTCCTGTTCTTTGGGCTGGGACCAAGGGATTTTGGTTGAAACTTGTGGAAGGCAAGCCTCCTGTATTTTGAGTACCAAAGGTTGTACTAGGTAATCCACCAGTATTTTGAGTACCAAACGATGTTTGTGGTACGCTGGCAGTGCCTGTTTGAAGAGGTACAAAATTAGGTTGGAATGACTGCGATTGGCCAAAAGTGGTGGGTGGTGCTTGCCCTCCGCCAGTTTTTTGCCCTGTTGGCAACGCAACGAGTCCAAAAGTCAATTGTGGCTGAAGAATACCTGTTGCTTGAATAGGGATAAAACCTGTTGGTTGAGAGGTGATCGGGATGAACCCGGTTGGCTGTGCGGGTAACAACCCACCGGTTGGCATTGCACTGACCCCGGCACCAGTTCTTTGGATGGGAATAAAACCACCAGTACGTTGTGCAGGAACCAAAACACCACCACTGTTTTGCGCATCCGTTGTTCCTGCGGTTTTTGTAGGTTGGAGCGGTGGAATAGAAGATGTCTTTGTTGGTTGGAGTGGAGGTGCTGATGGCGCTTGTTGTACTTGTTGACTTTCAGATTTGTTCTCAACTGGCTTGATATTGACCAAGTCAGATAAGCTGCCTGTGTACTGCGGTGTTTGTGGCTGAGGAGACGGCTTGAGCAAATTTTCATTTGATCTGGCTGCTGGTTTCATTGCCCAAGCATCATCGTCAATCTTTGCATTCTGCTGGGGTTGTGTTGAAGGCACTTCAAGGGTTGATTGTTGTGTCTTGACTGGAGAGGGCAAAGCATCTCTCGTCACCTTGGATAATTCAGTCGATGAGTTATTCTTTAGTGCACCATTGTTATCGATAAATAAACTGCCAGTAGATTGTTGCTCTGGCTCGACTGATCTCTTTCTGTTGTACTTGTTGTCTAAATATTTCATTACCCTGATTATATCACCTTCTCTCAAGCCCAATGTTCTTAGCAAAGATGGAGAGATGTCCTCCAATATATTTTCATCCATTTGCTCACGCTCAAAATTAAGTGTGTAGCGCTGGCAATTACCCACATCAACTCCACATTCCAAGAAAAAGTCGAACCAGTCATAGGCTGGTGCCCCATTTGAGTCATGACCACTTGGTCTGGGTCTAGAGGGTTGAGGGGGAGGCGCATCAGAAGCATTAATGGCAGCTGTAGCCGATTGTCTACTCTTGGCCTCGGGTTGTGCCGACACGGCTCCTGACTTACTCTTTGATCTGGCTTTCTTTTCCAATTGTTTCTGCACCATTTGTTTATAGTTTTCCAAGGAAGTGCCAGTGATTTTCTCAACATACTCCAAATCCTCAATCGATAACTTCTCAGCGGCAACGGCAATTTTTACACCATTAGTCTTGTGTAGATGGACTTTTCCTTCAACACAGCCCAAAAACTCAGCTTCAACTTTGAATGTACCTGAACTGTCGATCCAGGTTCTAACACGGTGAAAGTTAGGCATGGACTTGTCGTGTTCATCATGTCCGGAACTCTGTTTTTCTCTGTGTGCTCTGTCTTTTTCCCTGACTCTTTCACGTTCATCTCTTGTTCTATGGTGTTGATGACGACTCTCCCTACCATTCACAACTTTGCCCTTGGAACTGGACATAGACTTCCTTCTTGCTGGACCATCAGTCAATTCGTCCAACCTTGATGTACTGACCACCTCGATGTAAGATGATGGAACTACTCCTTGTCTTCCGGTGGTGATATTCTCAACCATCCACCAATCAGCTGACTTTGATTGATTCACAATGTATACTTCATCTCCCTCTCTACAATTTAATTCGTCATCGCCCTGGGCTCTGAAGTTGTAGATCAACCGGCCAACCTTTTTGTTGGATCCACCAGTACTAGGTTGAGATGCTCTTTGAACTTCCTTTAAACCCGCCGCCTTTTCAGCACCCTTTAACTCCCCTAAAATAGAAGTGATGGCATCGGCGACATCTTTGGTTCCCGCATGTAATTCCAATGAAGCTGGTGGGTTTTGAAGCTCCAAGAATACATGCTTCTTTTCACTGCTAACGCTAGTTAAATCTTTAATTTCCCATTGATTATTTATATGCGACGCAGATCTTAATCTTAATTTCTTTGGATTAAAAGTGTTTGGCTTTATAATGATCAACCCTTGTCCAACTGATACCTTAATTGGTCTTTTTTTACGTCCATCAAGCTCATCGATATACCACGTGAAAAACTCTCCATCAAATTTATGCTCCGTATCTGTTGAAGTATGCACTTCTTGCTCCTCTTCGTAATTAGAGCTGGAGCCTGCCACTGGATCTGAGGCGGGACCGGTTGGTCTGCTTGGCATTGGGGGTGGCGCCTCTTCTTCTTCATAATTGTCTTCTATTCTATTATATGAGTCGTGTTGTGATGGGAATGGTCTTGCAATATCCTTTTCTGGGGTGGGAGGTGGGTGCTCTGAGGTGGCCGACTCTTGAAAGTGGGAAGGAGGTGGGGGGAAATTTGGAATAGGAATTTGTGGCTGACTTGTAGGGTAGCTCTGGGCTTGAGGTGGTTGATAAGACAAATTCTCCTGTTGTGACTGCTGTTGGGGCTTTTGGGGCTGTTGGGTGGCCACTGCAGCTGTATCGAGTTGAATGTAGTTGGAAGGGACGAAACCAAACTCTTGCTTGCCAGAATTGCTCACCAAAATCCAGTCTGGATCGCTCAAATCATAGACATTAAATACATCGTTCTCATTAAAGGATAATTCTTCCTCTGTCTGTTTATCATAATCGTACAAAGCGGTAGCTTGCTTGATAACAGGTGCCTATAAACAGTGTGTGTTAGTATTTAGACATGTTTCAAGCACCAATAAAGGATACATACTTCTTCGATGTATGTCGATGGAACCAATCCTGAGGGCTCATCAACGACTTCATCTCCGGTTGCAATCACTCTCTTCTTGACTTTCCACCAGTCGTCGATGTCGGATTTCTCCAACAAATATAATAAGTCCTCAGTATGGATTGACAACTCTTCTTCTGCCTGTGCATCGTAGTCATATAGGGCCTTGTATACACCAATGTATACAGACAGCATTCTTTTTTCTCTTTTTTAGGGGGGGTTTAATGTTGGATTAAATCTGGCAAAAGCTTACGATGAAAACAGATCAGTTTGGCAGTAATTTGCTTCGGGATTGAAATTTTGATCGTTGGATTTATTACAAGAGAAAAGTTGAAAAAGTGTCACAAAAATAAAGAAAAATGAAAAAGCAAAAATAGAAATTTAAAAAAAAAGAAAAAGGAGTGTCGCCTTATTGTGGTTTTTTCCACTACATTGATACAATGGGTGGTACTTTCTGCAACTACTACAACAAGCTTATCTTCAAGCACGAAGCATAGAGGGTGGATTTTGTCAAGTTCTATCAAACCATAATGAATTTCTATACAATCCAGCTCTTTAAGCTGTGGGCTGGTGTCAATTGACTCTCGTAACTGTCTTGTCGAAATTAAACAAGACAGCCTCAATGTTTTCTAGGCAAGCAACAGCTGTGTAATTATAATTCTCGGTAGAGGCAGAGCCAATATGTGGAGTCAAAACAACATCTTGCCTATCGAGAAGAGCAGGATGAACATGGGGCTCCTCTTCAAACACGTCCAATCCTGCAAACAATACCTTCCCACTCTTCAAGCCTCTCACCAAAGCGCTTTCATCAATTACAAATCCTCTTCCAACATTAATAATTCGAAATTGCTTGACCATACTGTTGATCATGTCACTATTTACCATGTGCTGCGTAGAAGGTGTTCCGGGACAAGCGATTACTACCAAGTCGGCAAAGCTTGTAGTATCAGATAGACTTTGGTGGAAAGTTATAGGGAACCCCAACTTTCTCTCTTCTTTCTCACTCAATTTGTTGCGCTTGACATAGTGGATGATCATGCCAATTGATGATAATCGCGCCGCTATTGCTTGACCTATATGGCCAAACCCAACAATCACAACGTGGTGGTTTCTGGGAGAAAGGTTGGATCGTCCACAACAAGATTTCCCATATGCAATCCCCCGAACTGGTGTGGTAACAGCAACGCCATGACCCTGATCAAACTTACCCGATATTAAAGAATTTGTCAATATCCCCGTTTGTGAGTAGCGTTCCTTTCCAAAATTCAGCTCGTATATTTTGAAATTTCTGAAACTGGCAATGGTGTTATAAAGCACCAAATCTGCAACAGCATCATAGGCCATGGTTGAAGGGCTATTTGTTAATATTATGTTTTTCCTGGTCAATGCCTGCACATCAAAATGATCATATCCAATAGAACATGTAGTAATGATTTTCAAATTTCTGGGTGCAAAATCAACAAGTTTGCCTCTGAACCCACCAACAGGTGCGAAACCAGCCCAGCCACAATAAATACCTTCAACATTTTTAAGTCTTCCTTGAAAGTCGATAATGCATTGTTCTATCGTTGTTAGTTCATAATATATGCACTCAAACAATTGCTCAAAGCGTTCAAGCACTTCTCTATTAGGTACCTCCAAGAATAAAACTTTCTGTTTGATAGTCATTGTTGGGTAGTTCAAAATCTGCTATCGAATTTTAGAAGGTAGAAGAGTTAGAAAGTTATGAAAGTGGCCTTTTAGTTTACTTTATATAGACGTTGTCTGAGGTTCACAACCCTTATAGAAACCTCCTTGAATAACCGCGCCAGACATAGATAAATCGAGTTTTTTGTGCGGCTCAAATTGTTCCGCTTCCGTAGTATTACCGAAGCTAACCACGTTCTAACAGCAATGGGCTTTGTAACACCAAGCTTCTTCAGCGTTGTGGCGTTACATCAGAGTATATGAAAAGTTCTAGCTAGATTACGGTCAAGCACTTCGCAAGATACTTTCCTACTAAACCGCTCTTTCAAAACAAAAATAACTTACACTTTATTTTTCATCAAATATATATATATATATCGAATATATAAGCAATTAACCATTCTCATATACAACAACATGCAACGATTAAAAAATCTTTAAATACCCAAAGTCCCTGCTTCTGCATTCTTCAGTACTACTTTCCTTTCTCTCCACTGCTTTAATGAGCCATACCTGGTTCACCCAAGTATTTGGTCTTTAAAACAGTTCCACAGTGCCAACATCTCGATGGTTTACCTTCTTCGACCTTCATCCAGTATGGTTTGTGGGCTTCTTCTGCAGTACCTTTACATCCAACGTATCTGTATCCAATATAAGTTGGTACCAAGAATGGGTCTGCCATGGTACCTTTACCTTCAGTGATTGGCATTTCCATGTCAAACACATCGACACCTTCTCTCTTACCTAAAAGTTCCAATCTCTGTAAACCAGTAGATTGGTCCCAATCTGTTGGAATAGTACCTGGCTTGGCACCAGGACCGATCAAGGAGGAAGGGCCGGTGACTTCAGCCAAATCTTGAGCAGTTTTAACTTCAGTGGTTTGAGGAGCCTTGTTGGCTAAAATTCTAGTCGAAGATAAGAATCTTCTTTGACTAGCAATTCTTAATGAACGTGAAAGCATTGTGGTGCTAGAATTACAAGTTAGTACAATTAATTCAAGTTTGGAAAATTGAAGCGCAATTGGTTCAGATAAGTTTCAAGTAAGTTGCTAGTTTCCTATTTACAAACGCCTGATAAGCTACATCGCACTGAACATAGCTCTAATGGTGCAAATACTCCAATCATTGAGGATGCTAAATTTCCGGGGCTTAAGTCCCATTTTCCTTGAATTTTCTTGTAGTACATTTGTCCATCTCCTTTGATGCTGTAGTGTCTGTTCACCAATTGGATGCTTCCATACACAAACGGTCTTTCAACATACTGTATTGTTCCCTATATGATGAAAATATGATGACTTGTGGTAATCAAAATAATATATATATAATGATAAAGTAGGGGTGGTGAGTAGAGTATAGCTTTGGTTTGGTTTTAGATCGGGATTGATGTTTGATATATATTTAACTCTTCTTACGCCGCGAAATCACCTCATAAATTTTGTCGGTTTGTTTTTCTGTCGCATTCTCTAATTTAATTGGTAAACTTTTCATTGGTTGTAGTTCGAAGAAACAAAAAAAAAGAAATGAAAATACGCGACATATGACAGTATATGACAACAATGTTTGATGCATAACCATGAAGAATTTATGAGAGTAAGCTTCAAGATAAACTACGGCAGCATTGTCAATAATGACCGTATCTGAGGAACCGGTTATACAAGTATGCCTGTGTGAAGCCTGTACTACTGTCAATAAGAGACGAAGGTTGTTAAAGTTTCAAGGCAGACTCATGCCCTCGAACTTTCACAACCACACTCTCTTCCTTGTGTTCTATCATAAATTGATTCATACATGAATGTTTATTGTTTCGTAAGACTTGTATAATCCCCTGGGATTCTCTAATCAACCGACAAGTTAATTCCCAATTGATCCAATGTTGGCAGTAAAAAAAAATAGATAAGAAAATCGTGCTAGGGCTACAGCCCGTAACTGTTACTTAATTGATGCTACCTCATTCTTTTATAAACAAAATACAAGAAAAGTTACCCGCAGGAAAAAAGATTGTTGTTGCACAAAAGCTTTACACTTTTACACTAATAGTAGTGTATTTTGCCCACACTCCCACTATAGTCTCTCTCTCTCTGTCTCCCGCTCGCTCACACAGTTCCTTCTCTTACTAATAAAATTTTTCATACAATTTGATTTTTCAAACTTGAACCTTTTCTCTTGTTTTTTGATACAACAAACCAAGAAGTATGTTTCGACTATAATATATTCAAAGATGCAATGATATGGTCAAGTTCCTTGAATTATAGACATTAGGAGAATAGAATCAGTGCATTCCCATGGAGCAAGTTGGGTAAATAGTGGGGCAAACCGTATTTGAGTGGGTGTTGTACTTTTGCGTGGCCACTGAGATTCAAACCGCAACTAAAGTGTATTACAGAAGAAGCCAAATTAATTCAATTTGCATACCACACACTCATTATGAATCAAGTCACTCCCCCTAGTCAAAATGGAACCTTTTCCTAGTGTAGGTTTACAACATAGTTATTGACGAAATATTTTCCTCTCCAAATGGGAACAACTCCTGTTATTGCATCAATCGGAGAATTCGTAATACTAACAGTACCCCTTTTATAGCAAACATGCCAAAAAAGAGAGCTTCCAACGGTAGAAACAAGAAAGGTAGAGGTCACGTCAAGCCAGTCAGATGTTTGAACTGTGCTAAGTGTGTACCAAAAGACAAAGCTATCAAGAGAGTAACAATCAGAAACATGGTTGAGGCTGCTGCTGTTAGAGATTTGTCCGAAGCTTCTGTCTACCAAGAATACGCTATTCCAAAGTTGTACAACAAATTGCACTACTGTGTTTCATGCGCTATTCATGCTAGAATTGTCAGAGTCAGATCAAGAGCTGACAGAAGAATCAGAACTCCTCCACAAAGAAAGAGATTCACTTCTGACAGAAAAGTTTCACCACAAGATGCTGCTAAGAAAGCTAACTAATTTCATTTGATGTTTGCGTAGTGGCAGTATTCTAAATCACATATGTATGTATGTATAAATGTATACACAAATAAAGTTATCAGTCAATTGAAGTATTGTAGCAAATTATGTTGTAGAGTGTACTGCTGAGTTTCTGTTTGACTTGGAAATGGGACATCGTTTTGTATATTTTTTAATATTTCAACGATTTTGCTGCAAAATTTGTACAAATAAAGATGAGAGGCCAAGTCTTATGAAGTTCTTTTAAACTGCTTAAAATATAGCGATTTTATTCAACAAGCAACAAGCATAGAAAAGAGTTTAGACCTGTTTTAGTCACTAGTACCATCTTAAACGTGCTGAAAGTATCACTGAGTTCTCATTTTCGTGGTAATTCTCAGAATAGGTTTTAGAATCACACTAGGTGACTCGATACAAGCCCAAGAAGCAACTCAACAGTTCACAATAATGCTATCTAAATACACTCCTTGCCCTATTTTGGATTTTCGAACAAGAAGAGGCACGAATCTTACTGGCAGTTTTCAGTTTGGTAGATCAATACCGCCAAATGGCGACATTAAATTTACGAGACGTCTAAACGGTGTGAAACTTGACTCTAAGAAGGTATAATCCAAGACGACAATCGACAAGCACAGCCGTTTATAGTTAGTCTTACATCCCAGGCAATTGAAGACCATTCAAAGCATTTTTTTCTCGTCCTTCAGCGAGAGAGACAGAAAGAGACAATAAGCGCAGAGGGACGGCATCCCATACACATAGCGGAGACAGAAGGAAAGGAAAAAAAAAAAAAGGAAAAATTGGACGACACACTTTTTTGGCTTTTGCTGATCATTGTCAATTTATTTATCCACAATTCTACCACTTTTATAACCCACCTTAAAATTGACAAACATATACACATACACAAACACACAGGCATAGCTTAGCTATCTGCATCAATCACATTACAACCACTCACCATAATTAGTCTTCAATTACTTTAGCGTACATACGGCGCTTGACATTTTCTTTTTTGTTTTATTTTGTTTGTACATTGTCATCCACAAAATATCATAAAGATTTTACGCCCTTTTAGCAACAACAAACTAAAAACAATCAGCAATCATGACTCAGGATGAAACATGGAAATTCTCCCAATGCTTTGGAGATAAGGGAGATATAGAGAATATCACGGAAGCAGACATTATATCCACAGTTGAATTCGACAGCACCGGAGATTTCTTAGCAACTGGAGATAAGGGGGGACGAGTTGTGCTATTTGAAAGAAGTCACAATAAGAAGAAACAAAACTGCGAATACAAGTTTTTTACCGAGTTTCAGAGTCATGATGCCGAATTTGATTATTTGAAATCGTTGGAGATTGAAGAGACGATAAATAAAATTAAATGGTTGAAAAGTGGTACTGATGCATTGTATCTTTTATCAACCAATGACAAGACAATCAAGTTGTGGAAGATTCAAGAAAGGCAAATTAAATTGGTCTCGGCCAATAACCTTAATGGAATGAGCCATTATTCTAACGATGGTGGTGGCATATCAGCATTGAAATTGCCCCAATTGGAATTACACGATAAATTGATATCAGCACAACCTAAAAAGATTTATTCTAATGCCCATGCATATCATATAAACTCAATTTCTGTGAATTCTGACCAAGAGACATTTATAAGTGCCGATGATTTAAGAATAAATTTGTGGAACTTGGGCATAGCTGATCAATCATTCAATATTGTTGACATCAAGCCTACAAATATGGAGGAATTGACCGAAGTCATCACCAGTGCTAAATTCCATCCGACACAATGTAATTTGTTCATGTACAGTTCTTCAAAGGGAACGATAAAGTTGTCCGATATGAGATCGAATTCGTTATGTGACACCCATTCCAAGATTTTCGAAGAGTATTCCGACCCATCGTCACACAATTTCTTTACTGAGATCACCAGCTCTATCTCAGATGTTGAATTCAGTGCTAATGGCCGTTATATTGCTTCAAGAGATTATATGACGGTGAAAATTTGGGATTTGGCAATGGAGAGCAAACCAGTAAAGACAATCAATGTGCATGAACACTTAAGAGATCGGTTGTGTGATACTTATGAGAACGATTCTGTGTTTGATAAGTTTGAAGTACAATTTAGCGGTGATAGTAGATCTGTAATGACTGGCTCATACAACAACAAATTTATGATATATCCAAATGTGACTTCGGGAGATGATGGCAAGACATTCAAAGCATCGTCCAAACTGAAGAAGAAAAAGAGTAAAAGGGAACGTGCAGGTGGTGCCGATGATGATGCCGATGGAGATGAGGATGAAGAAGAAGATGACGATAACGAAGAAGAAGAAGCTGATAACGACGATGAGTTTGATCAATTGGACTCACCACCTAATAACAAGAACTCCCCCATTTCACAGTTGGAAGATGAGGATGACCAGGAAGAGATTATTTTACAAGCGGATAAATCTGCATTCAAGTCGAAAAAGACAGGCCATCATTCATCGAGAAGGAGAATGATGAGTGGAGGAGTGTCTAATCTTGGACGTGATTATGATGATATTGATTTCAAAAAGAACATCTTACATTTATCATGGCATCCAAAGGAGAATTCAGTGGCTATTGCAGCAACCAACAATTTATACATTTTTTCAACTCTATAGATAATTGAAACATACTGTGACGGAGAATAAATTACAAATGAGTAGCAAGCCAGTAGCCAAGACTCCACTGGAAACCTCTACATTTCTTCAACAATGCTTAAAATTCAATTTCAAACGAATATATAAACGTTAAATAAAAAAAACACATTGGCACTATCCTCTCAACTTAGGGGGTTAAAAATTCGGCATAAAAAGCTCTTTTCATACATGTTTAATCCTTTTGAACGTGTCTGTTAATATCAGAATTCCAAAACAAAGTCTTGTCTCCATCGCCCCAAAAGAATGGCTTCGATCTAATATTCTGATAATCATATTGTTGCGGCCACTCATCATCGCTCAAATGTCTAGTATGTTCACGATGATGAGCATGTTCCAATTCAACTTTTCCCACAGGGATAGCCGTTAACAAAATAGCAGGTAAAGCCACCAAGTAAGTCAATCTCTTCCAAGTATCGGTGATTTTTGCCGAATGGTGCACTTTGGTTTCGTACGATTGGATGAATTGGTCGCCTAATTTCTTGTTAGATTTGTAGGCGAGGTCATTCAAGTATTTGGATGGGGCGTAGTGGTGGGCCAATCTACGGAGGGTGATTTGTCTTGACATTGTGTTGGTAAGTGACAGTTTGGTTGTAGTTGTTAGCTGGTTAAGATGTTGGCTCGCACTTTTTTTTTCGTAACATTTTTTGTATTGATTCTATTGGGTGTAGTTCAAAAGTCGTGTAAAAAGAGAGAAGAAAAAAATCACCTTATTATTTTTTGTTTGCATGCTGTCGCAGTTTCGAAAAGGTTGCGAAAAGACAGACAAGCGACAAGTCAGAGTAGATTTCTGTGGCGCTATGACAGCAGCTTGGATAGGGTAAAGTACGTGTAACTGAAACATTTTGATTCCATTCTCTATACAAGATTAAGTCTACCTGAGCTTTAATCAATCCTACTCCTATAGCAACTCTTTTGCTCTATTTTGTAGCCCTTTTTGTTTTCTTTCTCCCTTTTTGCCCTTTATCTTCATTTTCCTCCTCCTTCTCTTTCTTTTCCGCCCAAAGCTCTTTTTTAAATTTCTCAACCATACCAGGATTCAATCGCTTCTGATAATCCGCTTCATTCTGTTGAATCTTGTCGTTTAACTTCTTCAACTCATCATTAAAATTATATCCCATTTCTGCATTTCTAACTTGATTCACAAAAAAATCCAATTGCAAACTGGCTTGTTTAGGCTCAGTCAATTTGGCATCAACATCAACATCACCAAACCCATAAATGCCAGCATTTTCTTTTAGAAATTTCCGTAATGACGACTTACTCGTTACGAGTTTGCGTAATTCCAACGTGTGCAACAATGTGATTTGATGAGTGGCAATAAAGTCACGCAACACTGGCTTATTTTGATATAAATATTCAATATACTCATCATCAGTCAATGTAACCGTTATTATATTGGCATCACCTTGCGTGATCCTCTGCATTCGACCTTGGCCATCATTTTTACCGCCATTGGTGACAAATCGTAACACTGAATTCTTATCGACCCAAATTCGCAATTTAGGCAAAAAGACATGGCCGGCAAAGAATGTACTTGAAGTTCCCTTGGCACGGTATTCGGCATGCAACATACCTTCAAAATCGTAAGGAACGTAACCAAACTCACCTTGGACCAAGTTCAATCGAAGCGGACTAATTTCTTGTAATTTTGAAAAATGGGCATTACGGCAATTGTAAATTTGCAAAAAATTATTCTTTTCAATGGGGTTGATCGAGTTGTCATTCTCTTTACTGGCGTATTTTGTCTTGGTTAAAAGAAAATTGTATCTTCGGGGAGTTGGCATATCTGAGATGGCCAAGCCCGTGATGTCAATATACAATCCAGTATCCATGTCAATGAACCTGGCATCAATATTGTTTTTTCCGTTTCCTCTTGATCTATGCGAAATAAACGTTGACGAGTCCAAAAAGTATCGTCCAAACCTTGTTTCTTGATTCAAGTCAGTACCAAAATCAAAAACAACAGTTTGATTAAATAATTGGGTAAATCTGTGTAAGTCCAGGATGGGCATCTGAACATCAATATCAGCATCCCATGGAAATTGCAACCCATTCCAATACCAAGAAAGTAATGATCCATGGGCGATCCAAGTATTTATATTGTACTGGTTTGTTAGTCTGAGAAATGCCTTGAGTAACCCATTAATGGATATGCCTTGCTTCGGCGTTCCATTGACTATCCCATTCATAAATCTCCAGTCATAATGACTCCCAAGAGCGAAATTTGCTTCCCTTCTCAAAATGTATGCTTCATTAAAATATTTCCATGGATCTTGCTCCCCAAGTGATGTTTTGAGTGCTTGAAGGTAATTCTGGTCAGTTTGGTTGAGCTGAGTTCTCAGTGACTCCAATGATGCAGCATTTTTGGCGCTTGAATCAATAAATTGCTCATGAGTGAGATGTTTCTCAGGAAATAGGTCCCCGCCAGTCTTTGTCAACTTGTTAGCCAATAAAGTAATTTCGTCTTTGACATTAATTTCACCCTGCTGATATATATTTGAGTCTTTTAATTTTGTATGTTGTGCTTGGTTGACATTCAACTGTAGTGATTTCTCTCCTGGTAATAGGAATGTAACTGTCAACGGTACTTGCATAAAGTCGTATAAATAAGATCGAGATAAGACTGGTCGCTTTGAACGCATATTCCTCCCAGCTGGATTGAATATATGGAACCCAGTGGTTAATGAAGGTAATGATTCTTGTTCGCGTTGTATTCTTTGGAAAGCTGTAATAATATCTGGAGTGTACCTTGCTTGCGCTTCAGGGTCTTTTAAAATTCTATCAATGTCATCATCACTCACACAATATGTCTCAGGTTTGAAAAAGTGTTCACGTTCATTCTTCTTTGGATTCCTAACGGTGGTGTCAAAGTATGAACAAGGCTCTTTTTCTGGATTGAATAGGTATTTCTCCAACGCTGACATGTCAACGTAGTCGGCCCAGTGAAAAGCAGGTATTGTTAACTTTTGCAGCAGCTGCTCCACCTCTTGACTATCAACATTAGCATTGATATACCTTAGCAACATGCCAAATGTATACCTAGGGTCATATTTCAGAAATGCTGGTATTTGTTCTTTCGGTGGGATGGTGATTATATTAAACGAGTCATCAGTAGTATATGTGGTTCCCTCCAATACTTGTTTTGTCACCTCAATCTGCTCTTTAGTTTTATCATCTATCCTCGCAGGTATATTTGTGCTGATGTCTTTTTGCTTCTGTATGTACTCAAGTACTGTAGTATCAAACTCAGTACCATTTCGTACAGACTCGTTTGTTAGTAGTAGTTGTTTTAGCTGTGGGATCGGTACATTATCAGCAATATATTGTTTGATAGGAGTGTCATGCACATAAGATGCGATAAAAATATGGATCACTAGAAGGATAAATAATAGCAAGACAGCTCTTGATCGCCTTATAGCCACTCGGCGGAGTATTGGGCCAACCTTATTCATGGTATTTTTGGGGATAGCAGGGAAGACGAAGAAGTAGATAGCTAGAACTGGTAAGTTGTCTGGAAGTAAAATGAGTGGTTGTAAAAGCGAAATCCGGCTTTAACGATATTCACGTAAAAAAAAAGTTGAAATTTGTTTGGTGAATGGTCGTGTGATTGCTATTTGAAAATCGAAGGAAATTGATCCGATTTTGTGTGATAGTTTCTTCTTCTCTGCCAAGAAAAAAATAGTAGCGAACGCAAAAGTAAGGGGAAAGCGTTTGGGTTCAAGGTTTGATAAGCAAAAAAGTTGAAAAGATCGAGAGAAATAGAAGCAAAATGATTTGGGTGGTCAGCGGGATTATCTGTTCTTCTTATAGAAAAGCTGTGCGTGTGTATATATACAAATTCTACTTAATAGAGTAATTATTGTTTTTATATATCTAAGCCTTGTTTAAATTCAAATGGAAAATAATATACAACAGATTTTCTTTTTCTTTTTCTTTTTCCAAATTTAAGTATGTGTTTTTTATTTTTTAATTCTTTATGTTTCAGTTATACCCTTATTCATCCCACCGCAGTGAGTTTGCTCAATAAATCTAAGGGGAAAAAGGAGGAATGTGATTTCTCTCATTCGTTTTGGTCTATTTGAGATTTTATACCAGTGATATCATATCTATTAAACACACACACACACACACACACACACACACACACACACGCACACACACACGCACACACAAAAGATAATATTTTTATGCTTATTTTTTTTTATTTCTTCTTCTTCTTCTTTTCATCAAAACAATTTCAAAAAAAACAAAGACAAAGAGTTAATGGATTTGTGTAATCAATGGGTGCAGGAACACCAAAGGGATAGAGGGGAAGGGGAAATCAATCGTGTGCATACACAAAATTTACACATAATACGCATACTCTGTAGTTGATCAAATTGATACAGTAGATATATACCCACATAAACAACAAAGTACTACTCCTATGTGAAGTGAAGGACAGCAAAACAGTTGCACATCACTATAGGAACAACCACCAGCGAGATGCGTGTGTATAAGATAAGAATGTTGAACAATCCACTTAGACAATACTATTACGTTCATAATTTCATCCTTCTTTTCCACTCGTAACTTCCCAAGTTCTAACTATGTGATTAATCTCTTACTCTTTGTTATCTTTAGTCAAATATACATCTTGCAATGATTTGCTGTGATTGCTTTAATTTTTTTGAATATTAACCAAGCCTTGTTTCTCGTTTCATTTTATGCCAGAATTCAAAAACTCCAACAAGTAGTTACTGTCTCTTCCTACCTCTTAAAGAAATTTGGCTGGCGGAGATAACGGAAAATTCAGTTGCATTTAAGTACCCAATAGGACTTAAGCGTTAATGCATGCAGCTAAGATCAGTAGAAGCGTGTCTCCATGGCCATCAGTGGTATTCGAAGATAAACGTTTGTACACTTATGTTAGATTAGACACATACCATTAGCTGTAATCTGCTAGTAAGGCAACACCTGTTCTTTGATAGAAAAGTACACAAGATTACTATTTATTGTCTATATGCAGATAAATGTAGTTTTATCACTCAACCCATCATCATCACTCGTACATTTCTTATCTTCCCTATTTAGGTCTCTCCCTGCGACTGTTTATCTTCAATTTCCTTTAACTTAGCTGCATTCTTCTTGTCTTGTTCCTCACGTACCTTCTCAGTTGCGGCATTCTTTTGTTTCTCCTTCTTCTCTACCGCTTCTGCTTTCTCCTTCTCCTCTACTTCTGCTTTCTCCTTCTCCTCTACCGCTTCTGCTTTCTCCTTCTCCTCTACCGCTTTTGCTTTCTTTTTCTCCTCTTCCGCCTTCTTCTTCTCGTCCTCTTCTACTTTCTTCCTTTCCTTCTCCTCTTGTACCTTTTTCCAATTTACTTCATGATCTTTAATAGCATGCATCATACTTTGTAATCCAACTTCAAAGCTATATCCACCATGAACGTGCCTTGTTTGATTAACAAAATAGTCCACATATAAAGAACACCTAGTCACTTCAGGATTGATGTATTCAACAGAACCCAGACCAAAAAGGCCCCAAGTCAGTTTAATATACAAATGCTTGGTTGATTCTCCTTTCATTAATTTTTGCACCTCCCAGTTATGCAACGATGTCATTTCACGCGTATTCAAAAATTCACGCAACACTGTACCTCCATAATACAAATATTCAATGTACTCTTTATCACTTAAATCAACACTAATCATCTCGGCATCACCTTCGCGAAAACTATCCAACCGATCTTCGCTTATTTTATTAGCTCTTAAAAACTCAACGATGGATTGTATGCTTGTCCATATGCGCAATTTAGGCAAATACACATAATTATTGTTGAATGTGCTGACAGTTCCCTTCAAACTATACTCATTCATCATAATCAGTTCAAAACTGCAAGGAATATACCCAAACTCGCCTTGGACCATAGTCAATCTAAGTGGATTAATTTGATTCATGGCCACAAATTGTTCTTTGCGGCAATTGTACACTTGTAAAAATGTATTCTTTTCCAATGCTGACATTGATTTCCCTTTATAAGCCCCATTCGATGATAATATTTCATAATATCGCAGTGGAGCCAACACATCGCTAACTGCCAATGCAGTAATGTCGATTTTCACACCAGTATCCAAATCAATAAACCTAGCATCGATAACATTATTGGTATTGCCTTTAGTCCTTTGTGAAATGAATGACGCCACATCTAAATAATATCGACCAAACCTTGTTTCCTGATCCATATCGAGACCGAAATCAACAACGACACTTTGGTTAAACATGCGTGTCAACCGATGCAAATCTTGTATTGGCATTTGTACACTAACATCAGGTTCCCAAGGAAAACGTAATCCGTTCCAGTACCAGCTCAACAAGGACCCATGAGACACCCAGGCTCGTATTCCAAAACGATTGGTCAATCGAAGAAACGCTTTCAAAGTACCACTATTTGCCAGTTGCAGTAGTGGTGTTTTGTTGATAATGTTGGTGAAAAACCGCCAATCATAGTTACTACCAAATCCAAACATTGGCTCTTCTTTGATGATGTTGGCTTCATGGAAATGTTTTGGTGCATTTTCTTCTTGTAATGAATACTTGAGGCCAGAGAGGTAATGTTGATCAGTTTGATTGAGCTGAGGCGATCCTTGCGCTTCCAATTTCATTACGACTTCTCTACTCATGTCGACAAAGTCCTCATGTTTGAGGTGAGTCTCAAATGGGAATGCATTTATCGGTTTAGATATTTTGCCAGCTAGCTTTGTAATCTCGTCTTTGATATTGATTTCGCCAACTTGTAACAAATCCGAATCGCGCAATTTTTTCCGGTGTCCTTGGTTATCTACATTAAAGTGAATAGCTTTGTCTCCTGGTAACAAAAATGTAAGGGTTAAAGGTGGCGGCATAAAATCGTAAAGATAAGACCGTGAAATAACTGGCCGCAAGCTCTTAGTGCTTCTACCAGTCCATCTATGTATATGGAAACCGGTACTCAAAGCTGGCGAATTTGCCAACTCTTGTTGAATACTCTTCATTGATTCAACTATATGCGCCGGATATTTCATTTGTTTAAGTGGGTTTTGCAACACACCCCCAATAGGATCACCATCATCAATACAATAATCATCAGGATCAAATAAATTCTCTCCCCTGTTTTTACCTTGGTTGGGGCTTCTAACATCAAACTGTTGACACGTTTGCTTCTCCGTTTTCAAGATATACTCTTCCAATGGTGACATATCGACATAATCAGCCCAATGGAACACAGGTATGGACAATTCTTGCTCGTGAGTTTGCTGCAGAAACTTATACTCTTCGTTGATATGTCTCAAAAGTAATCCAAATGTGAATCTGGGGTCGTATTTTTGAAACTGTGGTATTTCTTCCCTTGGTGGAACTATAATCAGGTTAAATGATGCATCGGTGGTGAAATTAGTTTCCCGTAAAACCTTTTGTGTTAACTCAAGCTTCAATTGAACTTTAGCGTCATTGGCTTGGCTAGCTCCACTCCCAAGCTCACTCTTTTGCTTTTCAATAAAGACAAGGAATTTCTCGTCAAACTCGGCAAGTTGTCTAGGACTCTCTTTGGTCATAAAATATTGTCTGAGTTGAGGTATGGGTACCCTCTCAACTAAATAATGCTTGATAGGAGGATGATGAATACCGAGTATAAACACTAGACCGATAATAAGGATAGCTAATGCTATCCCTCTGGACCGCCGGAATGAAGGACGACGAAAATACAGGCCAACACGGTGCATGACTCAATGAGTAATATTAGTGTCTCTACCAACGGGGAGAATAACAAGAGGAAAGACGTAGTTGAAGGAGTGTAATTATTAGGAAGAAGAAAATTGGGCAATTTTATACTAATACCATGAAAGACGTTGCATATGCAACCAGAAAACTTTAAATATTTAGCTGTAGCTGAGGACCACTACTCAAGAAACAATAAAAAATTTGAATTGCCTGTAGACTCTTTAGTTCACCTTACCAAGAGAGGGATACTGACTGCTCTTTCAAGCTTTCACTAAATTTTCTACTTAATCGGAAACTTATAATGGGTGAAGTTGCATTATTTCAAAATACTCATTCAGGTGAGGCTATCTAAAGAAAAGGCAGAGTAAATCAGCAACACAGTTTCAACATATTTAGCAAGGAATGCTTTTCAGATTACAACTATTGGCAGTTGAACTTTCTCCATTGGCTATTGGGCAGTATTGATTGATACCAGACCTGTAAACTTGTATTTGACAATGATTCAGATGGTAACTTGTTGAGTCTGTGTAGAAACTTTCAAACCTACGCCAAGAGATATACAACGTGTTCGTGTTAACTGTGAGCTTTACTTTCAATTTTAGCTTCGCATTTAAATAAAAGTCGTACCATATTTATATACTCTGCGAAAAAAAAAACCCCCATTGAACAACTGATGGAGGTTCCTTCTCTCCATTCGTAAAATCCTATGTGCTAGCATAAATCGTAGACACTGTTGCAGACTAGTGTATGGACAAAATCGCACACGAGTAAACTGCAAACGGGTATGCACAGCTCCTTAATTCTAAATTAAAAAGATGTTGAGGCACCTTTTTGTTGTTTCACTTTCATTGCAGCATATCGACCCACATTTCTAACATGGATGAAAAAGAGACAAGCGTTGTAGGTACCAACAAAAGCGTTTAATAGTAAAACTTCGTCGTGCTCGTATTAAAGCGATGTAAAACAAATGTGTCATTTCCATCTACTAAAAGAGGAATTAGCTTTTTGTGATCAAAATAATATGGAGGAAAACTTTTGCATTCCATCGTCGAGCATATCTGTTACCGAGTGGTAACAACTGAAAGCAGCATAAGGATTTGGCAAGAGCAATGAATGAATAAGGCTAGACTGTTGCTAGACCTGTCATTTATTTAAAATAAACCGTTAAGTCTTATTCCTACTGACGCTACTGCATTCCTTCATTAAAGTCAATTCTTTTATGCAACGCTCAGTCTACTTTTGCTTATGTGCATCACTGCAGTCTCTCGTCTAATTTTTTTTCTCTTTATTCATGTTGCTTTTTCAGTGGCTGAATATTGCATTAAAAAATGTCGAAAGGACCCTTCAATTTTTTAATGCCATTCTTTTATTTTTGTGCAATTTTTGAGATTGGCATTCGTAGGTTCGTAAAGTCTAGCTTGGAAAAAAGAAAGGAACAACCTCAGTCGTAACTCTTTCACCTACAAGTCCTCAATAGGGGATTTAAGAAAATTAATAATTATTCTGTTTCTACTCAAGTATGTACTTTTCGTCGGCGTACCACTTTTGCCAACGCTGATTGTGTCTAAAATAATCCTTTGGGCTGCTTATGTATACTATCACTCAATCAAGCTTCAGTTCCATCTTTATTCATTTCATCTCCGTCTACCTCAACTGGTTTATCTTCACTAGTTCCCTCCTGCTTCTCCTTCCAAGCCACTTCAACTTCTCTAACCTTTCCCCTTAATCTCTTTAACTCATTATTGAAATCATATCCACCTTCAACAGTTCTCAGTTTATAAACAAAATGATCTAATCTCAAATTGGCTCTTGTGGCGTCATCACTCAACAAATCAGTTCCGTATTTAACAAATAAATCCTTGGTTGATACTTTATCCAACAAAGATTGGATCTCCAAGTTATGCAATGAAGTAACATCATGCGAGGCAATAAAGTCTTGCATTACTGGTTCATTCTGATACATGTATTCAATATATTCTTCATTGGTCAAGTTAAATGTCCTGAGTTGGACATCACCTTCCTTGACGGTTTTCATCTTGTCATCACCACCACCGTCATTTTTAACATATTTTTCAACAAATTCCGTTATTGATTTATCATAGACCCATAGGCGTAGTTTAGGCAAGTAGACACGGTTTTTATAGACGGTACTGGCAATTCCCTTTTCTTTGTATTCAACAAGTAGCATCGATTCAAATCCTGGGGGGATGTATCCATAATCACCTTGGATTGAACTTAATCGAAGTGGACTAAGTTCATTAAATCCTGAGAAATGCTTGTTTCGACAATTGTAAATTTGTAAAAATGCATTGCGGTCAATTTGACTAATTGATTTATCGCCCTTGTTACGATCGTACTCTGTATCTGCCAAGTAACTGTTGTATCTGTCGGGTGCTGGTTCATCACTAAGTGCCAATGCAGTTATGTCAACATATAATCCGGTATCCAAGTCAACAAAACGAGCATCAATATTGTTTAATCCTTTCCCTTTAGCTCTATGGGAAATGAATGTAGATGAATCAACATAGTATCGACCAAATCTCATTTCGCTGTTTAAATCGTTTCCGAAATCAACAATAATAGATTGGTTAAACAACTGGGATAATTTATGTAAATCTTGTATGGGCATTTGAACGTCAATATCAGCATCCCATGGGAATTGTAACCCATTCCAATACCAAGAAAGTAATGAGCCATGGGCGATCCAAGTATTTATATTGTACTGGTTTGTTAACCTAAGAAAAGCCTTGAGTAATCCATTTATTGAAACCTCCTGCATTGGCGTATCATTAATTATCCCATTAATAAATCTCCAATCATAATGACCTCCTTGTACGAAATCTTTTTCGGATTTCATAATGTTGGCTTCATAGAAATACTTTGGTGCATCTTGGGTATTCAAAGAGGTTCGAAGTGAATTAAGATATTGTTGATCGGTTTGGTTAAGCGGCGATTTTTGTGATTCTAAAGTCATTACTTTATGTGCCGTTTTATCAACAAAGTGTTCTGGTGTAAGATGTTTTTCAAATGGCAAGTCTTCGATACGGGTAGGTAATTTGTTGGCAAGTGAAGTGATTTGCTCCTTTATGTTGACATCTCCCTCTTGCAACAACTCTGAGTCTCGCAACTTCTTTCGATCATATTGATTGACCTCGAATTGAATTGATTTATCTCCGGGCAACAAGACAGTCATTGTCAATGGCGACGGCATAAAGTCGTGAAGGTATGAACGAGCAATGATTGGGCGTAACTCTCGTTTATTTCTTCCTGCTCTGTCATAGATGTGGAAACCGGTAGTTAATGCAGGCGAAGATTCCCTTTCATGCTTTATTCTCTGAAACGAAGCAATAACATGAGGAGGGTAATTTTGTTGAGCCTCTGGATCTAACAAGATTCTATTAATCTCGTCATCTTCAACACAGTAGTCTTTAGTTTCATATATCTTTTGGTCTTTATTGGTTGCTTCGTCTATTGTGGCATCAAAATATTTGCAAGACTGTTTTTCTGGGTTGAACAAGTAGTCTTCCATGACAGACATATCAGTGTAGTCTGCCCAGTGAAAGAATGGGATGGTCAAGTTTTGATGTTGCAATTGTTGCTGGTCTTGATCATTGATATTAGCATTGATATACTTTAGCAATAACCCAAAAGTAAACCGAGGGTCATAAATTTGAAATTGTGGTATTTGATCTCTTGATGGAATATTTATGACATGGAACGAGTTGTCGTTGTTGAAAGTTGTTTCCTTCAACACTTGTTCAGTGACATCAAGTTGTTTTTGAGTTTTGTCGTCGAATGTTCCTTGGCTTGATTGTTGTTTGAGGAGTTTTTCTTGACTTTGAACAAGGTCCACCACCTCGATATCAAATTCGGAAATATCCTTATAACTGTCTTGTCCCACTAGTAGTTTCCGAAGTTTGGATATACTAACATTTGATATGTATTCTTGAAGGGGTGTCAGCTGGAAATATGTTACAACTAGAATATGTATAAGCACTATGCCAAACACAAGCAAGATCCCTCTCGACTTTCTTAATGTCAACTTATGTAGTACCTGAATCATGGTGTCCATTAAAGATTATCAAAGGTTGATTACTCCTTTGATTTGTAGTTGAAAAGCTGTGTAAGTTTAGATAATCAGGAATGTTAATCACTCTCTGAATTCAGATTGGGCACACAGTGACAAACTTTAACAGTTTAGCTTATATAGTGGTTCTCAATGCAAGATTTGAATCTTTCGTCTTTCCTGCTAATACTCTAGACAAATGAAAAAGAATTTGTAAAACTTCTTACTAGTTTCTTAAAAAAATAAGAGAGTGGCTTACTACGTATATATATATATATATATCTTGTCGTAATGTTTCCTCCTTCTGGTAAAACCTTTATTCGTGATTGGCGTCTAAAAAACTAAAAAAAAAAAGTAAAATAAATTAAACAAAGGAGAACTAAAATAATAAGGGCTTAATGTGGATATTTAGATCACGGATCTTGCAATAGTAAAGAAACTATTATTTGTTGACTTTTTTTTTATTTATGTAATTCTGTGCTTTGTTCAAAGAGTTTTAATTGAAACAGAGATTGCTTGGTAAGATTAATTCTTATTGTTGATTTGTGATAGTTTAGTAATAAAATCTCTGTACGTTTTAAATTATCTCTTTTCTTTTGCAGACACACAAAAATTGCAAAACAATAGGGGTTATATAAAGGAAGTGCCTAGAAATAGAGTCTATGCAATGCGCAGTGCATATGAGAGAGAGAAGGCGATAACAAGAAAATATTAATCACGTATGAAGATTATTATGAAAGAGGAATATCAGCCCCTCAACGCAACACACTTAGAAAAGAAGTGTATCAAGAGCAACTTACGAAGGCAATGGTCAAACCAGCACAACATATATACATATTGACTTAGTTATGTAAACTACCATACAAAAATTCCACAAAAAAAATAGAAGCCAGTATAAGTTACACAAACCAACAATGCATAAATCCTAATTTTCTTTTAAAGTCGTGTGACGATTGAATTTGATAACACGACACAAAAAAAGAAAAAGAAAAAGAAAAAGAAATAAATAAATAAATAAATAACAACATAAAATAAATTAATTTTAGAAATTGGAAAACAAACAAACAAAACCCATCAACTCAAGAAACAAAGTTTAGTTGTAAAACCTAGAGTTCGTTGGAAATTGGATGTTATTTAGCTTTTCTAAAGTCACTACTGTATCCTACAAGAGAAGTATAATGTAGCCCTGGCATAACTCACTTATTAGTGTTTAAAGCTTTTTTTCTCCTTATCTGAGGAGAAAAAATGAAAACAAGTAAAACAAAGAAATTTAAGCCACAGGATGAGTTGTACAAACTAGCCATTGGCTATTCAATGAGCAAGAGCCTTGTCCCAGTTTCCCATTCTTTGGCCCTACTTTCACGTTATCGTCACATACACTTCTATAAAACACCTGCAAACGCCTTCAAACTCATAGTCGACCCATTCTGCTTTTATAATGCAAGTCTGTTAAGTATACATTTACATTGGTATGTATTTACGATTGAGACATAAGCACGCGATTTGTAAATCACTACGGACGAAGAAAAGTGTTACATAAGTTTTAACCCCGTGTGTTCCTTAAACGACAGTTCTAGAAGAAGTCAAATCCAGCCTTGCGTTTGACTATTCTGACTACAATAAAGTTACAAGACTTGGTTTACAAAAGCTAGAATCATCCATAAACGTCACACGACAACAAAGTTTGAACGGAATGTATTTTCTCCGGTCCGTTGTCGAACACTGTTTATATAACAATTACACAAACACTTTATAAGATTTGGTGAATTTCTTTTTTCTCTTTTTTCTCTTTTTTATTTTTTTTTTTCGTGCCTGACCCTTTAGGATCCTTTTTCAGTTTCTCTTATTGTAACAAAACAGTCGTATCTTTTGTTTACTAGATCTTTTTTAGTTCAGATACAAGGCTAAAAAACAGCATACTATAAAGCCAGTCAGAGGAAGAGCCCCCACTCTTGCATCTAATTTCATATTTGCGAGTCACAAATTTTTCTCTTTGCCTTAGTGTTTTTTTGAAAACCAGCAAAAAAATACAATATATGCACATTTTTCATACAAAGACCCAAACAATAGTGCTTGAATAGTCTCATTCAAGTTAGGGTCCACCGTGTTTTTTCCACCTGAAGAAAGAAAAAAACAAACGGAATATGAAGAGACGGAAAAAAAATATGGAGAACAAAGTACCTTTATAGAATCGATTTGCCCTTTCAAAAGTTATTGGTCTTGTATATGATGTAATTAACTCCGTGAAGTATTACAATAGACGTTGTGCCGAGAATAAAAAGAGGTGCCAGATTTTTTGTAAACAATCAAATAAAGGTTGTTATTTATTTCCTGATTGTTCTTTTACCCCCTCTGCATATGCTGAGCTTCCCTTCTAGAAACATGCTAATGAACAAAATGTAAAATAAAAACATTTCTTGGCAAAATGAGGAGCTTAGACAGAGTTATACAACTTATCCTCGATGTGGACAAACTAAATGCAAGACAAAAGAATAGAGGAGACAATATAAATCCTCAGATCTTTGCTGATTTAGCTAACTATTCGCGTGAACCACAAAGTGGGGGGATTTAACCTATGCGTATTTAAAACGGAGATACAAAGGCAGATCTAACTAAAACCATCGCAGTTCTTCAACTATTTCACATATAAACTATCAATGTCTGCCAAGTCTTGTGTGTGTGTTTCTTTTGCAACCTCTCTTGAAGAATATACCATCAAAACAAACAGAGGCTGGTGGTGCTTTAGTTGATATTAACCGTAAAATATAAATAAAAGTCTATAAATAAAAACAACAAAGACAAAATAAGATTGAATTTCGAGCATCGGAGCTTATGATTTCAAATTCTAAGTTGTATTCCTATTTGATATTGGGGATCCCTTCAAAAGAAGTTCAACAGGTTAAAGTTAAAAGCCGAGAAGGTTATACATATGAAAGGACTGTTTTTTAAAAACACAGTACCTCATTGCAAGCCGGTGCTGGTGCTTAAAGATAGAAGAGAAAAGACTGATGAGGAGCATACTTTTGGTTCTTCGTTTAACATCCTCTTACCAAAGGGGGGGGGGTCATTCTGTCGCTCGTTCAAAATAATGCCGTTACTTTCGCTCTACAGCTGTCAACCTACAGAATGCCCAACATCATATACGCAAAATAATTACATTGGAACGAGCTATTACTAACACTGTTGGAGTTTAATTTAGGATGGAATCATTTGTGGTAGGTATAAACTTTTGGACAAGGTTGACTAGAATGACTCATATCATGCGTAAGTGCTCATAGACCTTCGTTCTATCCGAAAAGGGAATGAAGTTCCATATGTCGTCAACTAGTCGTTTAAAAACAACAGCCAAAAGAGGATCTTGCCTCACCTATTGGTTGTTCTTTGTTCAAGGGAAAGCGGCGTAAGGATTCTCACCATAGCAGTCGAGGTTAAACAAAAATACCGCTGTTCTAGAACGGAGGTGAATTTCCGATGCACGTCATGCAGTTCATCATTTTTGCGTCAATTATCATTATTGGTGTCTTGAGAAGTGATCAAAGAAATAAATTCTCTCCATCTCTTACCCTCAACTGAGGAACCGCAAATGCTGCTACAGAATAAGTTTGCAATGCATTCACCTCACTTCTTTAGGAGTTGGTTCAAGAATACTTTAGAAGTTATAAGAAAAGACTTTGGTGTATTTTTGAAGCAAAATTCTTTAAAGCAGGCTAGATCTGTAAATGTTCATGTAATTTCCAAATGACAAATTCGTCTAATTGTTCTAGCCCAAACCAAATGATTTTTGGCTAATGCTGTCAACGAGAGGGATGTAATTGAACTGTTTCTTTTTTTGGTGACATGTTACGGTTTTGGAGTTCGGCTCTTTTTGAAAACTAATCTTAAACGCTATGCATCAAATTATAATTCAGCGATTTCCAAAAGCCCATTCATAATTTTCAAAGTGTCTAGGCACTGTTTACGAATGACAAACGATGCTGCAAACGGTGTTCGGAACGACCGTCACCTTTATTTGCTTAAAAACTCAACCACAAAAAGCTGCCTATTTTTAATTTTAGTTCTTAGTAATATATGCCATCTGTCAAAAAAAGTCTTTTGTTCACTGACACAAAAGTTAAATTCTTCGAACCCAGTTCATCGCCTGACTATATAGTCCGAATCTTCATAACGAAGAAAGCGTCACGCCAAAATCTTTGTAATTACAACCGAATATTCTGTAGTACATTGGATGTTGAAAAAAAATAAAAACTTCGTTTTCGACTTGACAAAGTCTGAGCGGATGTTCGTAAATTACAATTTCGGACCAAGTTTTAAATAAAGCAACAGAGTACATGAGCTCGAACAATAGAATGCCGCCACGTACTGTCATCACTTTTGTACTAGCTGGCTCATACACGCTCCAATATAGCTTACCAATGGCAGTATTATCTCGAGTCTCACTGGTGAAGTTCGCTTACTACTAACCATGCTGTTTTGACTGACAAAACAGCCACCAAACGGCTCCGAGAGTTCACCGAAAACTTCCTTAGTCCACAGTAGATTCTGATATTCTCCAGAAGAGAGCTAACGTAGTGTTAGATTAGTGTAGAGTCCAATCCAACGCTATGATCAACCAAAGTTACACTGTTAACAAATTTGCACCTGGTAGAGTTGAATCATAATAAGTAGCCAGCAGTTATCGGTAATTGTAAAAGTCAAATTACACAAAACAGTCAATGCACACCAAAAAGTTTTGTTTTACTCAAAACGGAGAAAAAACAAAAACAAAACGAACACATACACATTTTCAAATCGATTATCCTTGCAGATGAAATCCACCACCCGAACGGAAATAGGGGCAGAGAAGTTGCCAGAGTCGCTCAGAAACATTGTCATCCACCGTGGTTTGCTCAAAGAAGTTATATCTCTCAAATATGAGCTACTAAATTGAGTTTTCAGCGCGTTCGCAAAGGCCATTTCCTCGAAGTTTGCCTTTGCTTACCTTTTTGACGGAAAGAAGACTATACCCGAGGTTAAAATTTTTTGTGTCTTCTGAAATTTTCTATAATAAAATGTGCGACGTTTTTTAGAATTCTGGGGAAAAGTTAATTTTTTTATTGTGTAAAGAACAATAAAATACACGTCCTTAGCCAATGAGAATTAAGTAAATGGTAATACATTACCAGCAAAGTAAGAGAGCCACAGCCTAAAATTATCGTAAATAGTTATAGTAGTTCTACACGTGTGGTGGTTCTAAGATTGACTGTGGATCTATTTAGAGATTGACTTTATAGAACTGATCCATCGTGGAAACTTCTACTACTATATGACCCTTACATGTAGAACAACAATTGCTCATACAGGAAAAGGTCATCAGCTTGCCACCTCGATCTGTGTAGATGCATGCTTTTGCTAACTGTACTAAAGAGTGCAAATGTAACATAATAGTTGTGGCATGATTAAATAGATGCGTGTTTTTGGTTACTAATTAATTCCATGGTCTGGATCTTCTCCCTTGATTGATAATCAGAAAAAATATAAGGCCTCCTACATTAAACGGCCAAAACTGACTTTTTTGTGCCGCACACTACCCTATTTCATAGTGTCTCCACTAATAAAATACATAGTAAAAATAATCATGACAATAGGCAACCATGCATTTTCTTAATAAAGGAATTCCCCTCTCCCGCTCCCCTTGTGGTCTATATTTATTATTTTTCCTTCTTTTTCTCCATCTATATAAATATCCCTCGAAATCCCTCACCCAGTCGAATTCAAAATAATTCTGCTTATTTCATTTTCCTTTTACCCTCATCATTAGATAATCAGAAAAACTATTAAGCGTTATCACAATGGCTCCAGTATTCACTAACTCACAAGGTAACCCAATTCCAGAACCATTCGCCACTCAAAGAATTGGTAAACACGGTCCTTTGTTGTTGCAAGATGTCAACTTGATTGACAACTTGGCCCACTTTGACAGAGAGAGAATCCCCGAAAGAGTTGTCCACGCTAAAGGTTCCGGTGCTTACGGTGTATTCGAAGTTACCGACGATATCACGGATTTGTGTGCTGCTAAATTTTTGGACACTGTTGGTAAAAAGACCAAGATTTTCACTAGATTCTCCACGGTTGGTGGTGAAGCTGGTTCAGCTGACTCCGCTAGAGACCCAAGAGGTTTTGCCACCAAGTTTTACACTGAAGAAGGTATCTTAGATTTGGTTTACAACAATACCCCAATCTTTTTCATTAGAGACCCATCCAAGTTCCCACACTTTATCCACACCCAAAAGAGAAACCCAGAAACTCACTTGAAAGATGCCAACATGTTCTGGGACTACTTGACTTCAAACCCTGAATCAGTCCACCAAGTTTGTTTCTTGTTCAGTGACAGAGGTACTCCAGCTTCGTACAGAAACATGCACGGTTTCTCTGGTCACACATACAAATGGGCCAACGCCAAGGGTGAATGGCACTATGTCCAAGTCCACTTTTTGACTGATCAAGGTATCAAGACTTTGACCAACGAAGAAGCTGGTGCATTGGCTGGATCTAACCCAGATTTTGCTCAAGAAGATTTGTTCAAGAATATTGCTGCTGGTAACTACCCATCATGGACCTGTTATGTCCAAACCATGACTGAAGAACAAGCCAAGAAGGCTCCATTCTCCGTCTTTGACTTGACCAAGGTCTGGCCACACAAGGACTTCCCATTGAGAAGATTTGGTAAATTCACTTTGAACGAAAACCCAAAGAACTACTTTGCTGAAGTTGAACAAGCTGCTTTCTCACCAGCCAACACTGTTCCATCAATGCAACCATCAGCTGATCCAGTATTGCAATCAAGATTGTTCTCATACACTGATACTCAAAGACACAGATTGGGTACCAACTATGTCCAAATCCCAGTCAACTCACCATTGCACGGTACTGTTTATGCTCCAAATGTTAGAGATGGTGCTATGACCGTTAACGGTAACCTTGGTGCCACTCCAAATTACTTGGCTTCAAACGTTCCAGTTGAATTCAAACAAGCATCATTGCAAGAAGATCAAGAAGTCTGGGAAGGTGCTGCTACTCCATTCCACTGGAAAGCTACTCCATACGAATGGGAACAACCATCTCAATTCTGGAAAGTTTTGGCCAGATACCCAGGTCAACAAGAACACTTGGCTCACAACATTGCTGTCCATGCTGCTAACGCCAAACCAGAAATCCAAGATAGAGTATTCAAATACTTTGGTGGTGTAAGCCCTGAATTGGAAGCTTTGATCAAGAAGGAAGTTTTCGAATTGAGCCCAAGAAAATAAACCTGGTGTGTTAGTTTACAACGTTGAGTATGTAAATTAGGTATATAATTATTTATGTTTAAGAAAATGAATTAATATTGATTAGACAAAGTGTAGAGTCGAAGTTCTTTATCCCGTATCCTGTATATTTTATTGATCTGTTGACACTATTTTCCCCTATCAAACTGTAGATAATGTAATTCCGAAAACCCAGTATTTCTCTCTAAAGCTTAGTTGTGTTGCACGATGGACATGCACAACCTGATCCACATTTGCACAAGCTTCCACAACATTTTCCTTTATTTGGCGAAGAAGCTAAGCTAGCACCAGCGGCTGAGGCATCAGTAGATGCTTTGATTGTTGACGCACTGCTTGGTCCGCAACAAGAATTTGATTGATTACCACCACACATAATAGAATTTTGAATAAGAGTATTGGAATTTGTAAATGAAATCAGACTAAGGAAAAGAACTATTTTTTAAATGAATTAAAATTTTGGATAAATGATGTTCCATTATATATATATATCAAGGAATACTTTATTATCTGGGGTGAACTGATTTTTTTTTTTTTTTGTAATGTTTTGGCGCATATAATTACTTGAATTGGAAGGAACAAGTTCCGCTTTCCCCAGTGTTGCATCTATAAAGTACGCGCTAAGTAAAAGAAAAATCAAGTTTGTGTATCAGGGTGGGGGAGGATTGTAAGGAAGGCACAAAGAATATAGCTTATGAGCTGGTTCGAAATGCAAAGGAAAGAAAGGTTTTGGTTAACGAATCATCAATAGCAAGATGTATGTTAGTAATCCACGTTACCGTTTATATATCTTTCAAGTCCCATTTATAAATAGTATTATACACACTCTACCCGACGAAGATTCAATCATCAAAGGGCCACCCTTCTATAAAACTCTACCACCAACGTAGACTCTATATCGTATCTACTCCATCCAGCTGCAGTGATGTTAATTTACCAAAATATTTCCAGTGCGAAAACCAAGCAAACACGATACCCAACAAACTGCCAAACGCAATATCAAAGAAATGATGACGATAGTCTTGAGTTCTGCTAAGTGCAATATATGCAGCAAATACAATAGGCAATCCGCTCACTAGCAATAACCCCATTCTATGTTTCTCTCTCGTCAAAACTTGCAATTGGCCAATATACCATAATGACAAGTACAACAATCCACCAAATGCCATCGACGAATGTCCCAGTGGTGTTGACTTGAGTCCATCAGACAAGTACATATCCCCCAAAGGCGAAGTACAAACACCAATATCGACCAACATATCTAATGGCGTTTGTGGCTTTGGACCACATCGGGCAATGAAATCGGGGCGTGGATTACCAATCCAGCATTTAAGAATATCAGTCAATACTGAAACCGATGACACACTAAACAATAACCCAAGAAGCGAAAGTTGAATAAGATGTAATTTATCGACATTGGTAGGGGCAATAAACAATGACGTTATAATGATGATGACACTCGGGATAAGTGTCGAATACACATATAGTTGATCGTCAGTGACACGTTGTTGTGTAGCAAATGGATGTAATATTCTAGGGTCGTTGATGTAAAATTGACGATGAAAGGGCTCCCAATGCTCAACAACTTGGAAAAAGATGTATATTAGTAATATGACAGTTATCCAATCGGGAATATACGATTTAAACCTGGCTGATGTAAAGTATAGTTGCAGCATAATGGATAAAAAGTTGTCGGATTGGCCAGCGCTGTGGGTGGAATTTTATATGTGAATGGTGCTCAATTGTGTCTATATATGTCTAATGCAAAGGAGCGGCTGATTTGTTATCGATGGTCTTGTGGTTGAAGGTTTTTGCCCTGAACACGTTTTTAAAAAAATGCGACATTTTATTTTTAGCAAATCTAGAAACTATAATAGTTAAGGAGAGAGGGCCCTGTCACCAGCAGTTAAAGCATAAACTGTTCCTGAAAGAGTGAAGCAATCCGCCTTCAGTGATATTTGATCCTTCCTATCAGCTTTTGGGTTCTGCTTGTCTTTTTGAGGCAAAAGCACAACCTCCTCCCCATTTCTGAGCTGGGTTTTAGCAGGCAGTGTCCTCGCTTTTCTACATAAAATCCAGTCCTAGTGTTAATATTATCCATGAAGAGTTCCGCCACTGGTAACTGACGTGGGCATTGCTACAATGTGAATCCGTTCATCAAATAGCAATATCTCATATGTAACTTTTAAGGCCGATTCTTTGCATCGAGAGCAGCCAAACCATCCGTTGAAGAAAAGTATTTACAAGATCCGACCTGCAGCCCAGCAATAAACCTAATAGTAAAGGAAACAGAGATTGTAAGCACTGGCTAACCCATTGTTGATAAACAGTTGCAAAATCGGATCGAAGGCAAAGAAAATTATTTTAAGTGTGGCTTTGAGACATTCTGTGCTATAAATAGCAAAGTGTTGGTGAAACGAGAAGGCTGGGTTTCGTCACGCGTGAATCTGTTTCCAGTGTCATTTTACTTGCACTGCGGCTCATTCAGTGTGGGCTGGTCACGTAATCTTTTTTTCGACCCATTGTTGTTTACCCATCGTAATTTTACCAAAACAATAAACATCGTTTAAATTTTGTTAGTTTTGTCACTGTGTGGAAAATCGGCATTAAAAAGGAAAGTTTTCTGTAAAAAAAACCACTCCACGCTTTTGTTATTTTATTTCCAAAAATAGCAATCCGAATTACCCACGAGCATGTAGCCGGAAAAAGTCATGTTCCATTTCGTTTTTGCGCCATAGTTAATAACTACGGGCGATTTATATAAAAGGGATTGGGTTGGACCCGTTTTTCTTGTTTGAAGGTTTTTCTTGTTTGAAGGTTTTTCTTGTTTGAAGGCTTTTCGAGTGAAGTGCATTTTATTTTAAACCGTATACCCATTTCTTACAACAATTAGTACACAAATCATGGCAGACATTCTTTCAGCAGTTGGTGGTATTGTATCCGCCGGTCTCGGGGTAGCAAACACAATCACTTCAAAAGCCGAAGGTCTTTTCGTTACAGTCACATCTGGTGCTGACGGTGCTTGGCACACTGCAACTAGTGGTGTTGTTGTTGAATTCAACTCGCTTACTTCAGAAGGCGGTCAAGGGTATCAAATAGTCACTTCAAATGCCGAAGGTATTGCTAGCACGATTACGCAAGGTGCTGTTTCTCAATTTTCATTGGTTACTAGTGGTGGAGCAGCACGTGTGGATTCATTGACTGGTGGTGGTAGCAGTTCAGAAACTAGTACCGCTTCAACTGGCGGCAGCGAGGAATCTGGCTCATCTTCAACCTCGGAATCGCCTTCAAGCTCTGGCTCATCATCAGAATCAGGTTCATCCAAATCCTCTTCAGGAGCTGGTGCTTCAAAAACATCTAAATCATCAGAAGAGTCAAGTGCTTCGAGTTCTACTGGCTCTTCGTCTTCGTCATCTTCAAGCGCTGCTTCACCAAGCAACATTGATTCAATGAAGCATTGGAAAAAGACTTTAGTCGTGGGAGCCTTGGTTGGTGTTTCGTTTGTTGCTACTGTTTTGTAAGATAAAAGTAATTTTGATGTATTAGAGATTTAATAAACATTTGTTCTTTGGAAGAGATGTAGGTAGTGCTGAGCACCTTCCCAAGATGAATACCAATTGGACAACAGCTTCAGGCTTTAGTATAGGGTCGCTTGAGGCAACAAAGACGAAGAATTGCTGATGTAAGTTCAGATGTTGGGGGTGTCAGCTACATCGATTCGGAAAAAGCTTCAAGAATCACTGATGGATTACTCCCTCTCTGATGAGCCTAATACAATGCAGCAGCAACTTTTGCTCTCACTTTAACTACAGCTAACTTGTAGCGCAAAGCTCTCAAAGCAATCAAAGCAAGGATACCATTGTTGACTGTAGTGATAAACTTTTGGTAACGGAACTCCGCTCCGAGGGTGCAGCCTTTCAAATTACACAAATTGGTTAAAACTCGCATGCGAAAAAATGAAGTGTTTTATAATAATAATTTCCTTCTCTTTTACTTCACTTTTATTTTTATGCACAGTTTCTAAAAGTTGGAGCTTTTTTGTCGTTGTCATAATTATTATATTTCTACTTTTATAGTTACAAGAAAAATGCTGTTGAGGCTTATTAAAACGGGAAGTCAAAAGAAAGTGAGGCCAATAGTTCCTGAGAGCCGTTTTAAAGTCGTTTTGCTAAGGACATAAAGACATTTGGCTATGTTCCAAATATTAATTTAATAACACAGGCGTCGAGGAGAAAAGGGGAGGGGGTGTTAATTTTGGACGTGCCGATACCAAAGCCTGTGTATAGAAGACTTTATTGACATCAGTACACGTACATTTGTTTTTTTGCTTTGTGTAAACATATTCTATTTTTTTCTGCTCTTTCGAAACAGAGCTTTTTACTGCTTTTGTTTGATTAACACCCTATGCTTTGAGATACTTCCTATTCGTTACAGCATGCCTGAGACAGAAGGTAGGGTTTGATGAGAAGACGCCTTGCAACGAAAAGCTTGTTTAGGACGTTACTTGTTTGTGTTTAGGTGGCAAATGCATAGGTTTCTCTGCCTCGAACAAAAACATTCTCTCGGATGGCAATGAACGTTGAAAGTGCACCGTCTATTCACAAAGATGTAAAGGAGCAGAATCAACCATGAGTTGATTTTAAAGTATCTTGGAAAGTTCCAAACTGTTGACACACTACCGTTCAATTGTTACACCGAAAATCCTTTGGACTCGAGGCTGTACGTGTTACCATGCAATTTTGGTTGTAGATGTATTTGGTAGATAAAAATAGGGTGGAAAAAAAAAGAATAGCTTCAATGTCTTTGGTCTAAGATGCAAAAGGGAGTAACTGAATTGAAGTTACCACAGTTCAAATAAATGTGCACAAGTAAACATCGTTGCTGACTCAAGAAGACACGCGTGTCCAAGCTGATTGGACTTTGAAATACACACGATAGAGCTACTACAAAAGTATTTTACGAGTCAGGCGTTTGGGTCTGGGTTTGAGCAACATCTCAAAAGCTTGAGACATTGTTATTAATAATATATTATCGACACAAGGTAGGGGAAATATATGGAAATATATGTCTAAGGCAACGTTAAAAATATTAGATAGTATTCTATCACATCATTAAGGCTAAATCCGACTTACTGTGATGAAAGTAGTGGAGTAGTGGGCTTATTGGATATAATAATGAAAATGGGGGTGGGGGTGTAAAATGTGTGTGTGTGTGTGTGTGTGTGTGTGTGTGTGTGTGTGTGTGTGTTTTTTTATTCTTTTGTGCATCATCAAAGTACAACAAACATCTAAATTTTTTTTGATCAAAATGGGCTTTCCCAATAAATAGCAATCGAATTCCCTTGTAAGTCCTCTCTCTTTCATTTTATTTAACTATCGTAACTGTGTTTCTCTTACCGAGGGCGAGGGCAGCTTGTTGTCAGAATATATAACGATTACTTTTTTTGCAGTCACCCCGTTTCTTGTCTTTTCAAGAAGGACGGATAAAGAGTCGTTTATTTACACCCTCCCGATATCTGAGAACGGTAAGGACAGGCTCCAGACTCCAAGGGATTGATCATTGATTATTTTCAACCATTGCAAGTTAAAAACCAGTTCCATTCGCTATAAAGATACAGCAGTCTTTCAATCAGGCATTGCTTACAAAGGGCTCTCTACACTTACAGTTAAGTACGACCAAAGGACGGTTTACTACTCGACACCAGGAGAAGTACATATTCAAAGACGCGTCATCATCTTGGTCATCGTTTTTAATCGTCTAACATCACAGAGTCAAGTGACATACAAAATTTACACGGAGCTTAATCGTGTGTTAAATAGTCCAAAGCTTGTGAGCAGAGATATAATAAACACCACAAATACTACAATATCGACCTGTTTAGTCCACTTTAAAACCACCACATCCCCAAAAGGTGAAATCGGAGGGCATATATAGCATCGACTTACAATATAGAAAATCCATCATTTGTTGAGACTGCATATAGAAGCTTACAAGAGCAAAGAAGAAGAAGAAAAAATAGATCGAGAATCATTCACAATGTCATCAATCAGTTCCATCACTTCTTCAGACCCGATGTCGCTGCCAGCTAGGATACAGGTGGATATATGTACAATACAAGATGAAGAGCGGCCGCAACAAGTTGGTGGAGCTACTTTTAACATGTGGTACCTCAACTGGTCTGGTGGAGGTGGTGTAGACTCATCAGCCACTGATTCATTCACGCGATCTAAACACAGAGTGAACATAATTCGAGATCAAGGGTATACCAGAGCAGGAGATACATCCCCTGTATGTCTATTTTTCAGTAGAGGGTGTTGCTACATGGGATCCAACTGTACATACCTCCACAATCTACCAAGCAAGACAAAATTTCACAACCTGGCCAAAGATTGTTTTGGAAGAGACAAAACTGCTGAGTATAATGATGATATGGATGGTGTGGGGTCTTTTAATCATACAAACAAGACTTTATACATTGGAGGAATACAAATGAGGCCAAATATCGAAGAGTTGGTGACTAAAAATTTTGAAGAATTTGGGGATATTGAAAAAGTCAAGGTTATATACAACAAGAATTGTGCGTTTATTACCATGAAGACAGAAGCTGATGCTCAGTTTGCTAAAGAATCAATGAATCGACAGTGCTTGATTAACCCAGAGACCAATAGCAGCAAGAGTAAAGAAGTGCTACATGTACGATGGGCTCATCAAGATCGAAATCCAGAAGCGCAAAAACAAAATAAGCGCAAAATGGAGGAGTTGGCAATGGATACAGTTAAGGAATTGTTGAATAATGAAACCACTAAACGAATCAAGATGGGTGAAGATCGGACTGTTGACAAGTCACCACTTGATGTGGCTGAGACTGGAGAACTTGACAACGGTAATGAAGAGGACGATGATGATGATGGTGAAGAAGAAGATGAGCTGGACGATGAGGGCGGAGAAGACGATGTTGTACCGGGTATAAAGCCAAATGGAAATGGTATACTATCGCGAGGGAAAATGCCTATAAAGAATAAGGGGCCAGCACAAAATGGCACCAGTCATCAACATCAACATCAACATCAACATCAACATCATGAACATAATGGTTATCATAATGGTTATCATAATGGTTATCATAATGGTCATCACAATGGAGATCATCATTCGCATCATTTACAGCCTCACAATTACAGCTATGATCCAGTTAGAAATGGAAACAGCCACAATCATAATGGAAGTAGTCGACATCATAGTGTTGGTGGTGAGACTAGTAATAGTGGGGGTGCCACTAGTGATGAAATAAGACAAGATTTCTTCGAAAGACATGGATTAGTTAACCAATCAACACTCAAAGACTTGGCCGAAATAAAGAAAAAAATGAAACTTGCCCGGCATGAACCCAATTTAGTCAGTGTGTTGGGTAATTATTCAAGTGATGAAGATGATGACTAGTCGAGAGGCTTTATGGAATGACTGATATATCTGTATTTAAATATATATGGAGATGTAGTCTGGCGGATCTAGAACTTTTGGAATCAAATCTATGTAGGGGAGGAAAAATAAAGAAACGTACATGATGTGACTTTGAAACAATATTATGCAATTTGCGTTAAAGAGATCCCTTCTTTGCTCTGTAGAATCAGATGGTGGGGGACAGTTTAACTACCGTATTGACTAGTCTGTTACAAATTGCTGCCGCTGCCGTTCCCTCATGTGATGTTTGTTATTTAGTACATTGTATGTGATATATTACTAGTAACATGCATTATTTTCTTTGTGTTTAATCTTGCATGATCTTACACACCACTTTTTGTCCCATAACCTTTAATAAACCTTTATATTCTTTTTAACTCCTTGTTATATACTTATATGCATTTGTATTTAAATACAACCCCGCGCGGTACTCTTTATCCCGATCACACACACGCATATCCCTTGGCGTAAAGATGATGATGCTGTCACGCCTTAATGCATAATTAGAAAACACAAACTATTATTATTTAAAGTTGATGAAATATTCCATCCCCAAACTAATTGGTATTGAAAAATACACTCATTGACTCATACTCCATAGAAGAATAATGACGACTAATAGTACAGTTACATACGCATCAATTGATGATAAACTTGAACCCAAACACATACCACAACAATCACAGCCACAATCACAACCACCAGCACTTTTCCGCCCCCTTGATATCGGAAATTTGCATTTGCTTAATAGATTAGCAGTCTCGTCTATGTGCAGTTATGCAGCTGGACCAGGAAATCAAATTGCTAATTTACATTTATCTCGCTACAAGTCATTCTCAGCACAACACCCTGGTTTGATTATGATTGAAGGAATGTGTGTTGATCCCAAGGGAAAATTGGATGATAAGGAATTGGGCATTTGGAATGACGATCAAGCAGGGAAATTGAGGCTGGTTGCTGATGAGATCCATAACGATGGTTGTATTTGTTGTGTGCAGTTGACTCATGGTGGAAGGAAAGCTATTGGTGAAGTTTCCCTGGTTGGAAATGCTGCAGCTGGTGAAACCGGTTACGATGGTGATGCGGAAATCCTTGCCCCTTCGGCAATTTCATACGATAATCGACTGAAAGTCCCCAAAGAAATGACATCCACCGACATTCATCAAGCAATCACCAGTTTCAGCTCTGCTGCCAAACGCGCTGTTCAAATCAGTCAAGTTGACGCTGTTGAAATCTCGTGTTGTAACGGAAACTTGTTGCACCAATTTATGAGCAAGTCGACTAATTTACGTCATGATGAATATGGATGTCAATCAATTAAATCTAGGTGCAAAATCTTGATGGACATAATTGACCAAGTTCGCAAACAAGTTGGCGAAAATGTACCTATATTTGTTAAATTATCGGCTAGTGACAATTTGTTTAGGGGCGAATCGTTGGATGAGTTTTTATCTATTGCTGATTTGATCATAGCCACGGGTCAAGTGTCACTACTTCACATAACTTCGGGCAAAATCACTCCCAATTCAAGGCCACGGTATTCATTAAATTCGAATCCAAATATACCAGGCCATATTCCATTAGCATCGCTTTTGAAGAAACATTTAGCTGAAAGTGGTCAACAAGAAAAATGTTTTGTAGGATGTAGTGGTGCTTTAGACATGGATGTGGCAAAGTTGAATCACTATATTGATGATAATATGATTGATGTTGCATTTATTGGTCAAGGGTTCTTGGAAATGCCAAATTTAGTCAACCAATTTGCAGCTAAATTGAATCATAAGCTTAAGTAAAGAGAGGTGGAGGAAAACACATGTAGGTCTAATTTAACTAAATTTTATTAATATGTTGTGAAATCCTTTAATTATTCCCTTATTGTTGTTGAATTATATCGATATAACCAATCAGGTACTTTCTTACCACCTCTAGTTAAAAACTTTTTCAAGTCCAGGAAAACACTCACATCGTCATCATTAATAAATGTGATACTTGTACCGAAATTACCAGCACGACCAGTCCGACCTATTCGATGAACATATTCGTCAAATTTGTGACTCATTTGATAGTTGACCACAAGACCCACTTGAGGTATGTCGATACCTCTAGCGGCGACATCAGTGGCTACAAGTATCGATGGATTATGCAGTTTGAATTGTTCAAGAGCTAGTTCTCGTTGGCCTTGTGATTTGGATCCATGTATGGTTACGTTGGACAATTGTTTTGCATCTAGCTCTTCTGATAACGTTTCAACAACATATTTGAAGTTAGCAAATATGATAATCAACGAGTCGGGGTTGGTTCGTTTGTGCAGTTGAATCAATTTAACCAACTTGTTCAATTTGATCAGTTCAACAGTCGGTGGGCCAGATGCAGTTTTCGATGTTTGTAAATACTCAAATTTTTGATCAATATTTGCCAAGGCTTCTCCACCCGAACCACCTGTACTAGTTCCAATTGTAACATAAATGGGATTATTTAAATACGATTTAGTGAGCTTTTCAATCGTGGGTGATATGGTTGCCGTAAACATCAAATTCATGCGTTGGTTCAAATGGAAAATTTTGCCATCGATTGTTTGTTGTAAATTGTCTTGTGTAGGTAAATGAGCAATCAATTTATGCAAATCGCGTTCAAATCCTAGATCAATCATACGATCAGCTTCGTCCATGACTAGGTAGTAACATTTTTGGAAATTGATGATGTTGCGATCAAGTGAATCTAGTAATCGACCAGGAGTACCAACGATTATATCAACCCCTCTGCCACCACCTCTTGTGCCATTTTCTTTATCCCCTCCATTTTCAATTTCATCAATTGTATCACGATACTGATGTCCACCAATAATCGACACAACACTATATCCCAATCGTGTGCATAATTTCTCTGCTTGGGCAGTAATTTGTAATGCCAATTCACGAGTGGGAGCCAAGATTAACGCCAATGGTTCATTCTTGGCTTTTTCAAATTGCATGAAATTCGCATCAATTTGGTCAAGGTACTGGAATATAGGAAGTAGATAAGCAAGAGTCTTTCCACTCCCGGTTTCAGCTACACCAACTACATCTCGATATTTTAAACTGGTGGGGATACTGGCTCTTTGAATCGGAGTGGGTGTAGTATAGCCTAGGTCCTGTATGCTTTGTTGGATTGGTTTACTTAAGTCACATTCTTGCCAGTAGCGAATCGCATGAGGAAGATCGCGCTTGTTACCACCATTACCTCCCCCACCACGATAGTTGATGGAGAATTCTTCATTGAATATCCTCCAATCACGTTCAGTCATTTGTGGTAATTGTTTTGTTGTCCAATGCCCACTCAATTCATCTTTTAATAGTGGATCGTTAGCATCGACTTCATCTGTGGTTGTACCGTTCTCCTCGTCATCATCAAGCGAGGGAAGCATCCGTCGTGATGTTTGCATCATTGTTGTAGTATCTTCAGATTCATCCCAATCAAATTGGAATTTACGTCGTGCTGACTTCTTTATTGGTGTTGGATCGTTATGTTGTATTGGAGGCACCAACTCGCCCCTCCGTGGTTTCAGTGTATGCCTCCACGATGATGATGTTGATGACGCCTTTTCCTTGGCTTGTCGCTTCTCTAATTCTCTCAGTTCAGCAGCCTTGGCCCGTTTAGATTTAGGAATAAATGTAGGCTTTGCAAAATCATCTTTCAATAGCTTGTCAATTGGAATGGGTCGTTTAGACATAAGTGGTCGAATAAGCTTCACTTGTAGATTAATTTTGGGCCACAATTTCTCGCAATGTCGTTTTGTCTATTTGCATTTCGCCTTTCGCAAATTGTGCAAATTGCAAAACCACCAAGATTAATCTACAATGTCAAGCTTCCCATTTGTAATGTCTATAAATGTACATTTAACCGTATATAATTTTATAACATATATATATATATATATCTGTAACTCTTTACTCTTTCAAAATATATCCTTTTTCTTTAAAAACAAAACAACAACTTTATCTCTCTCATTTTAAGTAAAATTGAACCTGTCAATTTCAATATAAAAACACAATTTTGACTTTGATCATCATCATCAATTCATCAATATTAAAACGTCCAAACTGTCTCACTTTCCTTTAACTCCAACTTTTTTTCTTGTATCATCTTCCTTTTTTCCCTTCTATTTCCCTGCATTACTATTATTATTATTATTATTATTAAATCCATAAAATTGGCCCTTTATATCATCAGTTAAATGTTTAATCAAATTCAACAAGTTAATCAGATGAAAATAATTTGGTGGTGGTAATGTGTCAAATTCAGTAATGGCAAAATTCAAAATCTGTTCATTACTCAATTCGTATTCTTTTGGTAAAAGATCTTGGCGTTTATCAACAGAAGAGGTGGTATGTTGTCTACCATTAGTAGTTGATTTAGAACCACCACAACTAGTTGAATCTAACTCTTTCTTCTTCTCATCTTCATCATCCATAGTGATGAATAACTCTGGCTGGTTAAATGGCAACACAGCGCATAACCAAATTCTTGTTTTGTAAATTTTAAACAACTCCTTTATAAGTCCTCTAAAATCAATACGCTTGAACCCAGCAAAGTAATAAAAAATAAGTTTTTTGAAGTCACATTGATACTCAACATTGATTAAAGTTAAATCTGATTCTAAACCCAATTCCTTAATCTTGTTAAAACAAGTGATAAATGCTTTCTTCTCTTCAAGAAATTTGCCACTAATCTTGTGGACTTCTTTTGGAGTAGCAAATCGCAACACTTGTTTCGTAGGCAAGGTGATTATAAATTCGTTATCTTCATTCAGGTGCGAATTGATAATTGTTGAAGCATTCATTGATGTTGAGTGAGTGCCTCCATGAGCTTTACCTCCGTAACCTTCATGAATTGTTAGACTTTTCAAATGTTCCAATTTTTTGAGAAAATTGAATAAAACAGCGAAATTTAAATTAACCAATGGCTCAATAATCATAACTAAATCTTTGCCTCGATCTCCATCAACTATGACCAAATCATCTTTTTGGAGAAAAATATTGGAATTGTTGGGATATGATAATAAATCAAATTTCCCATTCTTGTTAATGACCAAGCACAAGATCTTGTGATTGAATGTTAAATTATTCAAATTTTTAATAAAGGTAATCAATTTGGTGATTATAGGACTACCCAACAATCCATTCATTTTGGTTAAAATCTCACTCGTGATTTTGTCATCTTGAAAATACCTTTTTGTTTTGGAATACAACTCTTTTAACTCTGGTGAAGCAACTATATATTGATCTTTCAAGAGTAACCCATTTTCCAACTTGATTGGTTGGCCTGGAGTACCAGCAAATTGAGGATGCTGTGGTAAAAAGGCTTGGTTCGACTGTGGTTGTCCCGTGCGGAATTGTGGTTGTTGCTGAGGCGAATAAAACGAATGTTTTTGCTGCTGATGCTGCTGTTGCTGCTGATGCTGATGCCCTGCTTGATGAACATTTCGTGGTTGCAAATGAGAAGGATTAGATCCTCGAGGTAGTTGGCCTATCTGAACTGAGGAAGGACCTCCGTTATTTTCTGCAAAAGGAGCAAATGTATTAGTGCTGGTCACGTCTATTGAAGCACTACGTCCACCTCCAGCTCCAACGCCACCTGGTTGTGCAAAATTGAAGCTTTGCTGTGGTGATTGCGCTTGTTGCTGCCGTGGTTGGTACTGCAGAGCAGGTGTTGCATTAAAAGGTGAACTCCACGGAAAGTCAACCAATTGACTTGGTCTTCTTGACTGAAACTCACTAAACTTAGACCCAGAATTCAAATTAATCTCTCCAAATGCCTCTGTAAGATCAAATCCATTATGAACCTGACTATTTTTGGCTTGGAAACTGTTCATCATAGCAAATGAAGATAAGCCTCGACTGTTGTTGCTATTGTTGCTATTTCCATGACTGTTATTGAAAAAGTTTGACGATTGTGAACCCGCTTGCGATGTTTGTGGTGTGACTGTCGTCGTGGCCAGTGGTTGGAAAAAACTACTTCTAGTAAAAGACTCTGCTGCATAACTTGGTCTTCTTGACGATATATTAGTTACTCCGCCTTGTAGCTCTGCTGGCAAATTAAAAGTGTCTCTAAAACTTGAATTTGCTGCTGCTGCTGCTGCTGCACCATTGTTGTTGTAATAATACGTTGAAAAATCAACTTCTGGATAGTCATTTAAATTAGATAGTTTGCTGTACAATATATCATTGAAATTAGACTGATGTAAAGGGTCATCATTGTTGGAAGGAACTGGTGGTGGAAGATTATGGCCATTGTCGTTGTGGTTGCTGTTGCTTCCGTTGTTGTTATTATTACCAGTACCGTTGTCAAATATCAGATTATGTCTACTACTACCATGTGAGCTTCCATTGCATTTCCTTCTATTGATTGAATCACCGTCATTTAAGAAATCCGGCAAATTCATCATCCTTTATGAGCCTGATAACTTTTGCTGAACTTTCCTGTTGTGTTGATATATATGTTGCGTAAAAGGGGTTTCACTCCGTGATTGAGATTCTTTTTTATTTTTTTTTTTCTCTGTCTGTCTGTCTGGCTGGCTGTGATTATTTCTGTTAATAGTTAGTGTGTGTATGTGTGGTTCTATGAGATTTAACCTTTGTTTTACTTGTGAATATGTTGAATAACAGTGGAAATACTGTTCAATAATAGTACATTTGTATAGATGTATGTCTGAAATAAAGGAGAGCAATTAAGTAGTGGTATATTATTAGAATATGTGAGTGGCATGTGAGTGGCGTGTGTGTAGGATATTGAGTGGGTGACTCGTTTTGCATGACTTTTTTGTTTCTTTGTTTTATTATTGTGATATTCCTTTGTCATAAACTCTAAATAAATACGACACCATCAACAACAAGGGGCCAAGGTCAGAGGAGATAATGATAGTAAAATAATAACAATTGGTTAATCTGTCACGCATATACGTTGATCGTCATCTCTTTGATGCAATATGGCAAAACTATAAAGAAGTTCTAAGATTCATTTGTGGAGAAGACAACGAACCCAACAGAAAAAATTAAATAAAGGTAAAGTTGCATACACCAGTCATCACATTCAGCCGTATATACCATCACCCCTTAGAGTAAGGTATATAAGTCTAATAACAAATTCTTTAGGTTGAGAGAAGTTGACCTTTGTGCAGCAGATCTATCAATGATTTTGAAGATCATCTTTGGATGTTTCAAATCTAATTTAAGCCTTTTATAATATTTCTCTTTTTGTTCATCTCCGCTACATTCTGTTCTTCCCCGCCACGCAGTCTCCACCCTTCTTTCCTTTGGGTCGCCTCGCTTCGAGTCGCCACCTCCCAGACTTTTTTTTTTCTTCTCGCGTGAACAATTGCAAATTTGGAAAACTTTAAGTAGATTACAGGGGTAAACCCCTTCAACAAGGTATAAATACTAAGTAACTTAGCCGAGGGTTGAGTTGCATAGAGGTATTGGAAGGAGACGCATGAGGAAAAGTTATAGATTGTTTTATCTTTCTCCTATACCGTTCAATGGTTCGTATAATTGTTACTGAGTCCATTGGCATCTGATGCTATAAATCACTCAACTTTCCTCTTTATTCAGCTGCCTACAATGCTAACGTTTTACTCTTTATCAAGCTGTAAGCAACTTTATCGACAGTAATTAGCATATAAGCCTACAAACAACGTTACGGATTAGAGGTGTGCTACCAAACAAAACGCGTAATTCTTTCAGCAGATACAGCTACATAGCATAAGCAAATTTAGTTCTTACGAAAGTCATATATATATATATGGGGTTTATGATAATCTGTTATACTGATGAAGAGGTAATGGAAGAAGTAGAGCCTGTGCTACTCCGTCTAAACCCTTGGCTTTGTGTATAATGATTGCCATCACGCTCAATAAACACCACCTCTGATTCATCCATTGACACACAAGTACAGATCATAGAAACATGCTAGAAAGTTTTTGTCTCAAACTTTGAGGCCTTGTTTCTGACTATAAGTACAAATAGCCCGTTGTGGCATCTCCATGCCCAGGGAATTTTGTACTCATTTTGCAATCGCGTGAAAGATCAGAAAAAAATACGTCTTCTAATTTCAGAAAGACCAAAACCCACTTCAAAAATTTTACATATGGACAGGATATAATCCATGAAATGTCTGATTCAGATAGTGACTTTGCTAACGATGACGAACAGGATGAACTCTTGCAACAATATCTAACTAAATCACAAGCACCAATAAATCTATCCACGACACACGAAGAAGATGATACATTGATTCAACAACATCAAACAGTAACTAATCAATCTATTGCATCTCAGTTCTTACAACAACAACCAATCAACAATGAAATACAAGCCAAATTATTCCAAGCTGATGGAGAAATCGCCACTTTGAAAGCCCAGTTGGCTCTCTTGCAGAATTCCAAACGTGATGAATTAAACACACTACGACAATCATATGACGCGTTGAAAAGGACTAAAGATGAGGAAGCTGCGGCTTTGAAAGAAGCGGTATTGAAATTAGAAGATGATCGGAAATTTTTAAAGAATGAATTGGTAACAACAACAGCTTTGAAAAAGAGGAAGATTGACAATAACTCACAACAAAATGGAGCTCAACCAAGTACAGAGGCAGACAAACACGCAATTGAAGCAAGTTTGGAGTCAGATGCAAGCTTGGCATCAATAGCTAGTCAAACAATTCAAAAAGTGATTAGAGTTCAACACGAAACGTCTACCTTGATTGATCAAATTTGGACATATTGCATTCCTGGAAGCAAACGGTCATCAATTGAATATTTATCAAAGATTTGTTTTGATTTTGATATTGATACATTGTATGGATACAAAGTTCAACGAAAAACTGCATTATCTTCATTTGTAAGCAATGTTTTGATGTCAATGAAGACAGAAAGGTTAGATGACTTGATTGAAAGATTTTCGGTTTTGTTATTGAACATTATTCAAGAAGCAATCGCTCACAAGGCAACGCTCTCGGTGCCCTTCTTTGTATCATTGCTATATTGTACAGTTAGTTTTCGACCAGTTGCCGTTACAGAGTCGGTCATTGTTAAACTAATACAAGAAATTTCGCAATTGTCATTAAATTACTTGTTTTTGCTTAACCCCAACTTGGAAGAAGAGGCTGATTTTGACAATTATCATGATGTGCCCGATCAGATCATTTCTATTGAACGATTTATCTTGATTTGTTGCTTAGATTTGATTGAAAAATTGACAACCATATGTTCAATACATGGTAGTGAATTTATTCACCTGATTTGGACTGACCACCACATATTGCCTCAAGCTCTTGTCACTTCTTGTTTGCCGCAGAATGCTGAACGGTTTAAATCAGTGGCTCAAATAAATCTTGTATCCAATGTTGTTGAAATGCTCGTGGCATCGGTCACCGAAGAGACTTTTGGGTTTAATGAAGCAGTATCTGATTTTAATTTAATCGCATCATTGATGAAGATATTCCTCATTGAAATTCCTATCAAAGATGGATTTAGATTCTATGGATTGGCCCGATTCAGTGGGAACAATTGCGATTTAAAAATGATTGATTTGACAATACCTACGAGCCATGATAATTTAAACAATTACCTAGTGACAATCCCTCAACCGGTTTATAAAGACTTGGATACTGAGTTGAACCGATCAAAACTTCAACTAAACCATGAAGCACACCTCTTAAATCTTAAAATTAAAGTATGTGAACTATTTCAATCGATAATAATAACCAAACAGACGATTGATTTCCTAATTGATAAAGAACACTTTAAGTCTTTGACAAGAATCATTAATCTCGAACAGGCTTTTATGGCAAGTTGTCCCCGATCACCCGTTATCCATTCACGAGTCCATTTAATTGGTCAAATTGTTAAAATTATCAATTATCTAACGCAGGATTTACACGAAGCCAGTGATTTGATATATAGTGAAACCATGTATGAGATGTTTGTTGCATTACTGCGAATTGCATTTGGAGCTGATTCACTATCGACGGAAGCTCACAAATTATTAGTTAAAATACGATCACAGGGCCATTTTGATATTACTGTGCTTAACAGATCATGTGAAATTAGAGCTCGACAATTGAATCATTTGACATCAACAGATTACTATTCGAGAGAAGGAGTTGTTGTTGGTGGTAAACTACTTGCCAATGTTGAAAGTGATTATGCTAATGGGTTAGAGTTTCCATACGAATCAGAAACAGTTGAATTGAGTCGAGAAATTTTAAACCGATTTGTAAATCATGAAGAAGCGGATAATTTATACTTCAATATGAATTACGAGTCACAGTTTGGTGATGGTGATGGTGATGGTGATGGGGTTGAGAATTTTAGCGATATTGAAATGAATATATAGACAAAAGAAAGAAGAGTTGTTTTACTTCTACACTAGTGCTTCAAAAAAAGGTTCACATTAATATACAGTATTTTGTATTATAGTTACTTGCAAAATCTTCTCTAAAATCCAAAAATAATTCATTGCTTTCTTCCAAAAGGGTTCTTTGAGGAGGAAGCCAATGTCTTCCAATGTTGTGGTAATACACACTCCCCCTCAAAAAAAAACTCCCCTCAAATTTTCAACCTCATCAAACATAAGCTTAGTTATACATTTAGTTTTCAGCGGTTTGTGGCTTAGCAACACCGGTTTGGAATCCATTCTTGAATCTTCTAGAAACGTGCTTCAAGTAAGCCATTCTACCAGTACCAGTAGTTCTTCTTCTCTTGGCTTTTAAAGCCCAGTTGTGTGATCTCAACTTGGCGGCTGGGTAACCACATGATGAACAGGTCTTCTTTTGGACGTGGAATGAACGACGACCACATCTGTTACATAAAGTGTGTGATTTGTTGTGTCTTTTACCTAATGATGGTGTACCTTCTATAGAACGGGTGTTAGTATATTGGACTCTGCTCGTTACTGAACTATTCCATGCATCTGATAAAGGACCTAAATTGGAGTAGACAAGTGTGACTTTCACCAAATTGATTGGTGGCTGCTCAGACATTAAGACTTGACTGGTCCAGCAGGATCTGTCTGGCAATGAAACACTTTGATGAATTGAACTTTTCAGTCGTAGTTGATGAATCAATAGGCTCCAACTTCAACTTCATCTTCATCTTCCTTAAACGTAAATTCCTCTGTGTCATCTACTCTCATTCTTCTCTCCTGATATTCCTCTATTATTATGCAATTTAGCTAGTACTTCTCCTTCTGATTTACTACATACTACCCATGTTTGATTATGCTGTTCTGGTTAGATGATGATTAAAACAAAGTGAAAATTTCTCTTACAAAAAGCAGTTTCAATTTTTTTTTTTCTGCTTCAGTCACTCTCAACTCTCCCAGTGTGTGTAATTAGATAATATATTATGTAATATTTATGCTGTCAATTATGTAATCTTGTTTTGCGGTAGCGTTGGAGATTGCGTTGAAAAATTGGTAGTGTTGAATGTGACAAAAATGAAAGTATTCATCACGTGTAGATTTTGTCATAGGGCTACAAACACTAATGTTCAAAAAGTAGTGCAAAGGTACGCGGTGGTTGCAAAAATGTAAACAACACGAGATTGCGCTTTGTGGAAGTATAAACACACAACTATGTCCTAGACACACGCAGCACTTTTTGAACCAAGTCAAAACAAATTAAATTGTAATACTTTAAAAACACAACTCAACATTGATAGCATACAGCAACAGTGTTACACTAGCAATGTCAAATGCCAATTATCAATTCCCACCATCTTCACCATTGCACGATGCTGAAGAGGTGCTCCTTCATCATAACAAAGATCCATTCGCATTAACAAATGGAAAGAAACCACAGTCGTTGGAAGACAACTCGAGACAATCACGTACTGTTGAGTATCCTACGCCAAACCCATCATCATCATTATTTAGATCATCATCGCCTGCAAGGGAGGAGGCTGGTGTTGAGGGAGGCAAATTTACCACAAGTAGGCAAAACAAAGACATCAACAACATCAATAAAAAGCGGACAGTTGCTATTAATAAGAACTTTAATATTTTAAAATCGGATACTTCAATATTACGAATCCCATTTTTGTCAAATCATGGTGAGTTTGCCATTGGTAGATCGTCTCAAACTTGTCAATACAATTTAAATGCTAAGGATTCATTTATTTCGCGTGCTCATGTTAGAATCAACTATACTCCACAACAAATGGTTATCAACTGTGTTGGTGCAAATGGAATGGGAATAGTGATTCCGAAAACCTGCTTTGTTTACGCAAAACCCAGCAACAAGAATGATTACATTGTTATTGAAAACACCACTGGTGAACCATTATCAACAAATAAGAGCCTTTCCGATTCAATCAAATTGGCAACTGACTATTCCCAGTTTTATATTCATAAAGGTGAACTGGTTACCCTACCCCGTAGATTTGAAAATGTATTATTGGAGATTTCGAAACTGGTGGTGTTGTTAAACCCCATGGATGTTGACGAACCATTGACTGATAATGATGAGGAATTGACTGATGATGAAGAGTTGGTCTTGATTAAGAATATTGGCAACTCACACATACACAAGACCGGTACTGATCACGATTTGACACCCTTGAATAAGATTTTGAGCAGTTCGGTACCTCAAACTCCATCAAAACCTAAAACCGATTCAATCACAATGATGCAATCATCGCCAAAACAAGGAGAAGAAGAGATGAACATGAATCGTGGTGAACAAGTGGCTCGTGATGAAGAGGATGAGGATGATTATTATCAAACTCCAAGTAAACACCATCTGATTAAATTAAGACAACCCCAACCTGGTAAAACGGTACAATTCGACATTTATTCCAATAAAGTTGATGGAGAACCATCACCTCATAAACGCAGTTTGTCAAACCCTCTGAATATGGTCTTGACTGATGTTACCAATACCGATAATAGTGGTAACAGCTTCAGACGAGCATCGTCAGCAGAGCCCCATACGGAAAAGACAACAACCAACACGAACCGTCATAAGCTTGATAAACATGTAACCAATGAGAGGAAAGGTTTCAGCAGCGACGCCCACCAGCAGGAGCCAATGATAAAAAAGAGAAAGAAACAGATTACTCGCCAACAAACCCCTGAGCTCGATAATTCCGCATTATCATTACCCAACTTGTCAGAAATTGAAAACATCCTCGTCAATCACTTGGCATTTTCGCGCCTAAGTTCAACCCCAGCATCTTTTTTGAATACAATTTCGGCAGCAACTTCCAAACTCTCTCTTTTACAAGTGAGGTCAATTTTACATAATTTGAAATGTATTGGCATTATTTATCGTCAGGGAACTGATGCCGCTGGGAAACCATTGGAAGAGGAATATTATTACATGCCGGAACAAGATGATGATGAAGGTAGACAAAACTTGGTTTCGAATGTTAAAGGCCATGGCGGGTTGAGATCATGTAGGCGGACTCATAAGCAATATTATTGGAAGAAACCGGCTCCTATAAAGAAGTAGTGGAGAGGTGAAAGAAAAAGAGCGGAGGAGTTGGAAAAGTGTGATTTAGGCTACTATTGTTTTTGTAGATTGAAGTATACATTTATATATACATATACATCGTGATATTTTGTGAACTAAGTCTTTGGCAGTGGTGTCGGATAGTAGCTGGATGTAGTGTGAGGAAAATAAGCATGGGGATTAGATAAAGGGTATGGATAATTTTCCAATTGTTCTTGACTTAATGGTCGAGGACTACTAATTTCAAATTTCCTCGTATCTTGGAAATACCCACAGCTACGTTTCTCGTTAACCACTTGCTCATCCGATTGGGATTCACGATGTCGAGTTAGCAACAAAACAAATCCAATGAGTAATTGCAAGCACCACATGCCCAAGAAAGACAATGCCACATATAGCTCCAACATGATCGATTTCATATAATACCCAATCAAGGCATCCAACTTTGTTAGTATGCTCTCTGGTTGTAATAATTTAATCAGTTGTAAATCACTTTGGGAATTTTCTGAAATCATGGGAATGTTGATTTGTAAGTTTTCGTATAACCAAGTACATCCTTGTTCCAATTTAAGCAATTTACGGCCAACTGTGCAATAAACAACAGTATTCACCGCCGAGGCGAGGATAGAAGTTGCCCCGAAAATATCAGTGATTGCTGAATCCAAATTATCGACAAATTCGCCAATTGTTGAATTGACCTTGATAGCCGTCTCTCTGATCTCACCGAATAGCTCTTCATTTAGGTTACCTTGAGTGGTGTTGATATATTCATTGACTGATCTGATGTATGATGTCGTTGAAATGGAGTTGGAGTTTGCCGGTAGGTCGATAATTTGCCTGTGCAATTCGTCACGAACATAACTTACTAAAATCAATTGTAAAATGGCTGCGAGTAGACCCAAAGTTCCAAATATGAGAATGTTGCGGGCGAGTTTATTCGACATGTAACTTATAATCCAAATAAGTCTGTTGTTCACATTCAATCCCATGCATTTAATCAAAGTGTAAGTTAAGAAGTTCAGGTATATATTCTCTTGATTACGGAACTGAACTTCATTATCAATCCCTGCCTCATTAATGAATTTCGATTTCCGTTTCCATTGTCGGCGTTCCACGTACCACGCATATGCTATACTTCCAGCTAGGACAAAAACCATTATGATGAAAAGATACTTGCTAGTAGTTTCCACAAATTTGATTAAATTATCTTGAGTGTGTTTGATTTGATCAATTGTTTTCAAACAATCATCTTTAACATTTATGGGATTAATAGTAATGCTCTTTGTCATATTGTCTAATTCAATTTCTTGTAGCTTGTTTATAATCAAATTGAATGGAGTTTCAATCAATTTTTGGGTTTCGTTATTCATATCTTCCAATTCGTTCATGCTGACATTTCTGGCCCCTTCAATCTTGGTTAAAACTGAGCCAGGAATGGCAATTTTGTCCTTTAAAGCCCCTAGTGAAATATTAATCTTTTGTTCATATGAACCTGCTTCACCATCACCATTGCTGACACCGGTGAAGATGTTTTTAATTGCTTCAAACCCAGTAGCTACATCATTGAGCAATGTCGAGAGCCCCTGCAATCCTTCCTCGATTCCATTGGTTGCTTCGACTATGGTGACATTAACCGCTTGGATGACGGCTTCACTGGCATCAAAGGCAAATTCGGCAGTCCCCTTAATCACTGCATTGAGTAAACACACATAAGTCCCCAAGAATAAATCAATATAAAAGATTGTTAATTCGCGTATAGTCTTGATGATGAGAACGATAAAGACAATTCCTGAATACTGTAGTTTGGAAATATTGTCGAAAACCATATTATGTAATGCATTTAAGGCTGGTTGTACCGTATCATCAGCACAAGTTGAGTCATCTATTAGTTGTTTGGATATCGTATTAATTAATGAGTTTCTTAATAGCAATAGTTTAATAATGATCAAGAATAGTAAGATAGTGTATTGGTTGAGGTAGACTTGAGTAGACCTTTCAAAAAAGTCCAAATAGTTTCGCAGCATCGTTACTATTGGATCAAGTAAACCTTATGTCTTTCTTAGGCAACCTTTCCTGTTCAAGGAATCGAAGCGGTATTTATTATCTTTGTTGAATTTGTTTTTTTTTTTGGTTGCAAAATCTGAAACGTCGATTGGTTTTGTTACAAGCGAGAAATTCTGAAACACATTTGTTGTTATACATCAGCCGACAATAAAAGATGCAGGAAAGAGGTACTTTCAGGAGCGATATAAGTAGATAGGGTACACAGTATTATAGTCTGATTACAATGGGTGCCATTATCATTTAATGATAAGTTTTTGTACTTGTGGGAAGTTACCTAGTGCTGGTATGGGAAGAAAGTGATTTGGCTGGCTTAGACAACTATTTGACTTGGCAGTGTGTGTCTGCTCTAGCTGTACTCTCCACGTGTTAAGGTCTCATATTGTGATCGATTAGTTGTTACAATGTGTATAAGCCAAAATGATCATTGAGAAGGAGACGTGTATTGTAATGTCGTGCAGTGTCGTGTCGTGCGGTGTCTTGTCTTCAAACCTATATATATATATATATATATATATTTTTGGTGGCAATAAAACAATAAAAAGAACGTGACGAAAAAAAAAATTGAAAAAAGAACCTTCCAAAAAAACAACAAACAAAACAAAATCTAACTCACAACACTACCAACAGAACAACTATCATCAAACAATGTCAGACCTCGAACAACACGACTTCAGTAACAATAACAACAATAACCAAGATGCAGGTGACTCCGCTGCTCCAGCTACCCTCTCACCAACCACAGGCGAAGAAGCAACCAGCGCAGGAGATGAAGTTGTTAAAAGCAATTCAGAACAACCAAAAGAAGAAAAACTGGAAGATGCCAAGAACCGTATTAATATAAGGGTAAGTGATGGAAATGGTGAAGTTTACTTTAAGGTTAAACGATCTACGCCAATGAAGAAGATTATAGAAGCATTTTGCAAAAAACAATCGAGAGATGAAAGTTCATTGCGGTTTTTATTTGATGGTACGAGAATTGATCCTAAACACACGCCTGATGATTTGGATATGGAGGATAATGATCTTATTGAAGCCCATCGTTCCCAACAGGGTGGATGTGCTTAGAGATGATAAATAATGACTTACTTTATGTTTTTGTACTGTCCTATTTTGCGTTTAATGTACTGTTTGTTTCAAATGTGAGTGGCTAAGCATCGATGCCATTGCTGAGGTAATTGAGTGTTACAAGGGTATGTTTTCGTGTGGCACTTTTCTTTCTATATGGGTGTATGATGGTATCTGTGTGTGTAATGTATGTATATCTTTGATTACGTTTTATTGGGATTCTCCAAGTTATTCTCTTTAGCTGGTAGAGTCTATTACTCTAGATCGCTATAATCAAACTCATTGATCATCTTTGAAGCGGGACGTGTAATGGAAATTGCGGTTAGAATAGTCAACTTTGTGTGGTCTAGTGTCGTGTCTTAATCATTGACGTGACATGCGACATAAATGTAGCCCAACGCAAATCGAGTCCCTTATATTGCCCTCATGTATACATTAGTATAATCTGTATCTAAAATGACATTAACTTGTCATTTTTGCCATCAGTAAGCTATATCAACAAGTTGGAAAAGACCCATTTATTGAATGACTGCGATTGAAACCTTTACAGTAAAAATATGATTTTCGAAATTGAGAGCATACAACTTTCATGAAATTATCATTCTTTCAACTTTTGGCAACAATTTGACACTAAAAAAATAGAAAAAAAAAGAAAACAAGAAGGAATAAATGTAAGTTCTACCGAGGAATTGTGTAACTTCCAAGACAGTGATACAGAAGAACCGACGCATGTGGACACTATGGACTGCGCGTACTACAAAGAACCAACTCACCTCCTTCCACCTCACATACAAAGACGCGAAAACACATACTATATGTGCATATCTATAGTGCAAAAGGCTAACTAACTATAATATGGCATGATTTTTTTGTGAGTTACACTCACTATCTTTTTTCCTCATTGTGCATATGCAATGCAAGCATATCTCTCCTGGTACAACCCCAGAAAATTAGCCTCCTTTAGTGAATCTAAACATGGAGATAGAAGGAGAGTTAGATCTATAAAAAGTGGGTTCTTTTTGGCGAAGATAGGAGAAATTAGGAAACGAAGAGTTTTTTATACAAAGTGAAACTCACTTTTCGTTTATTTTTGAGTCGAGTCGTTGCTTATTGTGTCAATGACTATGACGTTTGCCTTACAACAACAACCTCAAACAATGGGAGGTTCTATCTGACTCCGAGTATGATGTAAATGCATTATTTATATCCAGTTGATTCTGTTGTTGTTGCGTGTGTGTTTTCTGAAACTACACAACGGAAAAAATCGTTTAAGAAAAAAGAAACGAAATGGATCAAGGGAAGTTTTCATACTTTTGTGTAATAACATATAATGTCTTGTGCTTTATGATGACTCCTCGGGGTAAAAAAACAAAACGCAGACGAAAGAAAGATATGATTACGCTTCGGACATTAATGTCCATTGCGTATCTCTCCTTTTTCTTTTACTAACATGTACCATTTCCTATTGGAAAAATAAACGTTAAATTATATCCTGACTTTTCTTCTTTTATTTTTAGTTACAAGACGTCAAAATTCACTCACACAAACGTACAGGTATTTCCGATATGGAATGATTTTTCTATCAACAAAAGATATATAAATAGTCAGCAAGATCCCAACCAAAAACATCTTCTGGATAGCTTTTCACTTTTATACTTCATCAAAGTCATAACAACTTAACATAAAAGCTACAACAACATAAAAGATGTGCAAGACCGAAATTTGTGGAATCTGTCAACATAAATCATGGACCGGATGTGGGAAACACGTCCTGGAAATAATGGACATCACAGCCAAAAACGAATGGTGCACTTGCGAGCCATTGGACGAATCAGAGGCGGTATTTGTTGAGGGCCATGGTAGCTATCCACCAAGAGCAGGTCAAGGATTTAGGCGGAGTAGCACAGGTTCTATTTCGTCCTCTGCTTCTTCATCAAGGTAATAGATGAACATATAACCCATAAGTATATATGTATATATATTCTTAAGATTCAATGACTTTTGCAATGATTAAATTTGCCTATGCATTGTAGCTCTAACTTTCAAAATAATCACGTGACTGGACTGGTAGCATACTTACACTTTATAGCTTCGTTTGTTGCTTCATATGTGATTGATGATGGAATCGCTTACCACTTGATAAAGAGTAAAACGTTAGTTTTGTATGCATAGTGATATAGTGCAAAGCTTTGGGCTTTTACAGTTGAAGATGCTAATGGACTGAGTAATATTTGTACAAAACAAATGTATAACAGTTGTCATAGACAGAGCTATAACCCTTTCTCACCCCCAGCTAAAATAAAGATCGGTTTAGAACCTGCTGAAGTGGTTCTTCCCCCTTAATCTTTATAATTACAATCTATTAACGCGAGCTAAAAAATAAACAAAAACGGAAAACGAAAAAAAAAAAAAATCGAGAGAGAAAAGAGAAAAGGATGAAAATCTTTTGAGATGGATCTAAGCATCTTTCTCCTTCTCCAGAAATTCTTTGAAACCAATCTTCTACAAACACAATGGCCGACACCACAACTAAAAAGGCTACACCAAAACAAGATGGGGATAGTACTAATAACAAACAGGCAGATCAGTCACAATCTCAGTCCACACCAAACTCCTCTTCTTCCACTACCAAAGTCCCACCCGCTTCATTAATACCAACACAACCAACCGCCCTCACATCGCGTGACAAGACCACCAAGAGATTAATAGTAGTGTTATCACAAGCATGCTTAGAAACCTATAAAATGAATACTAACCATAACAATGGCCCCGGCGGCGACCGATTTGCATTACTAAACTGTGACGATCATCAAGGTTTGCTTCGTAAGATGGGCCGCGATATCGCTGAAGCCAGACCCGACATAACGCACCAATGCTTGCTCACCTTGTTGGACTCACCCATTAACAAAGCCGGGAAATTGCAAGTGTACATCCAAACGGCGCGCGGTGTCTTGATTGAAGTCAACCCTAGTGTACGTATTCCACGTACTTTTAAACGGTTTTCGGGTTTAATGGTGCAATTGTTGCACAAGTTGAGTATTAGGTCGGAAAATTCGAAAGAGGTGTTGTTGAAAGTGATCAAGAACCCCATCACTGACCACCTACCTACTAAATGCCGCAAGATTACGTTGTCGTTTGATGCTAAAGTGGTTAAAGTACAGGATTACGTGGCTAAATTGGATGAGGATGAGAGTATATGTGTGTTTGTGGGGGCTATGGCTAGAGGTAAAGACAATTTTGCTGATGAGTTTGTTGATGAAAAGATTGGATTGTCGGATTATCCCTTGTCGGCATCGGTTGCTTGTTCTAAATTCTGTCATGGTTGCGAAGATGTTTGGGAAATATATTAGAAAGACCATAAAACAAAACAACGTATAAGTAGAGAAATGAGACATTAAAACAAAGGGTGGTTGTGCCTGACAATATTAGACATACATTTAACTAAATCTGTCTCTTATTATTAAATATAATCTATAGTATCTATTTATCCATAACACCTTCCTTCTCCAACACTTTTTCAATCTCATTAAACAAAGTATCAGTGGTGACTTTAGATCCCTTCAATCTAGCACAAATGATTTCTGATTTCTGGTTCAAATCCTTGGGCGCCACGCGTATTCTAAATTTACAACTTTTCAAATCAAATGAATTGTATTTCGATATTGCTCCGGTGATGGTATAACTCAATGAATCATTCTTCAAATCTTTTAACCCGAAATTCGACCATGATCGGAGTAATGTGAATAATGCCGTTATCATTTCATCACGCGGTAAAAGGGTGGCAAATCTTCTAATTTCTGAATCTAGTGGTGCAGAGTTGGATGACGAGGAGGATGAAAACCAACGAAGGAAGGATGATTTGGGTTTTTCTTCGTGCGATTCAACTGGGCTTGGAAGTTGATTGTTCCCACCACCATCAACGCTCTTTTTAGATCCCCAGGAGAATTTCCTCAAAAATGACCCCTTTCGTGATTTGTTATTTGGTTCAGGATAATTGTTGGTTTTATCATCCAATGGTTTCTTATGTGGTGGAGGAGGTGGTGCTGAAGCTGAAGCTGGTGTCGCAGTAGACGATGCATGGGGTTTTGATTCACGAACTTTAGTCATTGGTTGTGATGCTTCACGTTGAGGAGGGTTTTCATGTCCAGCAGGAACCATGGAGGACTGTTTACCCTGCTTAGCTTGTTTATGAGCTGTAGCTGAAGTCCCATTAGCAAGCACATCAATAGACGATTTACTCGATTTTCCGTCGGGTAGCTTTATCTTGTCAAAAACATCATCGGCATCACTCGATCCATCTGAAGGCCTAGTGCGATGAATCTTGCCCGTTGGTTCGCCCCTACTGTTAAAAGTGTTATCGGAGTCCTCTGTTGGCAATGCAGGCACTTTCGATTCTGGTCTGGCTGATTTACTATACCTCCTGGTGGTCGAGGCCCGAGATACCCGCTTATTCGATGAATCATAGTATGAATGTCTCTTATCGGCCAAATGCTGGTCAAAGTCAATAACCGAATGGGCCTCCCCATCTTCACCATCTTCGTCTTCCTCAGGCAAGCCAGCCTTGTCCAATCTATCAGCAAAACTAGTTCGCAAGGGTGGTATTGGAGGCTGCTCCTCATCGTCATTATCGGGTGTATGCGATTCAATAATTGAATTTAAATCACGGTACGATTCCTTGGTTGAATACATCGACAACACCGATAGCCTTTTGTTTGAGTTGGAGAAGTGCCTTGACTTTCTCGTTACATTCGGTATCTTGACACCACTTATCAAAGTCTGAGGTTGACCATTGTTATTGCCTCCACCATTTGCAATCTTTCCGAGATTCTTTTGACTGTTGAGCAATCGTGACTTTCTAATTTCCGACATATATTCATCACTCAAATTTGAATCAACAACATCAGGCTCAGGTAATTCAAAGTCCTCGTTCTCATCATAGTAGCTATCCTTTGATGGTCTTCTCTTATCCGAGTGGTGGCCGTCATCATCCTCCACTATATCGTCCATGACAGAAACCATCGACTCCCTATTGATCTTTTTCTTGGATTTACTCTTGGCGTCCTCGTCCTTCTTTTTATTGCCACCCTTCCACTCATTCTCCAACGCATCTTGAGCTCTTTCAATCTGTTCATTATGATGGGCTTGCCAAAGTGGATCTAACCGGGAAACAGGTCGCCTAGTCAATATCGGGGTCTGTGTCCTCTTCTTCACCGGCTGGCTTGCTGATCTCCTTTTCAATTGCTCAACATCTTGCATGGTTAGTTCATCAGATTGCGCTTGTCCTTCAGAAAGAGCCCGTAAAGCACCCAAATGTTTTGATTGACGTTTGGGTTGGGTGATTTCTTGCTCATTTATTGTTTCCATGTGTGAGTCCTGAGGTTCCTCCTCGTCCTCCTTTACAATAATACTGAGTTTCCTTGAACTGAGCAAGGATCTTCTCTTCAGTCTTCTCTTTTTCTTCTCCAACTCCTTTCGTGCTCTTAGCTCAGCCTCGTGTTTCTTGCGTTCAATTTCCATCAATCTTTCATATTCTTTAGCTTCCAATTCTTCGGGATCAGCCAATTCTTCATCATCCTTATCGTAATCCTCTTGGTTAAAGATTTTGTCACACAATGCAGCAAAAGTAGCCGAGGTTCTCTTGGTTTGTTTATCCATATACTCCCAATCGTCTTCACCAGCTAATTTGGTATAGACTGACAACATTTTCATTGTTATAGAATTCCTTTTCAACCCAGCTGTCATGGAGGCACGTATTGACCTTCTCTTTGACATTCTTTTGCTATTATTATTGTTATTTTTGTTTACCATTGAAGACCGTTTGGATGTGGATACCTTAGCTGATTGTAACAAGTTAGGTGATTCATCAACCACTGGATTTTCTGCTAACTTTGGTAAACCTGATGGTTGCTCAGCGTAATACGAGTCTTTTGAAGGCAACGAAGGTGGAACTGATTGTGTGCTCTGAGATTGAATAATGTCATCATAAATATTACGAGGTGTAGCTTTAACGTTTGAGTTTTCCTGGTGCTGCTGCTGTCTTTGCTTAGGTTTGGTTGGTGAACCCGATGGAGAACGGGCAAAAGACTGTCTCTTCTTAATAACTTTTCTCGGCGAATTATTGACCGACGATGCTGCGGATAGCCTGGCAAGGGCATTCCTGTTGTTACTTCCACTTGATCCAAATCCATTTTTGTATTGAAACGAGGTTGGCCTTGACACACTAATCTGACTGGTGCGTTTTCTACCGGCAGGCGATCTTCCTATTGACCCACTTCTAGCGATCTTGCTGCTGATGTTGTTGTCAAAACTGGTCGACTTAGTAGCCGTAGCTGGACCTGTCTGATCATTACTTGAGTGTCTATACCTCAAAAGCAAAGCATAAAACGTCTTTTCCGGGTTTGCTCCATTCAGTAAGAGACATTTAATTATATCTTGCTCTGATCGATCATTCCATAAAATGGACAAATTTGATAATATTTGTTTATCGATATTTTTCACTGACCCGAGTGACTTGTAAGCAGTTTCTGGGTGTGGTAATGATTTTTCACTAATCAAATCTTCGTTCGAACAAGGGTATTTAGTTAATAATGGGTGTCTCAAGATATTCTCAGTGGTGATTCGCTTGGCAGGATCAACTTCCAACATCTTCTTGATTAAATCTTGTGCTTCTCTACTAATCTCGTCCACGGGCATTTCGTAGCTTCCTGCCTGGACTTTAAGTAAAAGATTACGAATATTTTCATCATCAAATGGTAGTCTCCCCGTTAATAAGGCAAACAATATAACACCACAGGACCATACGTCAGAAGCAGCTCCATGATATTTGAACCCACTAACAATTTCAGGAGCAGCGTAATGAGGCGATCCACAAGATGTTTCAAGTAATTTGCCATTACTTTCCAAAGCAGCCATACCAAAGTCAGCCAATTTGACATTCAACTGAGCATCCAATAATAAATTTTCCGGTTTCAAATCTCGATGGCATATACCCAATGCATGGCAATAAGCAGTACCCAAGACTATTTGCCGGAAGTATTTGATAGCTTCGGGTTCTTGCAAGGGACCCAATTCAACCAACAAGTCAAATAGTTCTCCGCCTTCAACGTATTCCAATACCAAGTAAAGTGCTTTCGAGGTTTCCCACACGTCATATAATCTAAGAACATTAGGATGGGTAAGAAGTTTCATTATAATGATTTCACGTTCGATTCCGTAAGGCAATCCTTGACCTTCGCCGTTTGCATTATTGGTGGTGCCATGGCCTTCTTTTTCTCCTCCTCCTTCTTCTTCTTCTCTTAGTTCTGACTTGGAAACTACCTTAACGGCTGCTTTTTGTCCTGTAGTTTGATGAGTAGCTAGTAATACCCTTCCAGTAGCTCCCCTTCCCAAGGTTTTGCCCAATTTCCAAGGTCCAATTGCTTGTGGGTGGTTATTATGGGCAGCAGTAGAAGCAATTGATGAGCTGATAGAAGCCAGCCTTGAATGTGCCATATTTTATTTTGCTGGTTTGTTGTTGTAAGTTTTATAGTTGTTGTACACAAATAAAAAGAAAGTAAAGTAGTTGGTATGGTAGATATAGCTATACTCTTTAGTTAAGCAACAGACTAAAAAGAGGGTTGGTTGTGGTAGTTGTACGTAGTTGGTTTGTTAAAAAGGAATGATATATGAAACGATATGTGCTGTAAAAAAAAAATCAAAAAAATTTTTTTGATACTGTAAAGATTGTTAATGTTTAAAAATCAAAATGAATAAAAGAAAAAAGAAAATGCGTCTGTTGAGAGGTTATTACTTTTAAATTACTTACCTTATTATTACTTAATACTACTACTACCACTACCACTACCGTTGTAGGTATATTATGTTGTATATTGTATTGTGTATGTGTATGGGTATTATTATTTAGAGAATGTTAAAAAGACGCGTCTGTCGTAATAGTAAGTAATATACACCAATTAGGAAATCCTGCATATTCTAATTGAACACACAGACGCGTATTTATTTATATATTACCCCTTTCAAATATATATACAATAATACAATAATACATTATATTACATACATTACATACATTACATATTAACTATATATATATATTAGGTATAGTTATACTTATAGTTATATTTATAGTTATATTTATTTATAGTCTTTGTTATCTAATTTAACTACTTTAGGAATATACATTACTCTCTATACATTAATATAATACACCACACCAATACAAAATATAAACACTAAAACAGCCTTACTATAGACGAAAATATACACATACACATACACAGGCCAAGTTTAGATGCAATAGAACAGTCTTTTTACAACAACAGCCAATCACTAAAACAAACCGTTTAGTACAACAGTTTTATTTCCAGTATTAACTCCTCTCTCTCTTTGTAAACTTACGCTCTATTCTAGCCTATTCTTTGTGTATGACACATCTGTCTTCTCTATTGACATATTTTTACAATTTTTATTATGCAATAACTGCAATCTCTCTATAATCTCCACACCATCTCTAAATTACATTAAGTATGTATATGTCACAACACAACACTTGAAGTACAATGAAGAGAATAAAACCATCACCACGACTCCTTACTTTTCTAATAGTCTGAGCACCAGTGTCAAACTATCCAGCTGATGAACCCTACCTTTGTTCACCACAGCAACCACATATCAGTAGTATAGTATTTGTTTCTTCCTTTGGAATGAAAAGAGACAAGTCCCAACAATCTAGCAAGCAATCGGTCTCATCTCTTTCACGTCTTCACGATTTCACTTCTTTACAATCCAATGTCAGTCAACAATTGCATCTGTTTCTTAATTTCTTCATTAGCTAATTCATCTTTCTTCTTCTTTTCTTTATCTTTGACATAATCCTCCTTAATCAGTTTTAACACCTTCAAATTATCTTCATTAGCATCTTTCCTTTTGTCTTTTGGTATTGCTGATGTTTCAGCTAATAACTGTGATACTTCATTAAATTCAGTTACATCGGCATTCAACTTATCTAGTTTTATCTTGGTTGCTTTGGCTTTTGATTTAGATCTAGATACATGCTGATTATTAGAAGAATGTTTTGCATTGGGTTTGGTCTTGGTTTTCTGAATCTTGTTATTAGACTTTTTGGAGATAGTGGAGTCTTTACCTTTTAGTGGCATCTTTTAATTTAACAGGTTGGAGTTAGGGTAGTGGGAAAGCTTAAAGGTATACCTTTTGATACTCATCTCCCTTCACTATTCTTTTCTTTGTGAGGCAAAGTTAACAAAGTCAAAAGCAAAAAAAAAGAGAAAAAAAAATTTGGTGAACTCATCTCATCTCAGATAACCACATCTTACATACAAGAAACTACTCTTAAAATGCCATCAACACACAACAGAGACAAGCCATGGGATACACCCGACATAGATAAGTGGGCCATTGAAGAGTTCAAGCCGGAACACAATGCTTCTGGTCTACATTTTGCTGAAGAATCATCATTTATGACTCTTTTCCCTAAATATCGAGAACAATATCTTAGAAGCATATGGAGTGATGTAACTAAAGCCTTAGACAAGCACCACATACGATGTGAATTAGACTTAGTTGAAGGATCAATGACGGCGAAGACCACGCCAAAAACATTTGATCCTGCCATGATTATCAAGGCTCGTGATTTAATCAAATTATTGGCTCGTTCAGTACCTTTACCACAAGCAGTCAAGATCTTGCAGGATGATATTGCTTGTGATGTGATCAAGATTGGTAATTTTGTCACCAATAAAGATCGATTTATCAAACGAAGACAACGATTAGTAGGACCCAATGGAAATACCTTAAAGGCATTGGAATTATTAACTCAATGTTATATCTTGGTACAGGGAAACACGGTTAGTGCCATGGGTCCATACAAGGGGTTAAAAGAAGTGAGAAGAGTAGTTGAAGACTGTATGAAGAACATCCATCCGATATACTATATCAAAGAATTGATGATCAAACAAGAATTGCAGAAAAACCCTGAATTAGCTCATGAAGATTGGTCAAGATTCTTGCCTAGTTTCAAAAAGAGAAATGTTGCCAGAAAGAAGGTTAGTAAGAATAAACAGGGTAAGGGAGGAGCAGCAGAAAAGAAAGTTTATACCCCATTCCCACCAGCTCAACAACCACGTAAGGTTGATTTGCAAATTGAAAGTGGTGAGTATTTCCTTGGTAAACGTGAAAAGGAATTGAAAAAGATTCAGGAAAAGAGAGCCCAACAGGAGGAGAATAGTGAGTTGAAGAGACAAGAAAGAGCTAAGGATTATGTTGCACCTGAAGAAGATAGTTATGAGAATAAACTTTTAAAGAGTAAGGAAAAGAAGGAAAATAAGGAAAAGAAGGAAAAGAAGGAAAAGAAGAAAAGGTCAAGTGAAGATTCCAACGACGATGAAGACGGTTCCAAACATAAGAAATCTAAAACAGCCTAAATGTTTGATTTGAGGTAAGTATATCAAATGGAATGCAAACAATATGTCCACGTGTTCAATGTTACGTTTTCGTATGTTTAATTTAGATAAAACATGGAAAACTTTTGATCACAAGTTGTATGTATCAGATTAACTCGTCCTCTCCCGGTAGAAACAGTCTCTAGAGAGGTAAATCGATATGTGCTTCGGTCTTTATACACAATGTAAAATAATTGACAATTTGAAAGTATTTGTATTTGTATTTAGAGTGGCTTTTTTGGTTGCCATGGAGTGTGTAGGAGTTTGGATCTGCAAATTACTCAAATTGGACAATTGGTCCACAGAAGAATGTCGTCTATTTTTTATTTGTCTATGTCGTTATGTGTCGTCTGAAATTGACGACACAGCACCAGTTCTGGTCTGTACATTATAATAAACTAAAACAAATATAAATATGGTAGCGTTGTGTCTCAATTGAGTATGTCTGTTTCCCATTTAGGTCTTCTATACAAATATATACACATCAATACATACAACAAAGCCACTGCCATTACTATGCCCCACTTCTATCGCTTAATCATATGTAACTTTCCAGAGTTAATAATTGAATGACTTGAAAGTGGTCTCTCTGATTCTGTAGATAAATACTTATCCAATGGTACTACTACGACTACAGTCGTATTGATTAAGTGTGTGGTATGTCAAAGTACGGCGTGTAAAAAGTGAGTTTTGATTACATAATCTTTTGTTTACAAAAAAAAAGAATTATTTTTTTTTTTTTTGATTTGAATTTTATTTAATTTCTCTTACGAAAAACGGCTTGTATCAATCAATCAATCTATCACTTTCCAACCATTCCCTTTTTTGAAAGTCATAAAGTCTTATAATCTTTGCATCACCACTTACACTCGCTACGTTCTTTCTTTAGTTCTTTTGCATTATTCAAACACTCTTGCATTAGCTTAGCATAGCTTCCCACGCACCGACAGTTCTACATATGCACCTCATCTCAGCCGAATGTCGAAATTAGATCAAATACTTTCATTTGCCGAGGAGATAGAAGCACGATCAAATAAACTAACTGATGCCACTTCTGCTTCAATAGATCTAATCAGCCACATTTCCTACATTAATCAACAACTTTTACAAAATGATTACGATATCGATGAGATTCGCCATTTGATGAACACTAATCAATCATGTATGATTCAGTTGAGCGCCTTGAATGAGAAATCATTTTACTTGGAGTCGAATCTACCGATTAATGATTGCATTACTAATCAAACTAGTTTTGAGAATTTGAATACTGAATATAATCATATCCTACTGAAATTGGCGGCCAATAATCAAGTCAGTAGTGATGGCGATTATGAATATGAACAAGATCTTGCGTCTAATTTGCAACAAATAAATATTGATGATAGCTATATCGACGATGAGAGCGGGGAAGAAGATGAAGAAGAAGATGAACTCGACCAAGAAGATTATGTAAATGACGCCCAATTAGAATCGACATCTCCAACACTAGAACCACCTGATTTGAAAAAGATGATTTCGATATCCAACTTGCAACTCAAACCAATGCGCTGTGCATCTTCTTCCTCAACTAATGCAACACTGCAACCACGATCGATTCTGAAAAAGAAGTCACGGTATAGACTTTCAAGTATTTACAATATTAATCCCGTGGCACTTGAAGATTCAACAATACATTCAAACACAACTTCATCGTTTACTTCGTCATCACCGCCTTCTGAAGATAGTGACAAGATGATGAAGAATAGTTTATCTCAGTCATTTGATACTATTGAGTCGCATTTCTCAATCCATCATGGTCCAATTGACAAAGACGGCCAATACAATGTAAATTCTCAACCTAATGCAGATGACGGACAAGTTGGCGCAGCTTTGCCTCAAGCATCACCCCTAATGCATAATAAACACACTAGATCCAATTCTTTGCCTACATCGTCAACCAAATCCATCGACCAAACGGAATTATTCAAAGAGCTCGACTACCAGGAAGATTATTTGCGATTTAACCGACTAAAGCATTTCATCAGTATAAGCAACTTACCCAAGCGTGCTAAAAATACCACTGCTATGGGAGGCGCACAAGGACTAGATGAAGATGATGATGACGATTTATTCTATCACGAATTTGAAAAATCGTTAACGCCACAACAATGTCTTGACAATTGTGATGTTTGCTCAGTAATATCAGACATATCGTATTATTCACCTGAAAAACAAGGTTGTATTGAAGAAATTGCCAACCCCCAGGATTCCAATTTGGACTTTGATACGTATAATCAGTTCTTGCGCAAATCTAAATTGAACTTGAACGAAGCTTATCACAATGCATTCCCTCATCTTTATCGACAAAACAAGGAAGATGCAGGTCTAGATCAGCAACCACAACATCAATCACCACAACAGGCAACACAACTTCATCACCCTAATCACCATTTCAAAAACCCTATTGCTACAATCGGTAGCACTACACCACATACAGTGAGTCCTACTTTAGACACCACTTTCCAACAACAACAATACCATCCAGTATCAACTAGCCAGTCATCGGGCAAATTATCATGTAAATTATTGAGTCAAGTAATTTCACGAAGTCCCGCTACTGTTACTACTACTACTGTTAATAGAGATGCATTTGCTACACCATCAACCCTGCCCAAACAATCACCTACATTCTTAACATCATCGCCTCCATTACCTATTAAATCATCATCGCCGGCGTCGTCGAAGCTCAATTCAATGGTGACAAAATCTTCACCATCAACCGCTACATCACCATCGCCATTACTTTTTGGCTCATCATCGTCACCTTCATTCACCCATAATCTCATCAACTTCATGTCTATTTCTAAAATGCATGAGCATAACCAACAACGCCACTCACTGCAGCAATTGCACCACGCCCAGCCATTTATGAAACCCCCTACTCCGGAAAAGATTAGACTATTGAAGAAACAAAAACGGTTGAAACGGCATGTACCTATTCTGATCCCCAATGAAGCCCAATTGAAACGAATACCACCACAATTGAACCATACAAATGGAAGTAAATCAGGCAGTGCAAATGTAACTAGGACTGGAACTAGTAATAGTTTTCGAAATGAAGGTGGATCGTTTTCGAAATTGACAATATTACGAAATCAAAAGTACATCAATCATGGCGATTCATCAATTTTTAATAATCCAATTATGCGCGGTTGTAATGAAGATGCAATACGAGAGGCTTTAAGTGCTAGTTTGCTTGAATAAATCAGTGAATAAACAAATAACCCAGTGCGACAAGGAGCCTTTCTACTCGAAACTTTTAATTCTTATGCATTAATTATTCATTTACTTTTCTAGTTATTTATAGTTTAAAACTTTCAATCTATAGGAAATCAGAACTAGTAAACAATCGCAGCGAAGTAGTAGAAGACGACCCTGACTCCGGCTTATGCTTCTCACCTCTTTCTTTTCTTGAGTTGCGTAAACTTTTCTCAATTTGTCGTTCTTTAAAGCTCTTGAGTGATGGCTGTTGCTGGGCCCTGGCTTTGGCCAGTTTCGACGACATGTACGTAATCGACGCTTTTGAGCCGGAAACAACCTTGTATTGTTTACTAATTGTGACCCCGGAGAAATGTTGTTTGCCGTTCTTGTTGAAGGACATTCCCTTTTGCTCTTGGAACGATTTGAATGATTGAGTAATTGATGGTTTTTTGAAAATTGGCATAAAGTCGTCATCAAACTCATCGTCCTCATCCCCATCAACCACATCAACCACATCGAGATTGATCTCTTCATCATTGTTGTCTTCATCTTCATCTTTGTCAGTATCGCCACCATCCTGCTTATTTCCATCTACATTATCAAAAAGTGTATCTTGACCCAACTTTCTCTTGCGGGGGTTCTGTTGTTTATGATCAATGTTGGTGACTTGTCGATTATGTTGAAGGATACTCCTTGATTTCAACGCCGTGATATCTTCGACACCATCATCATCATCATCTGATATGCCATGCTGCAATTTAGATAACTTTTGTATACGATTGTACCCTCTCTCACCACTATCATTTTCGTCATCATAGACACTTTGGTACAAGAATGACAACTTATTATGCACAAATGATTCCTCTATTTTGATTGTTTGTTTCAATGGTGCCTCTTTTTCTAATGAATCTTCTTCATATCCACCATTCTTGTCATCTTCTTGCCCATCATTAACATCACCATGAGGCGTAGTTTCCTTTCCACTCGATTCTTTACTTCCACCAAAAGGATTAGCAACACCACGACCAATTTCTTCAACATCACTATCAATCACAATGGTTTCATGCTTATCCTGAATCGTATCGAAAAAAGCCTTTGATTTCTCATCTTTGCTCAATGCTTGCAATTTTTTATTCTGTAGTAATCGTTGTTGTTGCTCAATTAATTTTTGTTTACGATAAGCAGCCAATAATTGATCCTCTTCATCACTCAATTCAATATCAAATCCATTATTATTCTGCCCTACTCGTTTAATCAATTTATGATTTTTGATATCATCCAACAATTTTTCCAATTCTTTTTGATCTTTAATTTGATATTCTTCCATAAACTTTTGGCGAATTTCATCATTCTGTAAATCAATATTTAAGTTGTTATCAATCATTCGCTCATCTTCAGAATTGGCCACATCGGAAAATTCTCCATCCATTCCTCCTAACCCCTTCCATTCATCTTCAGACTCTTCTGCTTCCCCATCGAACATGGTTTTCATACCACTCTTTTCCAATTCTTTCCGACGCTTACGTGCTTCTAATTCTTTTCTTCGTATCTTTTGTTCATATTCCTTAATTCTTTGTTGGATGACTTCGGGATCCTCTTCGTCTTCCTCATGCTTCTCAGGTTGGTCTTCTGGTTCTTCCTTGATTTGTATCATCTTGTTACGCATTGCTTTACGACCTCTGTTGACACGTGCTGGTGTTATCATATCATCATCCTCGTCCTCGTCTGTCACTTCAGCATTCTTTCTGTCTGCTTGTGTTGCACCTTCATTGCTTTGTTTCTTGATGATTTGTGTTTCCAACTCACCCAAGGTAGAGGTATCAACTTGAGTTGGCTGGTCAACTTGTGTATGATTCTGCGTTTGTGACTGAATTTGTGATTGGGAAAGATCCTTGAACAGCGGCAAATTGGGTTCATGTTTGATAGGCATATCTCCTCCTTGCGTTGACATAAATGATTCGTCTTTATTTCTTGGTTGCAAGTTTTTGAATAACTCATGACTGTCATCATCGTGAGTAACTCGGTTCTCTTCTCCATCATCATCTTCAAATGACTCGTTATAATCGTTCTTGACATCCTGATTCTCATTGTCGTCGTCGTCATCATAACCAGGCTGCTCAAAATTATCTGAATTGAAATCGCTTTCAGGAACTTCCGAATCTGCAACATCACTCTCGGGTATGTCTTGATCATAGTCCCCATCATCTTCACTATCAACCATCTTCATTCCCAATGTCTTACCCAATAGAGCCAGCTTGGCTCTTTCCTGCAACTTCTCTTTCTTTCTGATCTTTCTAACCCTTTCCATTTCTCTTTCCAATAATGAAGTCATTGACTCTTCGTTCTTCTCAAGCTCTTCCATCAACGCATGTTCTGGATCGTTTAACCTATGAACCTTCAATTGATCAATATTTCTTCTCTGTAATTGTTTAAAAAAATTACTTTGCTGCTTATGTTTATCCGAATCCTTTGACGCATGTATGGAATTTTGATACTTTTTCTTTGCAAATCGTTGTCTAATGAGAAATTTCTGTTCTTTGGTAAGCTCAGGGATTACATCCAATTCTTTGGCATGGTTTGAAAACCGTGATTTATGCTGCGTTCTCAATGGTGAAGATGAATGTCCAATTTCAACATCAGAATCAGAATCCAAATTGATCAAGGGACCACCATTGTTACCTTGTTGATTGTTTGAAGGCGAGCTTGGCAAGCCTTGTTTCAATCTTTGGGCATACAACTCTAAAGGGTTAGATGATTGAGTTGGCTTTGAAGGTACCAGGAACAAGTCAAACGCATTATTCTTAACTGGTGATGTCGTAGGACTGGATTTCAACAATTCTTCTATGGTAGGCGAAGATGGTTTTTCATTATGAGTTGTCTTTTTCTTCAAACCAAATAGATCGTCATCATCCTCTTCTTCGTCATCTTCTGAAAACAAATCCAAAAACTTTTCCTTTGTAAACACTTGTTTTCGTTCAAAGTCGGGCCTGATATCAATTTGACGTTTCTGAATATTTAAAAACTGTTGAGCTTTCTCCAACTCCTTTGTAGATAAACCATCACTTTTCATGTGCGAAGATACAACTGTGTCATTGGCTTCGTTATTGAGTTCATCCTCCTCGTCAGTTAATGAACCTTTTGTCATATCTTGCTCTAATAGCTCTCGTTCTTTCTCAAGGCGAGCTTGCTTCTTTTCCTCAGCCAATTGAACTATCTTGCGTTGCCTTTCTTCTGCTGTCATTGGTTGTGTTTCCTCTTCTTCCTCTTCATCTGACTCCACAAACAAATTCTGCAAGTCATTCCTTCGAATCGCTTGTGTGGGGACCACGGATGAATTTGCTATAGCTGGCTTTATTCTCTTAGCACCAATAATCTGAGTAGGATCAAGAGTTGTACTTTTGTTGATTACCTGAGTAGGATCAAGGACCCTACTTTTGTTAATTACTTGTGTGAGATTGCTATTGCTTCTCTCCTCTATAACCTGGGTTGATTGGATATACTCATTTTCGTCCACTTCTAATTGAGGCAAATGTTGAAACTGGTTATCTGACACTTTGTTAGGAACTATTTGAGTTTCATCTTGGTCAAGTTTTTGAGTTTCATCCAACTGCTGTGATTCCTTATTCTCCCCAAGCAACCTATTTCTCACCTTGTCTAATATACTTAAGTCTGTTCCAGCAACTTTATTATTGGCCACATTGTTCATAAAGTTGTCACTAAGGTCAAAACCAAGCATCGAGATATTACTCTGTTTTTGCGATGGTTCATACGCCCCTTGCTTTTCCACATCATTACTGTTGAGATCAAGGATGGGGTCTTTACCCACCCCAGGACCACTTAGGACGGTAGGCATGTTTTCTTTATCGTTAAGCAGTTCCATCTTAGGTGCTCAACTAAATGGCTAGTTATTTTGAATCGTGATGAAGTGATTTGCAACAGGTGCTTTGTATTAAATCTACAACTACGCGGTCGGTTACTTACGCACCTTTCTTTTTTTTATTTTTTTTCGCGTTTGTTTATATGTCGCATAAAACTTAATGTCGTGAGACTGGAAATGACACACATGACAATTCGTAAACGTTGTAGTGAAATTTCTCCTCTAACATCAAGCAAAAGGTGAGCCATCTCACACCAGGTAGAAGTAAAGGGGGTATAAGTCATCATTTTGGGTACAAGATACTTCTTACTTTTCAATCTTTCTGATGCTCAAAGCACTCTTGTCAACGTGGTAGCCATCTTCAAAAGCTACAAAGTTCGAGTTGTACGATGTCGTTTAAGAGAAAAAATAAAAAAAATATTGTATGGTGGTTTTTGTGTGTATATTTGGGGTGTTCTGTTTAACATGTGAAAGTCACGATTTCTTAGATCATCTATAATTACAATAGAGTGCATACACACCCAAACACCAATAGTTTAACAATACAATAAACTCTGCCCACGAGTCTACTTTCAACTTCAAACGAGTGTGTCGTTTAGAATGGAAGTAAATGGATCATCCATACAGTTTAACAGGTATAATGTCAATCTACAACAGTCCAAACAAGGGACTACAATTCATTTACGTGTCACATTGTTGTACCACCCATATTATATGTATAGCTGTCCCACGAGTGTGGCTCTCATCGTAACAGAAAACGTTCAGCGTTTAAATTTTTATTTATTTTTTTTTCTCTGCCAACAAAGTTTTCTTTTTTTTTTTTTTTTTTTTTTTTTCACCTTTTTTAGCATCGAGATTTAAATCAACAGCGTTTTTCCCATCTTTCTTTCTGGAAAAAAGCACTTTTTGTTGAAATTCATCTCATTTCAATTGCATTCCTTTTTTTAACTTAATCAAATGTCTACCTCAGGAGAAAGATTTCTTTTCACTTCAGAATCTGTCGGTGAAGGTCACCCAGATAAGATTTGTGACCAAGTGTCTGATGCTATTTTGGATGCTTGTTTGTCTGTGGACCCATTGTCCAAGGTTGCTTGTGAAACTGCTGCCAAGACTGGTATGATCATGGTCTTTGGTGAAATTACCACCAAGGCTACTTTGGATTACCAAAAAATTATCAGAGACACCATCAAGCACATTGGTTATGACCACTCAGAAAAGGGTTTCGACTACAACACTTGTAACGTTTTGGTAGCTATTGAACAACAATCGCCAGATATTGCTCAAGGTTTGCACTACGAAAAAGCTTTGGAAGAATTGGGTGCTGGTGACCAAGGTATCATGTTTGGTTATGCCACCGATGAAACCGATGAAAAATTGCCATTGACCATCTTGTTGGCCCACAAGTTGAATGCTGAATTGGCCTCTGCTAGAAGATCAGGTGCTTTGCCTTGGTTGAGACCAGACACCAAGACTCAAGTTACCGTCGAATACGAGAAAGACGGTGGTGCTGTTATCCCAAAGAGAGTTGATACCGTAGTCATCTCTACTCAACATTCAGATGACATTTCAACTGAAGACTTGAGAAGCGAAATCCAAGAGCACATTATCAAAAAGGTTATTCCAAGCAACTTGTTGGACGACAAAACCATCTACCATATTCAACCATCAGGTAGATTCGTCATTGGTGGTCCACAAGGTGATGCTGGTTTGACTGGTAGAAAGATCATTGTTGACACTTATGGTGGATGGGGAGCTCATGGTGGTGGTGCTTTCTCAGGTAAAGATTTCTCCAAGGTTGACAGATCTGCCGCATACGCTGCCAGATGGGTTGCCAAGTCATTAGTTAATGCCAAGTTGGCCAGAAGAGCTTTGGTGCAATTCTCATACGCCATTGGTGTTGCTGAACCATTGTCTATTTATGTTGACACTTACGGTACCTCCAAATACTCATCTGATGAGTTGGTGCAAATAATCAAGAACAACTTTGATTTGAGACCAGGTATTATTGTCAAGGAGTTGGATTTGGCCAGACCAATCTACTTCAAGACTGCATCCTACGGTCATTTCACCAACCAAGAAAACCCATGGGAACAACCTAAAAAATTGAAATTTTAATTGTAACAGACTCTAATTTCAACACAATTTTAATTCACTTCAACAGTATTTTATAGAATTTTTATATAATTTGGTTATAAACTTTTTTTTAAAAAAATCTGACATTGTAGTCTAGAAAATCAATTTTGTTCAAAAAAATGATTAATCACGCTCCACTTTATTCATTATTATTCATCCACACCACGAAGCCTGAATAATTGAATCTACATTTACCAATTTATTATTTGTATGCGATTTAAGTAGCAGATACTATCTAGAACTAAGTAGATACTTAACTTGCCTTTTTTCCAACGAGGTATCGAGGTTTCATGCCAAATACTGCTTCATATTGACACAACAAGCAGCACTTATCACTAGGGATTAACCCGTAATAGTTTCTCGGCGTTGTAGACACGCGGTTACGCAACCGAGAGCTGTCTAATTTGTCTTGTGGCTTCTCCTTTAGCAATCTCTTTAAGTCATCAAGTGGGTCGCTAATCTCTCGTTTCAGTTTTCTTTTTAATTTGGACTTATGTTTTGGTGAGGTCGACGAACCAGATGATGGGGCCCGCAGTGAATCCTGTTGGTTCCTTGCGGGTGGGTTGTTTTCTTGATATCTACTCGCTACATTGGTACCCAAATTGAGTTCATCCTTTAACCCTTTCAACTTTTCTGCCGCTTGATTCATCAGTCTTAGCTTTTCTTCAATGTTGTTACCTGTAGGAAGAAGTCTTCCACTGCTATCATACTCAAATGTAAACTCACAAGAAGGGCCCTCGCTATCGTTGTCACTATCGGCGGGTCTCGACTCTCTCAAAAGACCGTTTGATGACAACAGAGAAGATCCATACACCTCGTCAAAAATGGGACAGTCACAGTCTTCTAATCCATGAATTTTGCATTCAGGAATCGGGCTAAACTCTATTTCTATCGAGGCGGGATTTAAATGACCAGCATTTTCAAATTCATTCCGGAGTTTGCTCAAATCATTGTCATCAAGATGGCTATTTTCGTAACTTGATTCAAACAAATTAAAGTTTGCCGGCAAGTCTCCTCCTTCCCTTTGTTTGATGATTTGGGCTATTTTATCTCGAATGAAGTCAATTTCATTATCATTTAATAGCGATTGAGGAGGACATATGATCTTCTTTTTGGGATGCTTGATGAGTCTTTTCGATGTATCACTATGCGGAGTTTCTATAGTTGGTGCATCTAGCAGTTGCCGGTCATCATTCGTGATCTCTTGGATCCGCTCTCCAGCTTGATTTGAAACTGATTCAAGCGCTTCTAACAAATTATAATTAAATATGGGATTCAGCTCAGTGGGGTTTGGATCATCTTCTTTCGGAAATGGTGAAAAATTGTCCTCATCCTCAAATTGTTTCGCCATCACCTGCAGCCAATTATCGTAATTTTTCGAAATCATTTCAAACAACTGAGCAGGACTTGCTTTTATCGAGGTGGGTTTGCTACTGCTTGCCCCTGCGTTCATCTCTTTTGGCGGTTTTTTGGCTTTTGTTTCAGATGGTTGCCTACTATCCATAGCCGGTGATTCTAAATCTTGCTTACCCATATGATGAGTCAGAGGGGTCATTGCACTTTGGTAACTTTACTATATCCCGTTCATGAATGTAAGGTATATGAATATTTATTAAATTGAAATTCTCGAGTGAAATGTAGGCGTCAAGCAAATTGTTATGTGTAAACTGTAGACAAACTTCTTCATCGCGCTGGTAAAATAATTTTTTCTTTTTTGTCTCCTACACACCAATCTACAAAAGGACATCTTGACATTAGAATCAATTTCACTATCTATAATCTAATCTTTCTTCAAAGTTCTTTGCTTTTCTGCATTTTTCACCACTTTTTCATCAATAAACAACCCTTTTCTCCTTCTGATGTTGTTCATGTACCGCCTTGCAATATTTTCTCTTTCGGCAAATTCACCTAGTTCCTCCAATTCTTCCTCTGTGTGAGGCACCCAAAAGGGATCAATATCGAGAGTATCGAACCCATCAAACACCAATTGTGGACTAGCAGCACCCGAAGTTTTCTTTCTGATATCTTCACTAAATCCAAATGCCTGGATAACGGGGAGTCTAGCAACGACAGTGAAGAATGGAGTTCCTTCTTTCATTTCCTCTGAAATAATTGAACCCTCACGTTTTTGTACAACGGCATAAACCTTTCCCAAGACTTCAGCTGCAGCTTGAATTTCACATGTATACATTGCAAGAAGAAGACGAGGCGATTTGACCAAAAACAGTTTATGGATTAGGGTCTTGGCTTGGTTAATAATTTTACCCCTGTTGATCAAAATTTTGTCTTCGTCAATATCATTCACAACGGCCTTCTTCAAAATGACAACTACTCCCTGCATTGGCTCATCAGCTAGTGGACCTTCGTTGAGTGCTAATTGGGCACCATTCAAAACATTATTTTCAAATGGAAATGGCTTTTCAGGTTGATTGGGGGCAAAAAGGTGCTTGAGTTTGTTTGTTTTGTCTAGCAAGATGTTTGGGCCAACTCGCTTAGGACCAAACGCCACTATGTTATCAATAAAAAACTTTGCATTTTCAAAACCATAAAATGACTTCTCTTTGTCGACAAGTGTCGTCAATTTCTCAACCAACGATTGCTTAACCTCCAGTGTAATGCTCTTGCTTCTGGCAATCTCGCTTAATAATGATTCGTTATCGATCAAAAGTTGAGTAACTTCACTGGGCAAGGGGCAAACGTCAAAATCGAGACTAACAAGCTCATTATCGTCACCTTCGTCTTCTTCCTGTATTTGCTCATCAGCTCTATCTTTGCTCACAATATCATCCGCCAATGATTCTCGGAATGGAATCACTGGCTCTTTGACGGTGACTTCACAACCTTTTGCAAACCTTTCTTCCAAATCCTTTAAACATCTTTCTAAATGAAGTTCACCCGAAACACAAACAATCAATTCCCCAGATTCATCGTCAACGTACCACTCCAAGACAGGATCAGCTTTAGCAAGTAAATCCAAACCATGCTCCAACTTTGCCAACTTCATTGGATTTGTTGGTTCAACAGCTATCCTCATGATAGGTTTGTTATGGATCAAAGTTGAAGTGGAAGCAAAATTGATATACGGCATATCTGGGGGTAAGGAAGAGCAAATGGTGGCGTTCTTGAGAACAACATTATCTAAACCAACCACACCAACGATATTTCCAGCAGGCACATGCTCCATTCTCACCAACTCCCTACCCATGATCAAAAACAAATCCTTAATTTCTATCCCATCCACAATTTGGTCAACATTCTTTTCGTGATCTCTTGGTAATGAAGGGTCATATTTCGGTCCAATCACGGTTAGTTTTTGTCCTTTCGATAAGGTACCAGAATACACACGAGTAAATCCCACCAAAGTCTCTGCCGAACTGCCAATTTCATCATCATCCTCATCCAGTCGTTGCTCAAAATCCTCCTCCTCAAACTCCCATTCAAACGGATCCTTCTTTGGATTGATTGTATACTCATCGTTTGCTCTGTTGTCCTGTGCCGCCGCAGCAGCTTCTGATGCTTTCTTAGCCAACTCTCTCGCAATTCTGGTCCTCTCTCTTAGCTCTTCCGCGGAAACATTGGCTCCTACTTGTGTCTCTTTTGGTAGTTCCTCATTAGGCACTGAAATTAGTTTTGACACATAGGCCATAGTATGGGTTTCTGCATGAGAGCTGTCACAGTCATGCATGGCCTTCACAAGACTGCGATCAACAAGCTTACTCTTGTCCAGTTCGGTGTCAACTGCACTATAAACAGTTTCCTCTAGGATCTTGTCTATCCTCTCCAGTTGTGCTTCAACGGGACTAGGCAAGTTGTCAATGACCGTTCCTAATACGGCGTGACTTAAAGGTATCCATTGTGACATTATTTGATTTAGCAAGTTCTTCAAATCTTTCGATCTCAAATCACGAGGCGAGATCTTGGCCCCCAATTTCTCGATAATTTTCTCTAATTTTTCCTGATTTCTTTCAAGTAAACAATTTTCATAAACGGCCCAAATTTGGACCAAAATTAACGACACAAATAATGGCTTCAGGCTGCCACTTTTAATCTTTTTACCAGGAACAATCTTTTTGGTCTTCATGTCCAAGTAGAAATCACCCCAGAGGGTCTTGGCAAGTGCATTTTGAGAAAAGCCTAATTTCTTCAGATAGATCTCAGCAAAAGTTTTGACGGTAAATGCCCACCCATCAATTGCAGAAGCAAATACCACATTGTTCTTTTCGGGGACAAAGTACAAATTTTCATCGTCTTTTTCGACAAATTCTCCCACTTCACCCGCTTCTCGCCAATTTAAATCGTCTTCGAGTCTGTCTCCCGCATAGAATGATCCTATAACCGAGTTAACCTGTTCAATGACTCTTGATATATGTTGGTAAGCCTCTAGTGGACTAAGCTTCCATTCAGTGATTAATCGGTCCAACTTGTTAATGACCAAGACAGGTTTTAGTTTATCAATCCAGCATTGACGTAAAACATTGATGGTTTGTGAGCACACACCTTCAACAGCATCGACCAAGACTATAGCTCCGTCACAAAGTCTTGACGACGTGCTTACCTCCGAGGAGAAATCGATATGACCAGGTGAATCGATTAAATTGATCAAATGCTCTTTGACTTCAACTTTTGCTTCTGACTCATCTCCTTTCTGCCTTCTCATGATTCTAAAGTACAACGAAATAGCAGATGCCTCCATTGTGATTCCTCTTAGTTGCTCGTCTTCTCTTGAGTCCAAGTATCGTATCTTTCCTGCCATGCGCTGCGAGATGATTCCGTTTGTTGCCAACAATGAATCACTTAGTGATGTTTTGCCATGATCAACATGTGCAAGGATACATATGTTCCTGATGCAAGAAGCATCCAGCTGTAGTTTGCTAATTGTCTCTTGAGAAATCTTCATTGTTTAGTAACTCAAATGACTATTGCTAAAGTTGTAGAAAGAATGTTGTTTCAGTGGAAAAAAATAAATGCTTCTTCATGGTGCTCATCAAAGACCAAAATGTTCCAAGCGCAAAGTATAAAAGAAATGGTAGCTCAATACAGAGACTCTCTCTACAAAAGCAAACCGTTAACTCAAATTAATATATGTATTAAATAAAAGATAAACCTAATCTAAAACGAAATGAAAAGACCAGCAAAACAAATCCTCGACAGAGATCTCTATATCTATTGGGATTTTTGGTTACCTTCGTATTGTGGGTGTCTCATAGGATGTACCTTGGCAAAATTGGGGTCTGATGTGACGTAAATCTTCCTTAATGATGAGTTTTGGAAGTAGTATTTTGCCATGTAGACTGACCAAGCACCATAACAAGCACCACCGACTAATAAAGCTCTGAAAGGGGTAATAGCAAAAGCAGCCATGATTGTGTCAATAATAATAAAGTTCTATATTAAGTATGTTGTAGGAATAGTTAATATTGATTGCTGGGAAAGGTGAACAGAACTTGAAAACAAAGATAAACCTTGAGGGTATTTATAGTTGAGGGGGAGGAAACAACATGTTTGAGTATAGTAAAACGTGTCTAAAAAGTTGTATGGATGCAAAAAAAGAGAGTAGAAAACCAAGCAAGGGCGACTGAGAAAAAAAGAAAAATCACCTCATTATTGAAATCATTTGTGACTGCAAAATTTATTCCGCGACAGACCACTCAGAAGGGAAAAAATAGGGTTGCATGAAACTCCGAAAACACCCACCTTCTTTCCACTATAATGTTTCTACACAATCTCTTTGAAATCGGCAGTGCCATTCTGGAGCTCCAAAGCACACTTAGAAAGTTTTGATCCCCCCTAAAAATAGTGCATATTCCATGGTGTGAGGCAACTTATTAGTGAAGAGACTGTGTCTGAATCTCCCTACAAAGCCGCACACTTTGTGGGTGACTTTCGCGAAACACCGGATTGGATTTAGAAGAAGAAGAAAAAAAAATTTAGAACAAAAAAATCACCTTACTTTTATTTGTTTTTTCATTGTTTTGCTTTATGCGCATGATTTTAATGCACGATAGGCTAATGGGAGATCAAAAATATAACCTGATGTTCGTTTGATAATACTTCACAAACAATAGTTACTGTATAGTTTATGTACCCGAATAGTGGGGTGCATTTAGTTAGATGCATAGGCTAAACATGCAATCAGCGCACCACCCCAGTCCGTAAAACGCCCTCGCCTTCACCTCTCCAACTACACAATAAGCAAGCACTAATAACGCTTAAGGTTAGTTCCTTTTACTTACGATACTATTTACCTGTCCTTTTGTAACTTTAGTTCTTCCGAAATGTTTTATTGTCTTTTCCTTCTCAGTACATTCGTACACCATCACCAGCAGGAAGAATTGGCAAAAATTGGCCAATTATCAACATTGGTATATCAAATAGGTCTCTCTTGACCGTCCAAACAGAGCAAAACTCGATGTAGTTGCTAGTGCCTACATTATTTTGCAATTGACCATCGGTGTTCACAGTGGCTGCATTATTGACATACGGTTCCTTTTTGGTGAGCTTTATTTTAGTACTGATACTTGAATGTAGGTTTCCCACCGCCACAGATTTAAATAGTTGAAAATACTTGACCACGGATTCGTCATCGTGCATCATTTCCATGATGAAAGTACGCTTTGATAATATATCCAGTAGTTTATAACCAAGTAGACTTAGCAAATCATCGGTTATACTCACTATTTCTCCAGTTCGACGCCATATAATGGTGGGCGAGGAGTTCAATTGACTCAATTTCTCGTAGTCAATCAAGCATCTTTGGAAACTCATTTCTAAAAGAAGGAGGTCTTGTGGTTTCAATAGGGACTTGTGTGCGCTAATAAACGTGGGTCTATAACTTGCAATCAATTTCAAAATGATGAGCAAGTTTTGTCTCTTGCGCTGCTTCTCCTCTGGGTCTAAACCATTGCCCTGAAACCTCGTCTTGAGAAAATGAGTTAGTGCATGGTAGGAATTGGGGTACTCGAAATTTATCACGTCCTTGTTGTAAATGTCAGACACTGTCTTGTAAATTTTGTGGGTTGCCAAGGGCGAAACATAGTCAGTGCGATACTTTGTTTTAAAATTCACAATTGGATTAGAATTGAAAGCTGTGGTTTGTTTACTGGTGCTTCCTCTAGAACTCACATTGTTGTCCAAAAGATTATCAGTTTGATGTGCCATGTTGTTCAAATTATCCAAACTCATACTTGAGTCTGTCGGGTATCCCAACGAAATAAAGGGACGAGAATCTCGCAACTTCTGTACCACCTTCTTCTTTGATTCATTGATATTATCAAAGTCGATATTTTGTATAAAAGATGGCGTAGGCCCATTAGTGTACTCTGATGCACTTGTGTTTGAAGGGGTTGGCGAGGCTGGTTTTGAGTTTAATAGAATGTCTCCTAGCATAAGGTACTCCTCATTAAGATAGTTGGAGCTAAATTGGTTGTTTCTGTGATTTAAATTGATGGGTTGAGGAGCGCCTGATATTTCAGATATCGGGTCCATCGACTGTTGGCTTAAACTGTCAATCTCGTAATGATCAGTAAGTAGTTTGTTTATAACATCCGTGGTAGTATTTAGCATGGTATTTGTATGAAACAACGGATCAGTTTCCAACAGGTTGGTCCTATTTAGATCTATTGATTCATTGTTGAAATCCGATCCATCTCGCGGCACGCCACACGGAGGAGTATCTAGTATCTCCTTGATTTGATTAATATTCGGATCCTCTATTGGGAGGTTTAAGGCTTCTTGCTTTTGTTGCACTGGCATTGGGGTTGGCACACTAGTTGGTAGGTGTCCATTAATCGCATGTTTTGAGCTTTGGGTTTGTTGCATTTTGAAGCCCTCGTTTACCATAGATGCTGGTGATGTACTGAATGAGCTGTTGGGAGTCGATAATACAGAAGACAGGTGTGACTTCTTTTTTGGCGACGATTTTGAAGATGCCGACAAGTATTTAACCCTTTTCCGGACAATATCGTGACACTCTGATGCTATATTCCTCTTGACACAATTTTTACAAGGCCGCTCGTTTGAACATTGCAAATGCTTTCCATGACAGAAAGTGCAAGCCCTTGATGCTGGCTTGCGGTTTTGTTTCTCTTGTGGGGTTAATTTCTTTGTCATTCTATTTTTATCATGTACCTATTCTTCAAATCAATGCAAATTCAAATGCGTTGATGATAAATCATGAGACAGGTAGCTCGAGTAACAGCCTTAGCTATAGATGGATTCAGCCTCTTCTGCCTATGGTTTGAAGTTTTTTTTTTCAAAATGTCACCTCGGAGTTTTATGGGAAGGGTGTTAAAAACATTCAATTGTGACTTCCGGGTTTTTTTTAGTTGCAAGAAAAAACTACAAAAATTAAAAAAAAATGAAACAAGATTCCATATTTAGTACCCAGTATTGAAGACAATACTGTGATGTCGCCATTGAACCATGTACAATACCAACCCTATAACTATTCCAGATTGAATATAGCATATAAATATTCCAAAACTGACGTGTGACACCCCACTTCTGGGCATCTTCGTTTATCTAGCTCAGCAGCGTGATTTTGCGAAACCAAGAAAGTCAAATCATTCATGTTGTCATCTGGCAGACATCGCAACGGTATATATATATATACTTTTAATGGTTCCTGGTGTTGCCCCAGTCAAATGGAGACCATGCCCCGTAATTGACTCTGTTTGTTACTCTTTTCGGAGCGCATTGCAGCAGCTGCATTGAAAAAAAACAAAAAAATAAAACAGAACAAACCCATCATCGTGCGGAGTCCAAGTTGATAAGAAGTTTTCAGTCTTCACCAGCACACAACTAGCTCCAAATTCACTTACAAGTATGCCTATTGAGTTAGAGGAACCCGGACTTGAAAACAATGCTCAAGTTGCAAAAGACTTGTTTGCAGGAACTATGGGAGGGATAGCCCAAGTTCTTGTTGGCCAACCATTTGACTGCGTTAAAGTTAGATTACAATCGGCACCAGAAGGAACTTATAGTGGAGCTTTGGATGTTATTAAACAATTGATAAAAAATGAAGGATTTGCTGGATTTTATAAGGGAACGTTAACTCCTTTAGTGGGGGTCGGTGCTTGTGTTTCAGTCCAGTTTTCGGTAAACGAGTTTATGAAACGTCATTACGACCGAACACTAAACGGTAAGCCTCTCGATTTGTTACAGTTTTTCAACTGTGGTGCTGTTGCAGGTTTTGCAAATGGGTTTTTGACCTCCCCAATTGAGCATATCCGTATCAGACTTCAGACACAAACAGCTGGTAACAAAATATTCCACGGCCCTATCGATTGTTTTAAAAAGATTTATCAAATTGACGGATTTAGAGGTATTTATAAGGGCTTAGGACCTACTTTGGTTAGAGAGTCCGTTGGGTTGGGTATTTATTTTGCGACTTATGAAGCATTGGTAGCTGAAGATTTGAAGCAACATCCTGGCTTGACCAGAGCAGATATCAAACCATGGAAGTTGTGTTTATACGGAGGTCTAAGTGGGTACACTTTATGGATTTCTATATACCCCGTAGACATGCTCAAGTCTAAATTGCAAACCGATGCCTTGAAAGGAGCCAAGTACAAGAACTCAATGTCCGTGGTAAAAGACATATTTCATAAACAAGGAATAAGAGGATTCTACAAAGGGTTCTTGCCAACAATACTAAGGGCTGCACCAGCAAACGGAGCCACCTTTGCTGTGTTTGAAGTCACTATGAGACTTCTTAGTGGCTCGACGCAATAGATATAGAGTGTGTTTATAAATTGTTTTCACATTATTTATTGGTTAATAGACATTTGATGATATTTTCTCAGGTGAAATTCCGCTTCCGGAGCTTGCTCGTAGCCATTACCCGAGTTGTATTGGCCCACACTTTCACTATGCAGTAGCAAAATCTCTTCATTTCTAACATCGGAATAATCCTCAGGCCGTATAACTTTGATGAACTCAATGAAATCCATCATGAATTCACTACTGAATTCGTAGTTATCAGAACCCAATAACTCTACTTGCTCCCAATAATCCTGCTTACTATCCTCAGGTAGCTTTTCCCCGACTGATGCCGAAACTTGCAGCTCTAACTCCATGTGTTCATCCTTGTTCAGGCTCTGCTTCTTCTCCCTTTCTCTTCGATTATAGTTTTTGTCAATACGTAAATGGCAACCCGGTATCAAGTCAATAATGTACAAGAAAATCACAGTCATAATAAAAACGTAAGCGCTGGTAACAACAAGACCTAGTAACTGTATACCAAACTGTTTCCAGTGACCTGCAGCCCATCCACCTTTAGAATCATACAATTTATCTGCGAAAATTCCCGTTAGCAATGAACCTACAATACCAGCCACCCCATGAATTGCAAAGACATCCAATGCATCGTCGATGTTAAAGTAATACTTTAGCCTGGTGGACAAATTACTTAGCGCAGCCCCAACAATTCCAAATATAATAGGTTTCCAAAAGTCATTGTTGGAGGAAATATACCCCCCACCGGGTGTCACCACAACTAGGCCGCTTACAATACCTGAAGTGACTGAAATCATGGATACCTTTCTTTTCGTCACTATCTTCTTCTGTGCATTTGATCCCTTCGATGTGGCACTTGCTAGATCAGAGTCTTGTCCTAAAGCATCGTTTTCAACAACCAAGGGCTCCTTTGAGAATATGTAGTCTATTGTTGCCCAAACAACAGCGGCTGAACTCGCAGAAAGTATTGTGCTCACCATAATCGGAATCGAATTGTAAGAAAACTTATATTCGCAGCCTGCAACAAACCCAACCCACCCACTCGTGAGAAGAAATGTACCAACCACTAGATATCCGGTATTTGAATGGCGGTAGTTGTACAACGCTTTCGGATTCCTCGGACCCAAAATATAAGAATAAGCTAAACATGTAAACCCACATACTATGTGAATGCAGTTTCCTCCAGCAAAGTCCAACACGTCCATCTTGTAAAGCCACCCATTCACATTCCAAAACCAGTATGTCACGGGGTTATATATTATCACCGACCATATGAATGCAAAGAGTAGCATGGGCAAAACTCGACCTCTTTCTGCAATACACCCAGGAAAAGTGAATGCCCCACAAATCAACTTGAAAACCAAGTTAAACAAAAAGTGATTCATAACCAAAACTGATCCCCTTGTGTTCGTGTAGGTTTGTTTCATCGAGTGTTTTAGTTGACGCAACACTGCGAACTTCAAACTACCGATGAACTTGTTGGATGCAGTTGCATAACATAGCGAATAACCCCAGATATACCAATCCAAAATAATTATGGGGGAGATCAAGATCGGTACTGCCAACATGGTAAATGCAGAGCGTCTCTGAGTTAATCCTGAGTAGAACAAAGCTATCCCAATAAGAACCAACGGTAGCAATCCCGTACATAGCAATAAGTACAATGAGTTGATGCCGGTTTCAAGACCAACAGACTCAACCCCTACAGACGACATTGTATAACGATTCTTCTATGCTATTTTATGTTCCCGTATGATCATGCAGGCTTTGCAGATGGGCCTGCTTTTTTTTTTTTTTTTGATAAAGAGTTGAATGTGATAACGATAGAAAATTCTCAAATGAATGCGAAAATAATCAAATGCAAGAATATTTTATAGTCATAAATTCACACATTTTAATTATCTACTTACTTTATAGACTCTACGTCTCCTCACGCTTACTCAATATAAGTTTATCAAACGGATTCATCCCATTCTTGGCAAATATTTGACCACTTGATTGCGGGGGTGCTGTGAGGGGTCCGTTGTCAGAAGCAAGGGAGTTTGACAGAGTATCCTGTAGATTAGCAGTGGATAAGTTGGGTAGTACAGATGTGGGGTTTCTCATTGGGACTGGACCGTTTGTAAATAAAGCTGCCAGGGGCAATGATGGAGCATGTGCAGACACAGGTGTAAACATGGATGAATTCTGATTATTAACAGAAGCACTTTGCATCTGCTGATTCGATATGGTTCCAGAATCAGACAATAAAGTTTTATAAGACGAAATTTCCAACATATAAGTGACTTCCTTTGCTGTTTTGGTTAAATTGGACATGGGTGCTCGAACATCTTCTAATATCGGGATGTCCACGACAATACTCTTGACCGCTGCCAAGATCAGAACAATTGACTTTAGGAATTGATTCGTGTCTTCAGCAAACAGCTTTTTTGCTCCATGAGAAGGGTTGTTCCTGATGGCTATGAGCTTGGTGTTGAGGCGCTCGGTGATATCCAATGATGACCCACAGACATTGGTGAGGTCTTTAATCTTTGCCACAACACTCGACAGTACAGATGCAGCATTAGCATTTGCACCTCTATGTACATCTTTGTTCAACTCGGTAAAGATAGGTTGAGCATTGGCTATGGCCGATTCGACAGTAGCGTATAGTTTTTCATCGACCTCATCAAACGAGGACCCGACATTTGTATTGATTGTGAGTTTCAGTTTGAATTCAGTAACCTTTGGTTTTGCAGTTAAAAGAATGTACGCATTTTTAAGCTCATTAAAGGAACCAAACACGGACAAGTACAACATGCGAATGAAACAAACGTCAATTTTGTTGATAAACTTGGTTAGATTTTCTTGTAGCAAATCCATAATGGATCTAAATGAGGTAATGCACGTCTGTAATGTCAGCGCTATTTGGTCTGCGTTGTTTCCCGTTTCTTCCATAATCTCTAGATTCTCCACCAAAGAATCAATATTGGACTTGGTTGTATACAACAATGATACCATCTTCATGGTGATCTTTTTTTCTGTGCAAAATCCAGTAAACCTTCGTATAGATGAGTGTAATTCACTAAAAGAAAACAACACTTTTCTAGAGACTTTGACAATATTTGGATTAACCTGTTTCTTTGACAGGGGATAGGGTCGCATTGGCGAGCCATCATCTGTACCTGAAGTGCTGGATCTTGGAACAGCCAGTGGCAAAGATGGCGGCGGCCCGCGTGGATTAGTCTCCATGATTTGACGTGGTGTTGCCCTTTGATTACTCGTAGGCGAATCTGTAACTTCTGACTCGTCTACTGGCTGTTCTTGTAGAGTAGACAATCTTTTAAAGTATGCATTCGACATGTGCTCTGTGTCGACGTTTTCATTTTTCTCCAATATCCTGTCTATTTCTTTCATAGTATTTGACCTTGACCTACTAGCTGGTGGTTTCAAATGCAGTCCGAGATTAGACTTGGGCGTTGACAAGCCCAAGTCATTGGATGGTGATGATGATGCAGAGCTTGGCGCAGTAGAGCTTGTAGTAGTTATCTGAGGGGGTGGTGGACTAGATATGATAAACTTGGTTTCAGCAGCAGATGCCGAATGAGGGGCACCTTCGTGTATAATGGGTCGTGAAATAGTTGTCGAAGTAGTGACCAGTCGCTGCTCTTCAAAGTTCTCTTCTGATCCATTTTCTTCAAGCTTTTTGATAATAAAACCCATTCGTTTTGAAGCTTTCGAGGATTTTGACTTGGGAAGATCACTAACGCTTTGTGATCTCTGTACGCTTGGGGGTGTGATCTGCGACTCATGGCTGTGCTTTGGATCCATAGTTTGAAAACCTTGATAAGTAGGTGATAGCTCTCTCGATTCTTCAATCCTTGCATTGATTACTGTCCTGTTTGCTAATAGATAGTTCTTCAACTGGCCGACCCAATCTAATTCAGCTGTTTGTGCTTGGAACGTTTGTATCAAATCAAATGATGGGACGGAGAGGGGATTGTTGGAAACCTCTATAAGATTCAAGTGCTGTAGCTCACCTAATGATGGGGTGAGGTACCTGATGTTGTTGTTTTTCACTGACAATACCTTTAAATTATGCAACTGCGAGATTGACTCAGGCAAGTACGAAATTTGATTTGAGGATAAATCAAGAATCTCCAACAGCTTGAGCCCATTGTGGAATATGCTGCTGCTGATATGGGAAATGTTGTTATGGTACAAGTCCAAATATTTCAAATGTTTCAGTATTTTGAACAAATTGGACGGTATGTCTGAGATTTGGTTGTTTTGTAGAGACAACCTTTCAAGTACAATTGGAGGCTCAAAAGACAGCAAGTATTCATCGATAAGATCAACCAACACGTGTAATTTGACTGGTGGCGACAATGAATTTAGTTTGATGGTCTTTGTTTGAGCAATTGCATCGTGCTGATCTTTGAAAAGTGATAAAACTTGTGACCGGTTCATCTAATACATTCACTGGAGCGTTGGGTGGTATTTCTGAATCTCTCTCAGTAGGATGTCTTCGCAAAAGGAAGGGAATAGATGATAAACAGTAGAATCAGGAACTGGTTTTGTTACCTGTATTGATCTGTTGTGGTTTAGAAATTTTCTCCTCACCCTGAGCAACGCCAAAAGAAAAAAAAAAAATAGGAATGAAATCAGTTGTAGTGTTTGGTGAGATGGATCTGTAAAGACGAGTGAACCTGCAAGTGAGCAAAGTGTTGACTTGAGGGGTAGCCTGAATGTTGACACAAGTTTGCTGTTGATGGAAATCTGTAAAGAATTTTGACTTTGTAGTGCTATCATATTTTCAGACATAAAATAACCCCTCAAGAAGCACTCCCTTTTCAGAGTATCGCTTACACCTTATCAAGAGGTACAATTCCACTGCATCCCACATTTCATAATTATATATAAATGTAGCATATTCTATGCTCTAAATAACTAATTTAAACGGCCACACCCTGAGCCTTTGCATCGGTTCTCTCTTGCCATATAGTCTTTCCACTGCAGCTACAGATCTGTTTATCATTTTCCCATGCACCAGCAGATCTTGCGATGACACCGACAAGGGAATCTTTAGTCACCTCGTTTTGTAACTTTGATAAAATTATACTCCTTCCAATAATCTCATTGGGTGCTAGTTTGGCATACAAGAACGATTGACCAGCATACAATTCTTCGGAAGAGTCCTCGGAAGTACCTGCACCGAGAGAGTTTATAGTTGTACTGGCATTCGAAGGCTGATTGACGTTGACAGGATCCAACGTGTAAAACAGTTTCCCAGTTGACAATGCACCCTCTGACAAATTTCCTGAAGATCTTATCGAAGGGTAGTACACGCCCTTGGGTAATCCATTCACCGTAAGATCAACAAAAACATTTTGAGGGGACACTTGGACTATTCTTGCTAATCCTTTAACGGGCTTCAAACGATCCTTGGGGTCAAACGATTCCAAGATACAAACCGCAGCTGAATCGGGTTTCCCTGTACCACGGATAATTGCATCTCTTCCTGTAGCCTGGATAGCTTTGGCAATTTCACTAGGTGGTAATGAACCTTCTGTGGTGACTAGGTTGGATTTCAAATTGATGTCAAACTTGTCTATACCTTGCAAAGGTTTTAATGCATTGGCAATTGAATCAACACAGGCATTACATTCCATTGGAACGGCAAAAACAATCTCAAATGCGCTAGCAGTCATGGCGGGAAGCAGTTTTGTTGAATAAAATGTGGTGCTTTTGTTAACGCAGTGGAAGTGGTATGAGTAAAGTGTGGTCAAAAGATTTTGTGTGTGGAGTGATTGATTACTAAGATTTGAAAATTTAAGTAATCATGCGCTACAGTTGAATGATTCAACTTAGACACGAAATTGCAAAATATACATTGGAGAACTTTTATGTGCTAGAGGTATAAGTCTGTGGCAAAAATTGTATCAAATAGATATTAAATATACGCTTAGTACCCGAGGGCGACTGGTTACCACCACATCTAAATTTTCAAGCTACTCATTCTACGACGACCAGCATCTAATTTTGCAATTTCAGTTTCACCTACAGCAATCTCATCACCACTCCTTTCATCATCACCACCAAGCTTGGTACAGACCCAGGTGGAGGCATACATATTAACCCTATCGATACTCTGGCCAGATTGTCTAATTGCTGCTGCCTCACATTTGAATCCAAGTGACTCAAATGTTTTGATATACCAAGGATGAGTAGCTGCCGATCTCAACATAACTCTTCCACCCTTGACGAGACACTGCTTAATGGCGGTAATTTCATTGATTACGTCAACACCATTTGGATCAAACCAATCCATGTGGTCCATAATAATGGCGATGGTGATGGATTTGTTGCTTAATCTGGCAAAAACATCATTCAACAAATCAGTGTGCAACCTAATGTTTTCAATGGGCACCTCGCCTGAAACCGACTTTTGACCGGTTAATCTCTTGTACCCTTTTGTGGTCAAGTAGTCGGGACAGTTGGTTCTGGTGTAGCGGCCCATCAAACACAAGTAGTAAAAGTAATTGTCCTCGGATATCAACGACCTTTCAATGATTGGATCCAAAGTATCAATGACGTACTTGATAACCGATGGTCCCATCATTTTGGCTTGGTTTGCTGGAACCCCCAATGCCTTCCAAAGGAAAATCGGGTTACCAACCAAGAACGATCCCACAATACGGTTAAACAAAACAGGCTTGATGTGATCGTTCCAAATCTTCTTTTGTTCTTCAATTCTTGAAGCATTACACAAAGCAGTAACATGTTTGGAAATACCACAAACTTTGAAAATGATCCTTCCCAATCTGATGGCCCATCTACTCGATCCAGTGTCATAAAGACCCTTTCCGCTAAATGCGTTAGGGCCTTTATCCATCCAGTATTGGAAAGCATTTGATGACATGTGGGAAGCCAATTTGTCAATCAAAAGATTAGTAAAGTTGTCAATATGCCCGTCACCAAACATTTGCCAAATTTGGTCTTGTGTGAGAGCTCTAAATGCGGCTAACTTCAATTCCAATAAATGGTTTTGGCATGGGTTTAAATCAACAGCATGGATTCTTTTCGGTGGACTTGGCAAGGTGGCATAGCTCAAGATATTGTCACCAGCAGAAGTAATTGCCAAAACGGTGTCATCATTGGTGAAGTTTAAAATATTGTGATCTTCTCTAGGATCTTCCCACGTGAATGCATATATGTACTGGTTCTTGAATTGTTCATACAAATGGTTCATCTCGTCGTAGTAAACTCTCCAGACCTCTCTTTGGTAGTAGATTGAAGGAAATGGCAAATTCTTTTGAAGGTTGGCAATAGCAGCTTCGTGTCCTTTCGATACTGGTGCCGATTCGGTCACATGGTCATTTGGAGAGGTAGATGGTGCGAGATATGGAGACTCTGTTGCCAAGCAATTTAATCTGGTTAAGATTTGCGAAGATCTTGACTTGTCACACCCGATCCAGATATAATACGGGATTCTACCCAATGTCTTGTTGTACAGGTTAACTGACTTGATGGTTCCAAATTTGTACTCCAAATAGTTTCTTCTTGAAGAATCTAAAAAGACCTTGTCAGCCTCAAACCAAATTCTCCAAAAGTTTCTCAAAATCCAAGGAATGTTTCTATTTACTAATCCACCCAATGTATTGACTCTTCCAATGGAGGTGTCGTTACTTTGAATACCAAAATCAACAGTAGCAATAATACCTTGCTTATCCAATTTGGACACAGCATTGTCAATAGCAGCGTTGAAGGTAGGAATCATGGACAATGAATACGAAAAAGTAATCAAGTCAGCACTTTTGTAATCAATAGTAAAATCACAAGCGTCAGCAACCAAGACATGTACATTTGTCCACTCATGAGCAGCGAATCTGTTTCTAGCAACTTCACACAAAGATGGCGATAAGTCGACCAAATACACAGCTTTAAAGTTTTTGGAAATGCTACTGATCTGATTCATAAACTCTATGTTGGATCCAGTACCTCCACCAATATCAATCCAAACCAAGTCCTTCTTTTTCTGCAAGTGTGCAGTAGCCAATCTAAGGCACTCTTTTCTCCCCTTAAGCAAAACAGTTCTTGTAGTGTCATAAATGTGAGCCTGATTCTTGTAAAACAACTCCAAGTTCTGTTGCTGGTTCTTTACACCTGTCTTGACACTCTTTTTCTGAATCAATGGTTTTACAAAACATGCCCAGCAGAAAACCAATATTGAATTGATTGTCTTGTTCAATTTTGCGGCGAAATATACAACACCACAGAACAATGACACCGAGGTGAAAACCTTCATTTTGGAAAGGTCAGACGTGATGAATTCAATATCAACCATATTGTATCACTCCCTTGTATTTTCTATTTTTCAATGTTGAATTTAAAAGTAAGTGTTGAAACGTGGGTAATGCTTGTTGGTTGCAAAAGATTGAAAAAGCAAAAAAAAATGTGTCTTACATTCAGATCAATTTCATTTTCTTGATGATTTCCCAGGGATATTTATAATGAAAAGTTTATTTGTATTGAAATAACAAAGACGTGTCTGTATGTTTCTCCAAATGGAAGAAATATACAACCGACATTGGCATAATTGTGGAATTGTGTGTTTATCCAATTAAAATCCCTCGTATCATGGTTTTTATCACCCACGTTTTTTAAACTTTTGTGAAAACTAAGACAAAAATATTCCTTCCCTCGTGGGTCCAACAAAACAAAATAAGAAAAACAAAATCCAAAAAGACATTGTGAACCCGCACACTACCAATAATAGGTGAGGCTCTATTGTACAACAAAGGGTGAAATAAGTAATCCCTCGTGCCCTATTTCTCCAAAGGGAACCACGTTGTCTGGTGACATTAATTACACAACAAAATATTCAAACAAAAGCACATGCCATTGACGACGAAATTGCTTTTTCTTTCTTTTCTATTTTTGGGTACACACAGTCAAACCCCACGGCTGGTTAACGTCAACAAACGTTTATGTAATTACACTATCCTTTTGGCCATGGTAGAAAATCAAGAATCATTTCGTAATTAATATTCCTGGGATGCCAAAGGAATGCTCCGCGTCCCGCCCCAGTAAAACTTCAAGTTTCAAGCTGTCCCATTTTAGTGTGAGCCATTTACATAAATGATGCATCTCTATATTAAAAAAGAACTATGAAGATATCATTCTTTCATTATCAATCATTGAAGCCATACAAACTTCTTCTACCTTCCAGCATCTTATCTATATTTATCAACCACTTCTGAATCTTCATCCTCCAATCTCCTCAACAAATAATCCACTTCCACCTTCTTAGTCAAAGGAATAATCCATTTTTTATACAACTCAGCAATGACTTCTGGCTTGACTTTACTTTGCACATTAGTACCGTACTTCAAACTAGGATCGACGCCGTAACTTTCCGCCTTGACAACCAACCGCTCCAAAATTTTGGCTTCAACAGCACTGTTTGTTATTGATTCCTCGATCCCTTTGATATCTTTTGCTAGTATCAACTTGATGTACAATGGTTTGTCGTTGACGTATTTTGCCTCTGCTACAAACTTTCCAAAATGGATCCTTCTCGATATGGCTTGTAAACACTCAATGTCACAAGTCGATGCCGAACCCAAGTTTTCCAATTGGTCTCCCTTTTTGCAACTAACTTGAGGAACAATATCCTCCACGTAAAACTTCATGATTTCATCATTGACATTAATTTCATCCGAGTAACTGGTCAAAATCTTGGGGTAATTGATAGGTGGTAGTATTGGTGCCTTAATCAGATGCGGAAAGAACGGAGTCTCGTCGGGCGCCTCGTATCGTCTTATCTGCGAATGAGCAATTTCCATCTGTAATAACGCCCAATCGAGAAAAGTACCATCAAAGTTAGGAATGGAGAACTTGTTTTTTTCATATACCGATGGTGAGCTGAAAAATTGTGAACGTTCAATCAAATCAAACACAATAGTGTCCTCCATCCGGACTAAAGCTTGACGGATGTTTCCCAAGTCCAATACAGTCTCTGGCTTCATAAAGTCCATTCTCTCTGAAATAAGGTTATGTGGAGAGGAGTCGTTTACAGCTCTATTTTTTTATCTGTTTTTTTTGTCTTTTTTTTTTTTTTTGATTTCAGCGATATACAAATACAACTACACTATATTTAGTTGAGCCCTAGATCTGAACTACTTTGTCGCCTTTGATTCCACTCTTGTTCCTGTCTGTCCCATTTGTCCACCCTGCCTTTAGCATACTTGTGCAACAACTCGTCATCACTAGGCTCCTCCTCTCTAAATTCGTCCTTTTTCAGCCGCATTGTTGTTCTTCGACCAATTAAGAACTTTCGCACGTTATCGGCTTCTGAATACGAGCCATCTCCTTCATAGCTTTGATTCAAATCTCTCATCGACTTCAAATTCATCTTGTGGGTCTCCACCAAGTACTGATTTGTTCTGTCAATAGCACTCATAATCTGCAAGCCAAAGGCTAGGGCACCAATTGCCAACACACCAAACAAGATTTTGTATTTGTTCTTCTCTAAATCCTCCTTCGTGGGTGGTGGCCGTTGATACTTCATCTGGTAATAGTCGTTCCAGGTTCCTGCCAGCCAAAAGGCTTCATCCCTCGAGAAATCATACCTCGCACGATGTGCATTTGCTCTTCGGTAAGCTTCAAAACCTTCCTTGGAAAAAGGCTCAGAGCTAGGATTATAAGGACCCTGTTGTTCCCATGACGTGGTCTTGAATCGATTGTATGCTACTCTCCTCCTGGCGTTTCGTAGAATATCGTACGATTCCTGAATTAAGTCGAACCGTTTCCTTTTTTGCTCATCACTAAGAGCTTTGCCATAATTATCAGTCAAATCTAAGGAGGTATCTGGATGGTATATCTTGACAAGTTTCACGTATCTTAATTTCAATACTTTGTTCAACTCAATGCGCGACATGCCAATGTCTTTGGATGATAATCCAAATACTTCGTATGGTGTGGGGGTTTTCGAAGTTGGCCAACCATGTAGGTCGAGACGTTTATGATGGTCGATGAAGTCATTTGAAGACGTGGCATACATTCGACAGTACGTACATGGTATGCATACGAGCTTCAATCTATGCGCAGATAACATTTGTTGTATGTGGAGAATCTGACAACCCCTTGAAAGGAAAAAAAGAAGAATATTTGAAGTAATCGTCTGGTAGTACATTTGCGATTACCGGTTTTGCCCTTTTATTGCGCGCCAGCTAAGAAGTTACAAAATGCAGAACGTTAATTGGAAAGAGATGCTACACTGTTATAAAGTTAAATTAATAATGATCGATTTAGATTCTACTCTACTTGGAAACTACTTGATGAGCATTCGGTTGCTGAATCCGTGCCTATCTGATGCGATTTGATATACACCTAAGCCAGTTTCGGATCGAAAACGAGAAACGAGAATGCTTCTCAACGTTTCACAAAAACTTTCCAAATTGTCTGCACAAATCATCATATAAATACTTCAATTTAGCTAATTACTGTTCGCGAAATATTACAACAGCACGTTTTTTTTCCAACCAATCAAGACCCAATATGTCGTTTGTTTCATGGTTATCCTTTGTTGGCGATGAGATTGGGTTGAAAACTCTCTTTCACTCCTCGTGGGATGTTTATATCATCATTGCTTTGAGGATGATTAGACTTATTGGATTTGGCTCTACGTCGTTGATACTCGCATTATATTTGAAAGCTTTGGGTATTGATGAGTCTTACATTGGGTTCTTCATGACACTTACATTTGTTGGAGATTTAATCACCTCATTCTTGCTCAGTTTAGTTACCGACCAGATTGGAAGGAAACGCGTGCTTATATTGTGCTCGGTTGTCATGTTGGCTACAGGATTTGTATTCACAACCACCGAAAACTACTACTTCCTTCTTGCGACTGCCGTGATTGGTATATTAACACCTTCTGGTGGAGAAGTTGGGCCATTTAGGACTATTGAACAAAGTAGTATTGCTTCATTGTGCCACCAATCTCAAAGATCGGATATTTATGCATGGTATACATTCTTGGGCCTGTTCTGTGCTGCTTTTGGGTCGTTTGTGGCTGGTCTGATTATTGAGCTTACTCGAGCAGAGTGGGGCTTTAGTGAAATTGAGAGCTACAAGAGTGTGTTTGGTTTATATTGCATCCTTTCATTGATTGGTGTTGTATTGTCTTTGTTCATTAGTGGGGGTATTGAAGCAAAGAAGCAGCTGATTGAACCTAGAAGTGAAGCACCAACTGATGAGGAAAGCACTGAAGGCTCTCTGGCTAATGAGACTACTCAGTTACTTGCAAATGAAGAATCAAAACCAAAGTCCAGTTTCTTTAACCTCCTCCCACATTTGTCTCCCGATGTGTACTTGATTGTGTTGAAGATCTCGCTTTTGTTTGGTCTCGACTCATTTGCATCGTCATTGACTCCATTATCCTGGACTTCGTACTATATTAAACGCAAGTTTGGTATTCCTTCGTCATACCTTGGTTCTGTGTTTTTCATCACAGGGTTCATCAGTGGTGTTACTTCACTTGGATCAACCTCAATGACAAAGAGACTTGGTCCTGTTGTCACCATGGTCGCAACTCATTTACCGGCATCTGTTTTGTTAGCAGTGTTGCCATTCCCCAACTCGTTTGTGGTGACTATAGCCATCTTGGTTTTAAGAGCTTCAATGCAAACAATGGATGTAGCACCTAAACACGTATTCTTAGCTGCCACTGTCCCTGATGATGACAGGACTGCAGTCTTTGGATTTGTTAATGTTGTGAAGACGTTGGCACAAATTATTGGACCTAGTATCGTTGGGGTTTTGACAGAGAATGGCTTACAATGGGTCACTTTCGTAGTTGGAGGTTCGTTGAAGGTTGTCTACGATCTTGGTGTATTGGTTACATTTTTGACGTTCAATAAAAACGCAGCATATTAGATAGAAAATAATCAATTTTTGGTAGATGAAATTTGTTGCACAGTATCAATCACCATCGTCTCTAGGTCAATAAACTTCCATTGAAGGAGCTTTCTTGTAGCAGAGTTATCCACACGAGCCAATACTTTGATATCCTCGGGACCACTACACGGAGTGCCCTTGATCAAGTTCAACTCTGGCCACTTTTGGTTTACAATGTCCAACATCATTTGCACACTAAAGTGGCCATTGTTCATAAACAAACGACGATTGGCAGCATCTTCATTAGTAATAGCAAACACATGAGCTTTAGCAACATCGCGTACATCAATGTAGCCACCCACCTCATTTTCAAATGTGTCATTACCGTGTTTGTTCAACAAGTCACCAATAATGGCATTTGATTCATTGAGGTGGTTGGGATCACAATGATAAGCTTGTGGACCAAAGACATAGGATGGGTTAACAGCAGACAAGGTAAATGAAGGCGTTTTCATTTCCATAAACTCCCATGCCAGCTTTTCTGCGAATGATTTTGCTCCGTAGTAGGCAGTTACAGCATTGACTGTTGCATCTTGATACTTGATGTTATTCCACGATTGTTCATTGAAAGCTAATTTGTTATTTCTTTCATCAACGTTTGAATAGATTGCCGCATCAGATGAGGTGATGACTAACCGTTTCAACTGTTTAGCATATGTGTCAGCTGCATTCAAAATGTTTCTTGTTCCTTGAATTGCTGGTATGATTAAATCCTGTTCGGGATGCGTTGTCGTGTAAGTAAATGGACTAGCTGTGTGGAGGATGTACGACACATCATTATGTTGTTTCAATGACTCATCAAAAGCTTTATATGCTCCAATGTCTGGGACTATTACATATTGAAAGTTTTGGTTGTTGACCAATTTTGCCAATGCATCTCCTTTTTCCTTTGAACGAACAGTACCAACAACCTCGTACCCTGACTCCAAGAGGAGCTTGACAATGTGCTGAGCAATGAAGCCTGAAGCACCAGTAACGAATACTTTGGTCATTGTTGTATAAAATGTGGTGAATTGGTAAGAAGAAAGGGGATTAACGAACCTATTAATGTAATACACAGAAAAGATAATTTCAAGTTTGCCGCGTTTTGATTACCTATTAGGAAAACTGTTCCGCGTGGTGGTAGCGCTCGACATATATTAAATTTCAATTCAAGAAGCACCTAATGGTGGGTTTCTTTGAGGTAGTTTTAACATTAATGTAGAGCAAAACACGACTGGACTTGCTTTAAAATTCATTCTAAAAATTACCAGTTATGTAATGAAAGATTCTATGAAATCAAGAAGCAAAGAAAGAGTGCAATTTTCGGGAAATTCAGTATTAGATTACATTCCAAAAGAGGGCCCTAAGCACAGCAAAGTGGGTTGTTGATATCAGAGGTGATAAAAAACCATTTGAAATGAAGTCCTTCGGGAATCTCCCAGCACTCTTTATAATCGGGGATTTTGTTACCTCTACCATCCTTGTCCTTACAATCAGAGTCCTTGAATGCTTCTAAGTTTGAGTGGGTGAAAGTTACAAGATCAAGATATTTATCAGTATTTTTGGTAAGTTCATAGCATGTATTTGTATGACCCAAGTTAACCTCTATCTCAATTTTAATAAAATCAATTTCATCCTTGCAATCTTTATCGGAATAAACTTTCGAGGTGGTGGGCGAGGAATCCTTGGATGGGTTGGCAGTGTGAGCCAAGACAGCAGCAAGTAGAATTGGGGCCAAGAATTTCATTTCAATATTTGAAGTTGTTAGTTTTTAGCATTTTTCTTATTGTTATTTAATGATCCGAAATGGTATAAAGTAACTCTCAGAAATGTCAACTCTATGGCTATTTTGAAAACTTTAGAATATTTCGCATTGTTTAGATTTAACACAAACGAAAATCGCGTACCTAACACAAAAGGTAGTATATTTGTCTGATATGAGTGGGGGATAAACATGGTTAAACCGACTTGGAAAAATTCTTACAGAATATTATCACAGCTAGTGACTAACTATGAAACATTACAAGCTTGAAATGATATGTATGTTTCCCTAAAGAGCAAATTCTTTGGTGGTTCCTGGTTGGAGAATAACACAGACCTACTTTGTTGCTTTACAAATTTCAGCTTGTCGGGCTCATTAAACAATACCCTTCCCCGCCCCATCCCTGGTCCCACTGTAAATAGTAAAGTCCTCAGCAAGTTGAGCAATGAAGTGATGTATTCATTTTCCGTTGATGTAGCGGACATTTAAGAAAGACTGGTTGAAAATCATGTGAGTTCTTGCAACCAATTTCCGAAAAGGAAGGTTGTCTCCCACTCAGGAAACTGAAGAACCACTTTTTATTCACTACATCTACTCTTATATAGCAAGGATGTATCTGCAGAGAAGCAATAGCCCCAATTTTCTTGCAAATTTGAGTCGTCCGTAACCCAATTTTAGAATGGGGTATCGATTGGGAACGTATCAGTTCAAAGATCTTGTATCAGTCCTGTGAGATCTTCACCATTAGCCTTTTGTTGGGTTTTTATTACGTTTTGGCTTATAATATTATCCCCTTTATGTACTTTGCTCAGGCTATTCTTCTCACGAGTTATATGGTTTGTTAAATTTAAGCAAAGCCTGCCGACTTAGCACAGTATAATACATAGCAATAAAATTGAGATACGTAGCTAATTTCCTCTACTTACAACTTCTTACGCATACGTATATATATATATATATATTACAGCCCTGGCTTGACTATCTCCTTGCGTACATACCAGTTATCATTACTTACCTGATGCTCATTAAGGTCGTGATAATAATCCCATGCATCTTTTCTGAAGATTGGCAAATCACCCATGGATGCAATGTCATATGGCTTAGACAGGTCCAAGTCTTGGTTTAGTTCATGATGACGCTGTGTACACTCCCTGGCAATATTATATTCATCTTGCAAAACTTTTGAATTACATGCACCTTCTTTAGTCAATTGAAGATTCTTGTTGAATCGCGATTTGGATCTCACGGGTGGGTCAGTGCACACTCGATCGTCAACCCAAAGGCTAATATCGGGTTGATAGTTGTGATTATGAAAATGGGGGTTAGTTAAAGCGTCGGCACCATACTCGAAAGTCATTGGCTCTACTACCTTATTGGGAATGTAAGTGGATGCACCTTCAAAGTACGAATGCCTAATAGGTAACAATTCGTCCAATGAGTTCCAGTTCCAGTTCTTGCAATGGACCGCCATAGTGCTCAAATTATCAGGAAATCGGCCATCTTTAGTTGGTGGAGCATCTTCAGTATGTGACAATGCCGAAATGTCAATGTACAACCCACTTTGTATGTCAATAAATCGAGCGTCAATATGGTTCTTGCTATTACCTTGACGAATGTATGTGGGCGACACTTCCAACCAGTATCGGGCATTACCATATCGCGGATTCTCCAACACTAACGTGCGATTGTACTCGCGACCTAATCTGTCGACTTGCGCAATTGGCATTTGAACATCGATATCAGTATCCCAGGGCATATTTAATCCATTAAAGGTCCAACCTATTAAGGACCCATGGTTAATCCAGCTAGCGAATCCATTAACTTCGGCAAATTGAAACCAAGCTCGTACTATATGATGCATAACGCTTTGTCGTTCACGATCACCAATATATCTTTTGAAAAATGGGTAAGCAATATGATGTGACTTCCCTTGCAATACATCACTATATATCCATGCATATTTGAAATAGCGATCGGTGTGGTCGACTAAGTGGTTGTTTGAGTATTCGAGGAATTCGAGATATTCCAACTCTTTGGGAGTAATGGTTCGATTATTCAATTTCTCCTGTAGGGTAAAAATCTCGACATCGGGTTTGAAAATGAAGTCATCTGAGTTAATGGCAACCTGTTTTTGTAAACTAACAATTGGCTTTCTTGCATAGTGTGTGTTTGTTGTTTGCAACTGTTTCATCTTGTTGACCAATTGCTCTGACTTGACGGGGTCAGCTTTATGGCTACCAAACCTCTTTTTACCTATGACTGGAACCTCAATCAACGAGTCATCGGTTGTCACCACGACACGTTGAGGTATAGGATGCGAGCAATAAAGGTTTACTGCACCACGCTGTATTTTCGTTTCATACCCTTCCAACCTGTGGCCACTGACGGATCCAAACTTGACTAACGGGGGTTCGCAATAACCATCTGATGGAAAATCTAATCTTGCTTGATCCAACAAGTTTTTTGATGTTGACAAATCGACCCAATCATCCCAGTGGAAGTAGATGCCGTTGGAATCACCAATCTTTGAGTCTAGCGAATGTTGTTGTTCAATAACATAGTTGTACAAGTCTAATGCAATATTTTTGGGGTTAAATGGAGTGCTCTTGAAGTACTCTAATGCATGTGCCTCGAGTTCTACTTGTCTAATTTCAGTAGTGAGGAAAATCGAGATGGATTTGTATAAGCAAAGAATCAATAGTAGAAACGGGAGTAGAGTTCTGAGCTTTTTGTTAAAGTAGCGTGGAATATTGTTAGATGCAGCAAACGTAGCTAGCTTCGGTGCACGAAGTAGCTGTTGGGGATGTAGGTAGTGTTGCAGACTATAACTATTGCTCATATTTGTGTGGAGAAGGCAAAGTAGATTGAGAAATGCGTTTAACGATGTGGTTGCAAGACTTGGCAAACGATTAGAAAAGTCTTTGATAAAGGTGAATATGCAGTTGGTAGTGGTGCTGTAAGCTGTATGTTGTCAGATAAGTCCACCCTATTCTTGTGGCGTGATTGCTGTTGATAAAAAAGTTCAGCTTAGAGAGAGCTTTGTTTGAAGGGTTAAAGAAAAGTTGCTTTTCTTCTTTTGGGAGGTTGCTCGTTTGGGTTTAAATATGATGTCTCAAGGTGAATGAAATTGGAAGTTCAAAATTTTATGGTTTTCTTTACTTTTAAATTATTCTTTTTTTTTATTTTATATTTTTTTTGCTTATTTGTTTGTTTCTATTGTTCTTTTCTTGCTGTTTTATTTATTTATTTACTTTTTTCTATTGTTGGGATTTGCCAGGCACAGGTGAACAAAAGGTACACTATTTTTTTTTTTTTGAAGATGCGTGTTTCGTTTGGGGATGCATTTGTTACGTAAAATAAGGTAGGCTTAGATGTCATCTCTGAAATGGATTTATCCCATCTTAATGAAAGGATTTTTATGCTAGTATCTCGATGGCAACCAAAAACAACATTAGATACGATTTTTTTTCTCTCATCTGACGTTTGGTTTTGTGTCTTGCTCTCACATTTGTTTTTATTTCTTTTTACTTTTCTCTCTGAAATTTTCGCTATTCTCGTGTGAGATACTTAAAAAGGATCATTGTCTTGTGCCCGCTAAATGGCCGCACGAGAGAACAAAAACAATTATAAGAAGAACCTGGAGTCATGCATCGTTAAAGCATATACTTGCATTTTTGCAACAACTCCTAAAGAGGGGCATTATCAGCTTGGCTTGTTTTGTTATTGCCATAATTCATTTGGTAAGAGACCCTCAGCCACTTGCCTTAAAAAGCCTTGGATCTTGTGATTGTCCCCCCAATATTTGTAAAGGGTACACAAACAAAATGTATGACGACATTAGCGACTGTATTATTTTGTTTGCTTCATGTACACGACTTTACTCATTTTTAGTCAAATGAAATTAAAACAAACAAAGAAAGAAAAAAAATTATTTAATTCCTGCATATATACCAACAATGTCATATATATATTCCTCCGCCCAATTTGGAAATATTTTGACTGCACGTATGTTACATCATTTTTACCACATGTCTATCTGATCTTCCTTTTCTGACATGGACACATGACTGATCTGAGGAGTTGGAGCAACTCCCTGAATAGCAACCGAGATTTTACTGTTGTCTATAGCAATGACAAGAATTTAGGATACACTTGGCTTGTCTTGTCTTGTCTTGTTTGTATGTTTGTATTTTTCTTTTTATATTCCGTTCTTAAACAATGACCATTTCTCTATCTCTCCACTGAGATTGTCTTCTTATTGTTTGAGTAGAAAATTCCTTAAGGCTATAACCTTGATATTGTCTAAGATTCGGACAATAAACACACGACAGCTACCACCATGCGCCGCCATTGGCTAATTCATGCAGTCAATTGTTGAGGCTGAGCATTCAAACGCTTTGCGATTTTCAAGGCGATTTAAAGTTATACCTATTGAACCCCGAAATTGGCTGCACTTAATATCAGTCTTCATAAAAAAGGGGTAGAGAAGGAGCCCACTTCGATAAGTGTAAACCATTATGTGAAATAGTCTTGGCAAGAAGGGATGAAGATAATACCTACATATAAAAGCGCCAAGTTTGCGCGAAAAAAGAAATAAATTTTATAACATTAATAAAGCATTGACAGGAGAAAAATAATATTTACTCAGCCCTATCCACTTGGGGTAAAAAATACCTTATAATAGCTCTACAATGTCAGGCCTATAAAGAAGGGCGACACTAGTGCGCAAAGCTCAGACACCCAACAAATTGCCAAGGACAGCTTTTCCTTTGAACAAAAGCGACCAATCCTTGCCTCTATCTATTTTCTCCTATTCTCAGATTCCAAGAAAAAATGGTTTTTAGTGGTTACACAGAAATACGCGGTGCCTTGTTTCATTAGGTAAAGAACTATCAGGTTTATATTGGAGCGAATCTCGGAAAGACGTATGAAACTCTAAAAATGATGTGATACAAAGTGAAATATGATGAATTTGCAACCAAATCGTTGTCGAACTGTCGAACGTTGCAAAAATATAGAAAGACATAAGGTAGCGAACCTACTGAGGGAGAAGAGCAGAAAGTTGAATGTAGCTCAAGGGATTATGTGTATGTAGAACGAACCATGGAGCCACTTGCACAAGACTGTACTGCTCGACGTGTAAATCTTTTGTCATTTATTACAGTCAACAGCTATTTAACGCTACTTTTCCTCTACCTTATTAACTAAGTGGGTCAAAGAACCACTGTAATTTCGTGTTTCGAAATACCCGCATTCCCATAGTGCTTCCCCTAGCAAAATTGTACAGTAACCTCAGTTGTAAAAACGCCTCATTAACTTTTGCCAACCGCCACTTGTACATTATTGAAAACCAAACCAAGGCATATCCCATGCCAACCAATAAATCTAAACGCCAATGATGGTCCAAGTATATCGTTGCCCACCATTGTAAAACGACAAATGCAAATGAGAACAATTTAACTACCGTCCAACGGGCATAATATGAGACAAAGAGAAAGGTCATGACGGCCATTGCCGAATGTAAACTGGGCACTGCTCCAAACACTATTGGTGAAGCATGGAAACCTTTACTGTTCAAATGCGTGCCTAATGCAACATCTACTCTCGTTAAACCAGCCGCATATCCTGGCAAATCGTAGTTTGCTGGTGCATTTTCGCCATACAAGTGGATGAACCACGGAGGCGCACATGGGAAGATCAAGTGAGTTAGGACACCACATATATTTTGCAAACCAAGTGCCCATCCATATGATTTAAGCACCCCTGGTGCATGGAAAACGTATAACCAGACAGCTGTGATTATGGGCACGGTAATGTGGCCCAACACATATGACGTCCATGCAAGTAGATCCTTCCATGTACGAATGGGCTCTCTAAGCCAGTAGTCAATGTTGAGGATAAACCAGCAAGTGGAGAGTAGTATTGGTGCTGATATATACCAGCAGTTGCGGGGGATTTTCCAGTTATAGCCATATTGTTGTTGTTTTTCGGCAATTTTCTCATTAACAGACACTGCCATGTTATTAACTTCGCTGGCATCTAGTGTATTGAAAAACGTCAACTTGCCAATATGAGTATTATCGTTTTGGAAATTGGTTCCAGATGGTGGTGATTTAACCACACCAAGCTCCAAATCATTTCCCCTTTCAAGTGAATCCATTTCGAAAGAAGAGCCCTCTGATGAATCCTCATTGATCACCTCACCTTTTAATGGTAGATACCTCAATACATCACCCCTTAGTATCTTTCCCTTTTGTTTGTAGATTCCAAGGTACATTAACAAACTGATTGTTATAAACATTGGAATGAAAATGAGGCCACCAAGCCATGTCGAAAACATAAAAGTATCAACATGATAGGGCAAGGCGACGTGTATCGGAGGACGAATTGAATGTGGTATCAATCCAGCGTTTTTGAAGATGAGGAGCCAGATGAACACTGGACCAAAATTGGTCCAAAAGTTGAGTATGAGTCCGATGATTGACCTCTCGTTAAGACCGGACCGGATGATGCGGTCAAACAATTGATAAATGAACAAGAATGGCTTGAGTAGTGGAATCATCGGGTGGTAGTAGTAGCAGGTGGAGCTGTGAATGGCTGTAAAGGCGAGGGCTTAAGACAGATAGCCAGGAGTTAACCTTTTGTTGGAACTAACAGGGGTGTCGAACGGCAATACAAAAAAATAAGGATTAAAAATTTTTGAAAGATGCGTGGTGTTATTTTTGCCCGTATAACTACAACAAGGCTTTGCGTAGAGAAAACTTTTTGAATTCAAGGGGTCCGGACTTAAGAGAGATTGTTCTACTTTTTCTTCCGTTAGAAGTTTTTCCCTCTTGTGATGTAGTTGGGCAAAAAAGTTTAAATTAGTCCTCGTAACCGGAAGCGTCATTGGCTTTTGCCTTGCGGATTTTATTTTTGACGGACGGAAAGCTCCTAAGCTCCGATATATTTTTGTATTTGTTTAAAGGTAGGAGAGAAAGAAAGAGAAAAGTTCAGGCATAATACTTATTAGAAAACAATGAAAGTAAAAAAAATGTTTTATTGTTAAGAATTGAAAATACGAAAAAAAATAAATCACAGACTAAAAAATAGTGTAGGCAAAGTCTAAAGGTTGTGTGTATGTAATTCACTATCTTTTCCCTTTTACTTTCCCTTATCAAATGAGCTACTCATGGGCATAGTTCGAAGTATTCTGCCAAGCTGCTAGATCCACACCTTCCCCGTGTCACACGATACCTACCCAGTTAAAGTTAAACTTTTTTTGGTTAACATTTTTTCTTTCTAAACACAAGATGCAAGCCTCCGAATAACTCAATCAGCTTAACGGCGTTAAGGTGCTTTTATTGCAGGACGCACGTATATCCGTCACAAATCTTCATTTGCTTTCCATCAATCTTTTTGCAATAAATATTGGTTGCGCTTTAGTTAAATAAGTTAGTTCTTTTAACAAGAGATAACATTATTATGCACTGCACTTCCTCACTGAGGTGAAAGAAGCATCATCTGACACACTAGATGACTTTATCAAACACCAAGGTTTCCAACCGCCGGTTGAAAAGGGTTAGACACCATGGACAGGAATGCATGGACGCCACATTTATTATGCTTCTTCATTTTGACTGTATTATCCGGAGTTAAAGTTTTTACTCATTTAGTATCACAAAGTAATACCAAAACAATAAGAATTATCGTGTTCCTTTAAAATAGACAAAAAAAGAACTTTTTCTGTTGTTCACTTTTCACAAAATCAACTGGCATATAACAACTCAATGACAACTAGGACAACTAGGACATGGAATACTAGTCAATACTGGGATTTAAATGACAGTAAGGGGTATTTGGTGGGGATAGCCGTGTAGGTGGTAGCTCACAAGTGTTGAAAATATGATGCCCAAGCTTTGAACAAGTGGTTTGGATTCTTGATATACTTTTCATGAATGTATTCTCTTTTACGAACTATGAAGTTATTTATATATTTCTTTAAAATTGATATCTATTGTATCTAATTGTAATTGTTTATACCTTTTATGGCTAGTTTGTTAAAGATCTGTGATCTATCAGTATTAACTTATCAATATTGTAAACGATGAATTAATTTCTATACGAATTCTATATATATATATATTCAAGCAGGGAAAATCTACTTTCTATTTATAGCTAAGCTTTGTTTGTCGTCAGTTTTGTCCTCCACCGTTTTTGTCGTGTAGAAACCATTTAAATGAACAGTAAGTCCTTCACAATAAGGTCTTAATGTATTTGCAACCATTAATCTAATTTTTTTCGTGTCGTAAGACTACTGCGATTCAAATGCTAGGCAAAATTTCCACTCAAGATGCTCTTGTAAAACGCCACCAACGAATCGGTCAACAATGATTGTAGTTACTTTTAATCGTTACGTGATAATATGTATGCCAAGTCGCTTCCATATTTCGTGCTGAGCCAGACTAAAGGGAACTGTCTTTGGAAATTCCACCCAAGACCTAAGCAAAGGGTAAATGCCAAGAAAGATTAGTGCGCAACCAGTTACACGAATCCTACGAGTAAATCTCTATCTTGTCTATTATTGATCCACTTCCACTACACGATATTTCCAATGCGTAAACCAGGCAAACACAATCCCCAATAAACTCCCAAAAGCAATATCAAAGAAATGATGACGATAATCCTGGGTTCTGCTAAGGGCGATGTAAACAGCAGCCAAAGTAGGCATACTAGCGACAATTACTAACCCAGCACGATACTTGACTCTTGATAATATTCTAAACTGACTGAAGCACCACAAAGTCACATAAAACAACCCAGCAAACGCCATTGACGAGTGGCCCAGTGGTGTTGATCTCAACCCATCGAATAAATGCTTTATTCCTAGTGGCGCAGTGCATACATCTATACCAACTAATGTGTTTAGTGGAGTTTCCAATGATGGTCCGCAGCGAGCAAGAAAATCTGGTCGCGGGTTGCCGATCCAGCACTTGAGTATGTCGGTAAACACTGACACTGACGACACACTGAACAATAAACCAAGAAGCGATACTTGAGCTAGGTGGATCCGAGATTTTTTCAGATTTCTTTTGGACAACAACGCCATGGCAACGATTAGAATCGATGGGATGTAAGTCGAGTATAAGTACAACTGGAACCGACTTACTCGTTGGTGGGACGAATAAGGGTGCGAGATGCTGAGATCATTGATGTGAAATAATCGTTGAAAGGGCGTCCAATGCTTGCCGAATTGGTTGTGTATTGTTCGAAGTATAAACACAGTTAGCCAATCCGGAAAGAAGCCTCTGAACTGTGGTGTTGCAAAATAGTGCTTTTGGAGCTGTCGATCTTGCATTGAAGAATAAACTTTGGTGTTGTAATCTTCCACGTTTCTTTTTTTCCTTTTTTCAGGATGCGCTTTAAGAAACATGTCGAAAGTTTTTTAAGACAGAGATTAGACTGTAAAAGTCTATCAAATAGTTTTATCAAACCAACTAAACAACCACCAAAAAATTGAGTGTGATTAAGCTGTTTGGAGCTACTACGAATAAACTTTTCTAAAAAATATTAAAAATCCAAATATAATTAAAAACTAAACGCTAAACTAAATAATAACACTAATTCTTCTCGTCAGAAGACTCAACAACGGCGGTTTCAAACTTATCCCTAGCAACAGTGGTAAGGTCTACTTCACCATGATAAATCTCACAAATCTCTTCCAATGTCTTTCTCTTGGTTTCAGGAATAAGGAAACTGGTAAAGATACCCAAAAGCATAAAAAGAGCAAAGATTTCCAACACGTGGTTGATCCAACATCCTGCGTCTTTACCTTCTTTAGCACAGTTATGGTTCTGAAGGGTACCAATACAAGTTTGGGCAATGATAGCACCGACTTTACCAGAAGCTGCTGAAAGACCGTGAGCGGTAGATCTATACCTCGTAGGGAAACTCTCTCCTGGAACGACGAATGTGGTTGTGTTTGGTCCAAAGTTTTCGAAAAACTGGGCTAGAACGAAAAGGGCAAGCAATCCCTTGTCACCCAACTTGTGGTATGCAAATCCCATAATACAAAGAATGATGGTCAAAATTATGAAACCACCAATTTGTAATGGTTTTCTACCAACGGTATCTATCGTAGCAGCGGCAGCCCAATAGCCTGGCAATGAACCGGCACAAACCAAAATCAAGTTACCTGCAGCAGAGTTGTAGAATTTCCAGTAGATGTTGGAACCACTTGCGTAACCAATGGCTTGCAAAATATTAGTGGTGTTCAAACCAAGACCGTAATAAGCGACATCAAGCATAAACCATGATCCTGCAGTTCCAAGAAGAATCTTACCGTATCTCCATTGACCGAAATGCCTGACAAAGTCTTTGAATGAAGCCTTTGGCACAACAATCTCAACATCATCGTTGATTTGTTCCACCTCACCACTTCCTGGCTTTTTAATATTACCTTCTTCGTCCATGTCCAAGGCATATCTTGGTGATTCAGCGATGGTCAATCTGTAGTACAATGCAATACATCCAGGAACACAACCGAAACCAATAACGATTCTCCACATTTGATCACAAGCTTTGATACAAGGACCGTGACACCCAGTATCTTTGGTGTAACCAATCAAGTCATCCTTGTAACCGGCAACACAAATCATGGCAACTACACCAGCAAAGATTTGACCCAAACCTTGGTTGGAGAAAACAGCTGCCATAATCGCACCTCTCCATTTAGTAGTGGAGAACTCTGATGAAATAATCGATGACAATGGATAATCACCACCGATACCGATACCCATCAATATCCTCAAAGCTGTAAACAATGCAGTAAAGTTAATAGCAGCGGACTCACCAATAACAACTTGGGCAACAGTGGCGAAAATCATAATAATCAATTCCAAACCGTAAATCTTTTTACGACCAACGATATCAGCAAAAGTACCAAAAGAAACTTGACCAATAACAGTTCCAACAGAAGTGGCAACCTTGATCAATGTGTTGGTGGAATCTGGCATAGTTCCACCCCAGTAAACGTATTGCAAGAAATTGATTGACAAGTTAATGGCAAAGATATCGTACGAATCAGTCATGAAACCAACACCAGCAATCATAATCATTTTAACTTGAGTCCATCCAAAACCGGCTTTATCAATTTCCTCCAAAGCCAATCTCCTTCTTTCAATTGGATCTTCAACGTCAGCGAATTTACCCAAGTAATCTTTGAAAGCGGTTTTACCACCGCTTTGGCTGACTTGGGCAGCGTGAATGTGACCTTGTTCAATGTCTGATGACAGGGACATGATGGTTTCGCAATTAGTGTTTGTTTTGTTGAAGAAAAAGGTTGTAATTCTGTTTTCTCTTATTTTTCAAAAGAGGGAAACATTCAGATGTATTTATAGAAGACCTCTCTTTCTTGAGATGCATTGGGCTTTCAAACAAGTTAGAAGGAGAGAGGGTGAGATTTTACAATAGGCGTTTGTTTTAAAAAAAAATTAATTTTGCATAAAATTAATAATTACACAATAAGAATAACTAAGAGAAAACTGTCTATTGTTCGATTTTGTTTAATTTTTTTTTTATTTTTTATTTCTAAAACCTTAAAAATTCTAATATCTTAAGAAATGGTCTTTAAGACATGACGAGCTAGTTTGGGAAAAGATTAGTCCAATTGGATTTTCATTTGAAAGAGAGTACTAGCAAGTGGGTCTGTCACTGGCTGATTGCTTTGAAGGGACTTTATTAGGTGTTCGTGTGAATTGAGAAAAGCATTTCTCTTTTTAAAATAAATATAGTTCAATACATTTGTTTCTATTGTCTTGTGAATAACCTGATCTGCAGTTTAAGTTTACGTTTCTTTTTTTCATTATACAGAACTTATTCCCCATGAGCTCCGACACAAAGTCTAAGCACACATCGTGGCCACTTTTCCACAGTTAGGGCGATGGGAGCTCGTGGGCGGTTTTTCGTCTCTTGTTTTTTTTATTCTTTTATTCAGCCTAACTATACCATCGCCTTACGCTTATTAAACAAAGAGAGGGTGTAATAAGGTTTCCCTTTCAAGTTGGCCTCCTCTGCTGCTCCTGCGGTTCTTTTTTTTATTTTTGTCCGCTTATTTGATTTATTACCGTTGTATGGGTTCAGACCACATGGGGGCCAAAAGCTTTGAGACGAAATAAACTTTTCTCGTATTCAAGTTTATACAAAGGCGGTCGATATCATACAACTATCTATTCATCAAAGAACTACAATATCCCTCTGCCTTCTTATCTTTCGTCTGCTTGTTACCAGATCTCATCGTGTGACCGATACTTTGTTGCCTTTTTCTTGTCCTCGTTAATATGTCATAGCTCCGTCAAAGAAGGTTTTAACAATGACAAACACCAAGAAAATCAGAAGGGATGGGCCCCTTATTTGGAACTGAAAAGCTTGTCATCAGCAAACTTCTCACCAAAATTGAATAATATTAGATGTTCCTTCGTTAACAAGAAAATAAAACGAAAGAGAAAATACATCAAACTCTAAACCTTTTGCCACGAAAAGTTCGTGACAAGTTGATGCGGCATTCTTTAAACTTTCGCGGTATAGTCGCAAGGACCATTTCTTTTTCTAGAGAATTGTAATTTTGTATTTCTTTTCTTTCCGCTCTTGCTTCGTCTTATTTCTTTTGAGAGTTTATTAAATCAGTCGTCAGAGACCCACGTGGCCCCTGATAAGCATGTGGTTTGTGTACTGTGCAGCTCAAACATTTAGATTATGCATAATGCAATGCATGTTAAATGTATTTTGTTTTGTGTAATATAAGTTTAAATTAGGACCCACGTGTGTCAATTTCAATTGATATCAACAGCCAAAATAAAAAGCATTTCCATTTAGTTATTTTACATTTAGACAATGGTTACAAATTTTACAATATGTTTGGCTAAGATATTATTAATCATTGAGAGAAGAAGAAGAAGAAGAAGTAACTGTAGGAGAGAACTTTAGGTTTTCTAGTTATTTCTTTAGTTTGTTCTTTGTTTTCGTTGACATCAATGCCTTAGGTTTCAACCACAGCCAGGGCAGTATTTTTTTCCATAGTTGGTTCTTTGGCTTAACTGGAATTGTTCTGTTGCATTTTGTATTTCATAGAACTAGAGAGGGTAAAGAAACGAGGACCAATTTCTACGCACTCTGTTCTACAATGAAATTCGATTTGCCCACGTTTTTGATTTTATATATATACTTGAGGGAAGACACACAATAGAAAATGAAAAAATAAAAAGATGAAATTTTTAAAATAAAAAAATCTTGGTTTGAAATATTTAATTTTGTGTAACACATTGTTGTTATCTATGGCTGCAAAGTATAAAAGACAACAAACGGAAAAAAGAGTCCGTTGTTACAAGCGATCACACTTCCTCGTATTTTCCTCTAATGCGGTAACTGTATATAGGGTAATCTGCATTGCTTCTCCTTTGTCCTTTTACAATAAATGTCATCGCTAGTTGGAAGAAAAAGAAATTTAATTGTCTAGTTCGTTTTAGGTGGCAATTACGAGAGGCTAAATCGGAAGTAGCCATCTCTGTCTAGTCAACTCATGTGTACTATAAGTTGAGCTGCTTGCAAAATGAAAGAGGCTAGACATCTTGCGTTATATAGACTGTTAGCATGCGATATTTGCTTGGATATCCATTCTAGTCATCATTTCATGTTTACTGCTAATTTCCAATACTTAATGAAGGGATGAATTGCCACCATTAAAACAAAATTGGAAGTTGACCTTCTTGTAATTCAATTACCACAATTGCTATTTCTGTTTTGGATTCGAGTTTGGCGTAAAAACTTCAATTGCCATTAATAGTTGAAATTTTTTGACAAGATTTGACGCAAAACTTTTGGAAAAATAACAAATTCACTCGCTTATCCTAAGAAAATAGTTGAAAACCGGGAGTCAAAGCAGTCCTATCTATATATTCCATAACTTCATTTGGCTAGGTATGACTTGCGTGAACGTCTTTCTGTTTGAGTTAAGACGATCACGCCATGTTAAACCTAGTTTGAGAAATTTGCGCTTTTACCAAGAAGGGAAATTTGCCTGAAATGCTAATGAAAGCTTTCCAAATACTACATTTTACAAGCCAATTGCAATAGACACATCCACCGAGAGAAAATTTTTAACTGGACAGAGATTGTCCTTTAAAGAGTCTACAGAAGGGTGGTAAACCAAATGCACAAGTATTCCTCCTCCACCAAACAATATCAATTTTGAAAGAGAAAAAAAAAATAATTTGCTCCTCACAAGGTCACCCGCACATACAAAACCTACGTAGCAAAGTTAAATGGCAAAATCAAAATGACTCTTTTTCCACCAACTCTCACATAGCCATACTAATGTTCTCGCAAAGCGGTACAAACACACCAGTGCCATCATCAAGAAATGTGCCAATTCCGATACACGACACCATAGGAGAGTCGATAACATGGATCAACGATTGGTTCTCGCCTGATTTTAATCATGCTGATAAAGGTGAAGAAATACAGAATGCCAACTCATTGCAATTGAAAGGATGGGTCAAGACGAATCAAAATCACAAGTCCAACACGTTAAGGAATGGGCTTAATTCGTACATTGAGTTGAATCAGAGCAAGTGGCTGTATTTGAAGAAAGAGACAAAACAGGAGGAGACTCAGGGGTTTGCAAAACAAGAGCAACTTCAGGAGACGCCACAACAGGAGGAGGCACCACAGAATGATGCCACACATCTGGATGCTCCAAAAAATGAACAATCTCAGGTAGATGCAAAAGTGGAGCAATCTCAGTTGGACGATAAACAGTTGACTCTATAAACGTTATTCCTTTAATTTCATAAATGTTAGTGACTCTCTAGCTTTGGCCGTTTCGGCAACAAGTTGATCTGATTTTTCAATGTCCCACAGTTCTTCTTTTGGCAACAGCGATAAGTCCAATACACCCTCTCTTTCCAACCGTTGAAAGTTGCCTCGTATCTTGCGCAACTTTTGCATCGTTGCAGGGTTGGACAGTTGTGAGATCAATATAAACAATGTGTTTACTGGTAATGTGTTGTAGATTGATTCGAGACGCGAGTTGGTCCTTTTGTAAGCACCCTCGACATTATAGTCTAATGTGCCATCGTATGTCGATGATGTATCCCATTTAAGATTATATTCTAAGTCTTTCAACTCAATGATGCTGAGATTGGCGGTGTGGGATTGCATAGCTTCCACCGCTTCATCATCATTAGTAATCTCTACTTTTTCAACAAATTGTGAATATTGTGACCCATAAGTAACAAGTAACGATTTCAAGTCACTACTCACTAGCTTCTCAAAAATGGGGATCTCCCCCACATTTGTACCAAAACATCTTCCCTCTTGAATCTTTAACTTGACTAAATCTAAGCATGTCTTGGCATCCTCAATCGACGAATGGCCATCGCCATTGTCCTCCCCGGCTTGGATATTCCTTCCAAGAAAAGTCTTTGCCAACCATCGCAATGACGGTTTTGATGGCGGACCCCTTGCATGTTCATACGTAATAGCAGTATCAACTATATTCTCATGAATAACTTTCATTACTCGCAAATCGGACTCCAAAGAATGACCAACTAGAATATCGTCCTCAAAAACAGTTTTCAAAAACAACTGCTGAATTTGTTCAATTGTGGTGTTAACATCTTGTAACAACTCCTTGGTTATGCCTGAATATCGAGTGACATAATCGGTTATTTCTTCCTCCGGTTTAACCAATTCATCAAACACAACATTTCCATCGAAATCAATCAAAGAAATGCGTGTCAATACTTGAATGTTCTCAGCTTTGCAAAATTCGCAATCCAAGGCAAAGATTCGCGATTGCTCTGTAGGCAGGGGCTTGGTTTTGGTCCAACCTGAGATGGAGTCAATGTATGGATATTCCAATTGACGCAATTGCGTCTCACTGAGTAGCAAATCTTTGATTGTGATTTTTTCCAGTTTCAGTTTATCTAGAATAGCTTTCTTTTCGTTTTTGGTTAATGGTAGTGAGCAAATTGTGTCTAATGGATTGTACAAAAAGTCCTTGCTTCCTGGCAATATTGTCTCAATAGTAACGATATTTGGAAATGGCAACCCTGATAAGCCATTCTGCAAACCAGGTACAAAACACACACAAACATTGTTGATCTTTTCCATGTGCTCGATTTTTAACCACGTTTGTTTGTGACCTGTAGGAACATTGAAAACCTGCAAGATCAATGGTCTTATATTCCTCACTGGAAGCCTCTCCTTGCTTAAATCGAATACAAGACTGGGTACAGCATTCTTCTTTTTCAATTTCTTCTTGTGTACTTTTTCCTTTACATTCGAAGACTCCCTTCGTGTTCGTTTTCGTTTGCTCGGAGTGTCATTATCTGATGTCATCGAGACCGCAGAGTCACGTCGAGGTTGTAATTCGCCTAGCATCTCACGTACTTCATGACGGTCCCGGGAAATGGATAGCCTTGATGCCGAGGATGATAACGGTTCGTCTATGGTATCTGGCATGAGGAACGAGGTTTATGATTTGTTTGAATTTTTTCATATGATTGCGCATTATATGAAGATGATCTTTTTTTTTTATTACTTTAACTAAATACAGCTTCAACAAACTCATGCAAAGTTTTAGGTACTTCAAGGGCTTCTTCTTGTTTTCCCAGGCTGGTATACTTCTCTAGATAATTATCAAACATGGTAGCATTTCCTGTAGAGCTATACTCATCATCAATTTGGTGAAGGGTTTCCTCACTCCGTATAATCCCTGGCTCATCCAATGCAACAGACTTGCCGTGTAGTACAATCTTGCTCCAGGTGTCCCATGATTTCGGTATCGATAAAACAAGACCATCTGACTCCTCATAAGTAGGCTTGACGGGGAGATCGAGATTGGTTACGTCATATAATGACATCTGGTTTACTGAGATCAAATCACAATGATGCTTCTGGCATAAATATCGCACAAGTTGGAATGTTATTATCGACTTGGTCGAAATCTCAGAGTCGGCATCCACCGAAACTATAACCGAGGGACCACCTCGTTCTAAAGGACGGAGTAAATTAAGCAATTGGCATAGCTCTGTTAGTGACTGATATTGGAGTACCACAGTAGGGTTCTGATGTAGTAGCTTCTCTATGAATGATTTGTATTGCAAAGGACATCTCACCATGTACACTCGTGTGTCATCCTCATCGTAGGAAACACTTGGAATACTGTCTTTTAACAACAACAACACTAGTCTCTTGTCCTGTGGCTTGTATATAAATCTTTCAATCCCCATGTTTTTTTACTCAAACAAACGTCAAAACAGAAAAGTAAAAAAAAAAACAATCATCTAAAATCTGACAACTTTGACCCACCAAGAAAACACTATTATGGCACGCCCAACAATAGAAAATGGAAGCAATCTTCACCAGTTTGCATCTGACATACCTGATGATCAAATGATTGATGCGATCTTTCAGGAAAAGAAAACTGTCCACGCAGAAGACGCCATTGATTATGAGGATATAGATGAATTGGCTGAAGAAGAACCTAACCAGATGGATGATGACGTGTTTGATCGATTACTAGAGCCAGCGGAACAAGATCAAGTAGATATAGAGGCAGAAGCCCAGAATTTTGCTGATGATGAATTTGATGCAATGTTTGGAGACGATAATCTCAATAACCTCGAGTCCAACAACCATTTAATTGAACAGGAGAATAATGGCGTGGAGGAGCTAGGCATATTTGAAGAGACTGTGCACGAACAAGAAACTAAAGAGAAACGGAAAGCTGTGATACGACAAAAGGTACTCGCTGAGATAGCCAAGCTCGAAAAGAAAAGAGTCAAGCGCAACATCAAACATTACTACCCTTCATATTCCAAAGACAAGCCTCTAGATTTCTTCAAGTTTTTCCTACCCAAGCCAATGTTTTACAAGTACAAACGACCATATTTAACATGTGCTAAAGTTATGAAGCATTTAACCCCAAAGGTGAGCTTGGAACTCGATGCAGACCAGAGAAAGAGACAGCATGAGAAAGAAAAGAATGTAACAAATATCACGCAGCATGATTTGGACTTTATCGACAACTTACAAGAAAAGGGCTCGTTGAGCTCGATAAAACAGTTAGACTATGTTAAACGAGACTGGCTTAACGATGATAAATTCAGAGGTTACTCCAAAGACTTGATATTATCTACCGCAGATTGGGACGATGATGCAATCATCAACGGAGATAATGTGAAGCAAGTCACAGGATGGGATCTACTGGATGATGACTATGATGACGATATATTTGATGGACAAATTGATCTTGAAAAATTGAAACTTGATATGAATGACCCCAACTTGTTACTCGTGCCCTCGCAAGAAGCCAAACCCAAATCCAAACACACGCTTGACAGATTCAACCTATCCAACGACCACGAGTATGAGCTTTTGCGTAAGAATTACAACACAAAACAAAGATCACACTTGAGTAATTTAAGTATTGAACATTCAGTTCCTGCATTAAGATTACAAACACCGTACTACAAAGTCAGACTTTCGAGAGCCGAAGCCAGAGCATTCCACCGTCCCGTTTTTGCTGTGCGACCAGGTACATTGATGAGCTTTTCGAAATTAAAATTGAGGAAAAAGAAAAAGGACAAGGGTAAATCCTTGCATGAGATATTTTCAAAAACCACTGATTTGACTGTTGCAGATACTGCAAACATGATAACAATGGAGTACGCCGAACAGTATCCCTCCATATTATCGAACTTTGGTATGGGGTCAAAATTGATCAATTATTACCGCAAACAAAATCCTGACGATACTACGCGACCAAAAGCTCAATATGGAGAAACTCATGTTTTGGGTGTTGAAGATAGATCACCCTTTTGGAATTTTGGGGAAGTTGCTCCAGGGGAGTTTGTACCTACGTTGTACAACAATATGGTTCGAGCTCCTATATTTAAGCAAGAGCTGAGAAATACTGATTTTCTTTTGATCCGATCACAGGGAGCAGGATCTCATCAAAAGTATTATCTACGTCCAATGAATATCAACTTTGCTGTTGGAAATATCTTTCCCGTTGAAATACCAGCTCCACATTCCCGTAAAGTCACCAATATATCGAAAAACAGATTGAAAATGATTGTTTACCGAGTGATGAATTCGAAAGGCGCTCCACGTATTTCAGTGAAGGACGTGTCTAAGCATTTTCCAGAACAAACGGATATGCAAAATAGGCAGAGACTAAAAGAGTTTATGGAGTATCAAAGACAGGGGGATGACCAAGGCTTTTGGAAAGTTAGAGGCATGAATGATATCATCCCGTTAGAGGAGGATATTCGAAGCATGATTAGTCCCGAGGACGCTTCTTTGATGGATTCAATGCAGTGTGGTCAGCAAGCGTTAGAGGACACGGCAACCTTATTTGGTGATGAATCGAAACTCATGAGTCACAGGAAAAGAAAGGAATTGGAGAAAAAGGACGAACCAGCTGAGGAGAATGAAACCGAGGAATCGAAGAGGGAAAAGGAAAAGAAAAAGAATAAGGAACAGGACGACATTGAAGCAGAGGAAGAGATGGCGCCATGGAACTTGTCAAGAAACTTTGTCATTGCCAACCAAACCAAGACTATGTTGCAATTAAATGGAGAAGGTGATCCTTCAGGTATTGGCTTAGGTTATTCAATGTTGCGTGCTACACAAAAGAATCCATTCAAGCCATTGTTCCCACCGCCTCATGAAGTTGTTCCCAAAAGCAATGCAGCTGCTTATAATCAAAAGTTGTACGAACAGGAAATTAAAAGAATATGGCATTCTCAATGGAGTTCGCTAGTTGATCCAAACTTGCAACAACTATACCATGAGTATAAACCTGCTGATCACGAGCAATACTTTGTAAACAAGTTGGAGCAGGACACAAAAGAGAAGGAGCAACGACAAGAGTCTAAAGAGGATAAAGTTTTGCGCATCACGAGAAGAGTGCGTGATCAAAATGGTGTCGTCCAACGGAAAGTAGAAACTATTACCGATCCAAGGTTAATCCGTGCATACATCAAGCGTAAGAAGTTGCTCGAAGACGAATTGTTGAAGAGTGCCGATGTTGATGAAATCTTGCCTACAAATGATGCCGAGTTGAACAAACTCCGTCGAAAGGCATTGGAGGAAAAACTTGCCAGTTTAGAAAAAAGAGCCAAGCAGAGCAGAGCAAAGAAGCCACAAAATGATGCTATTCATGCTGCGGCCGCTGCCGGTGCAACCATTATTGATGCCAACACTGTCATGCTACCTGATGGATCCTATGTTATCGGTGGTAAAGGAATAGGGAAAGGGAATTCAACAACAAGGAGATGCAAGAGTTGTGGTTCATTTGGCCATATAAGGACCAATAAGACATGCCCGTTGTATGATCAAATGATTGCCGGTACTTTACCCAAGAAAAACTTGTAAATATGGTCTAGGGTTAATTATGTAGGCGTTAATATGAAGATTGATGTAAATGATTAGAGGAGTAAGCAATGCCTGAGATCAGCCTCTCTAGCTAGAGTATAAAAGGCTAACTGTGGTTGTTTCACACAACAAAGAAAGCTGGTTGAAATTTAATTTACACAAAAGCTTTTTAAGTACGGCACTAACCCTAAAAGCAACAAATAACCGCCGTGCAGCTAATTTGAGATAAAATCCACAGTTTTTTTATGAATTTCCATCGCCTTGATGAAAAATGTGCTGTGCTTTCAATTTTTTGAGGATATAGCTTGGCTTGGATCGCATTGATGGGGTACCCAGTTGAAAGTGATGGAAACGTCAAAGAGGTGACGCCTCAAACATCAAATGAACCTTATGGCAGCCCTTACGCAAAAGATATCACACAATCTTCAACCAGCTCTTACACTTCTTCGTCTGCACAATCACGCTTTCAAAGATTTATCAATTCGTTTAAACCGGCCGACTTGGAAGAAGATGGGATAGATGTGACCAATTTGACTCCGATGGAAAAGTCGATTTTAGCATCGGCAAAGCACCCTTTGGCAAGACGGTTGAAATCTAGACATTTACAAATGATTGCCATTGGTGGTAGTATAGGTACTGGTTTATTTGTGGGTAGTGGTTATGCATTAGCTAATGGAGGTCCTGCCGCCGTGCTAATTGGATACGTTATTGTTGGATACGCGCTTTTGACGGTTGTTAATGCACTTGGTGAATTATCAGTGCAATTCCCAGTAAGTGGATCATTTAATTCATTTTTCACTAGATTTGTTGACCCATCATGGGGGTTTTGTTTGGCGTTGATGTATTATGTAAGTTGGGCCATTTCATACCCTTCGGAAATCATAGCAGCGGCAATGACGATTCAGTTTTGGAATACGTCAATTAGTCCTGCTGTCTGGGTAGCAATTATATGGGTAGTCATCTCGTCAATCAACTTGTTTGGTGTTAAAGGGTACGGTGAAGTGGAATTTGTCTTGTCGATTATCAAAGTGTTGGCGGTTATCGGATTTCTTATTTTGGGAATTTGCATCACTTGCGGTGTTGGAGATCAAGGATACATTGGTGGGCGATACTGGCACAACCCGGGTGCATTTAATCATGGATTTAAAGGAGTGTGTTCGGTATTTATTAGCGCAGCGTTTTCATTTGGTGGTATTGAGTTGGTTGCGTTAGCAGCCGCTGAAACTGAGAACCCACGAAAGTCACTTCCAAAAGCAACAAAGCAAGTATTTTGGCGTGTTACTATTTTCTACTTGTTAACTTCAATTATTATTGGCTGTTTGGTGCCTTATACTAACACTGATTTATTAGACGGAGAAGGTATTGCTGCTTCTCCCTTTGTCATTGCAATAAATCAGGGTGGTATCAAGGTTGTGCCACACATTATGAATGCGGTAATTATTGTTGCTGTGATATCAGTTGGCAACTCCTCCGTCTATGGAGCATCGCGTACAATGGCGTCGCTATCAGCACAAGGTTTGATTCCTAAAGTGTTTGGGTATATCGATAAGCAAGGAAGACCGTTAGTTGCTATTGCCATTACCACTCTCATTGGCCTTTTAGCATTTCTCGTGGTGAATAAAAACGAAGGTGCTGTTTTCACGTGGTTCTTTTCTATTTGCTCATTAGCATCATTCTTTATATGGGGGTTCATCAACTTGACTCATTTGAGATGGAGATGGGCATTATATGCTCAAGGACGGTCTAAAGATGAAATTGTATTTAGGTCCCCTTTTGGTACGTTTGGGTCTTGGACGGGTATGGCTTTGTTAATTTTTATTATTGGAGTAGAGATATGGGTCAGTATTTTTCCCATAGGTGAGAGCAGTGCTGATGTAGTTACATTCTGGCAGAACTGCTTGTCATTGCCGCTTGTTTTTGTTATATTTGTCGCTCACAAGACATACCACAAGACATGGAATCATTTGTGGGTGAAGTTGGAAAAAATTGATTTGGATACAGGTAGACGTGAGCTTGACCTTGAGGTATTGAAGCAGGAAATTGCTGAGGAAGAGGAGGCACTAGCCACAAAGCCGTTCTATTATAAAGTTTATCGATTCTTTTGTTGAATAAATGTAAAATCGCAACTGGTAGTGCCAATTAGTGGTAGTGTATGACGTATCAATTTCCAACGTTGACCAACACTTCCAACGAAAAAAAGAAAAACTTTTTCCCACCAACTGGAGACGGCCCTAGATTCCCACTTTTAAAGTACAACCATTTCAATTGACCAACCAAACATCAGGTTTTCCTGCCACTATTACTATTACTATTACTATTACTATTTTTTTTGTTCTGTATTTGACTCAAATTATCAATTCAAAAACCTGTTATTTAACTAATCCCCACCACCACTACTAAAACTATAATTTGCGAAATGACTGAGACCCACGACTGGAAACAGAGTCTTAATCTCCCCCAAAAGGATACCAGACCACAAACTGATGACGTCTTAAACACCAAAGGTAAATCATTTGAAGATTTCAATTTGAAAAGAGAGTTATTGATGGGCATTTTTGAGGCCGGGTTTGAAAAGCCATCTCCAATTCAGGAAGAGTCTATTCCTATGGCTTTGGCTGGCAGAGATATTCTTGCCCGAGCCAAGAATGGTACTGGGAAAACTGCCTCTTTTATAATCCCTTGTTTGCAGTTGTGTAAACCAAAATTAAACAAGATACAAGCTTTGATATTAGTGCCTACTCGAGAATTGGCATTGCAAACGTCCCAAGTTGTCAGAACTTTGGGTAAACATTTAGGAGTTCAGTGTATGGTGACCACGGGTGGTACTTCATTACGAGATGATATTGTTAGATTAAACGATCCTGTGCATATATTAGTCGGTACACCAGGTAGAGTTTTAGATTTAGCGTCGAGAAAAGTTGCTGATTTATCAGAATGTCCCCTTTTTGTCATGGATGAGGCCGATAAGATGTTGTCGAGAGAGTTTAAGAATATAATAGAACAAATATTAGAATTCTTCCCACCACATAGACAAGCCTTGTTGTTTTCGGCAACTTTTCCAATCACTGTTAAGCATTTCATGGATCAACATTTGAACAAGCCATATGAAATCAATCTTATGGATGAATTAACCTTGAAAGGTATATCCCAATTTTATGCCTTTGTTGAAGAAAAACAAAAGTTACATTGTTTAAACACCTTGTTTTCGAAATTACAAATCAATCAATCAATCATCTTTTGCAATTCAACTAATAGAGTTGAACTATTGGCAAAAAAGATTACCGAATTGGGGTACTCGTGCTATTACTCTCATGCCAAGATGCCCCAGCAAGCAAGAAACAAAGTTTTCCATGAGTTTAGACAGGGTAAAGTGCGTAATTTGGTTTGTTCGGATTTGTTAACTAGAGGTATCGATATACAAGCAGTTAATGTTGTTATCAACTTTGATTTCCCCAAAACTGCCGAAACGTATTTACACAGAATTGGTCGTTCAGGAAGATTTGGACACTTGGGTTTAGCTATCAACTTGATGAGTTGGAATGATAGATATTCCTTGTACAAGATTGAACAAGAGTTGGGAACTGAAATTAAACCTATTCCAGCAACCATCGATAAGTCGTTGTATGTTGCTGAAAATGAAGATTCTGTGCCTAAGCCATTCAAGGGTGAGGATTTATCCAGAGTGAAGAATTCTCACTAGGCCTTGTGAGTGATGAAGAAGTTCTATGTGTGTGTTTTTTTAAAAATATCGTTTGTTCCATCAATTATACGAATGGTATTATTTTTCACACACAAAAACAAATTTTTTTTTTTTTTTTAGAAAAAAGAAATTTTTTATTTTTGGCATTTTTTTTTTTGGACTTTTTTTTTGGATCAATGAAGTTATGGAGAGGAGGATGAAAGAGAAAGATGAGATGACTAGGTGTGTGCATTTGACAGCTGATGTGATAGAAGTTTGTAAATTTGCTTATGCTGTTTAATATATAACTCCATTTTTTTTGTTGTGAAAGTGTTTATATATTGTGCGGAGTAAAAACGAGAGGAGCAACTCGATCTGGCTTCTAGATTTCGGTTCGTAGTAGATTGATTACAAATTATTAGAAATGTGGGAACATTTCGTTACAGCTACCCTACATTTCATTTCATTTCCATAGTATTACGGCAAGACTAGCTGCTGATACATGGCCAGTATGGCATGAAATGTTGCATATTTAAACTATATTTCTTTCCAATCAAAAGTTGTCTATGTGTTCTGTTTTTCCAATTGTCGCTTAGCGCATCTCTAATTTTGTTGCAGAAAAAATTTTTGACTTCGTTTTCACCTCTTCTTTTCCTTTCTTTTTCTAAGATTTTCATAATCTTCAAGGTTCAAACCTATATACATTCATCAAAACCGTTTAATACTTCATAACTATATATACTATCAATAATGTGTGGTATACTAGGTGTTGTTTTGGGTAATCAACATATAAATGTCGCCCCAGAGTTATTCGAAGGAGCCATGTTCTTGCAACATCGTGGTCAAGATGCCGCTGGTATTGCCACGTGTGGTTCCAAAGGACGGTTGTACCAGTGCAAAGGAAATGGTATGGCTCGTGATGTTTTCACTCAACAAAGAATGCAGAATCTTATTGGAAATATGGGAATTTGCCATTTACGTTATCCAACTGCTGGGTCGAGTGCTGGATCAGAAGCTCAACCATTTTATGTCAATAGTCCCTATGGTATTTCATTAAGTCATAATGGAAATTTAGTCAACTCTATTGAGTTGAGAAAGCATTTGGATGAAGTTGTCCATCGTCACATTAATACCGATTCCGATTCGGAATTGTTGTTGAATATTTTTGCTTCGGAGTTGGATAAATTCAACAAGAGTAGAGTCAATAATGCCGACTTGTTTACTGCATTGACGGAAACTATGAAGAGAATCAGAGGCGCTTATGCTTGCGTTGCGATGTTGGCAGGATACGGTCTTATTGGATTCAGAGATCCTAATGGAATCAGACCATTGTTGATTGGTGAGCGTGTTAATCATGATGGCACCAAAGATTTCATGTTGTCTTCTGAAAGTGTTGTTTTGAAATCTCATGGGTTTAAGAAGTTTCGTGATGTACGTCCTGGTGAAGCTGTGATTATTCAAAAAAATGGTGAGCCTGAATTTAAACAAGTGGTTGAGCCAAAGATTTTTGCTCCTGATATTTTTGAATACGTTTATTTCGCTAGACCCGATTCGGTCTTGGATGGTGTTTCCGTGTACAGGTCAAGAATTGAAATGGGAATCAAGTTGGCCAATAAGATCAAACGAGTCATGGATGAAAATGACATTGATGTTGTCATTTCTGTTCCTGATACTGCCAGAACTAGTGCCTTCCAATGTGCAGTGAGCTTGGGGAAACCATATCGTGAAGGGTTTGTTAAGAACAGGTATATTGGTAGGACATTTATCATGCCTAACCAACAAGAAAGACGCTCTTCAGTGAGACGGAAATTGAATGCAATGGAATCAGAGTTTCAAAATAAAAATGTGCTCATTGTTGATGATTCGATAGTTCGAGGCACAACATCAAAGGAAATTGTTTTGATGGCAAGAGAGGCTGGTGCTAAGAAAGTATACTTTGCATCGTGTGCTCCACCTATTAGATACAACCACATCTATGGTATTGATTTGGCTGATACCAAGGCTCTTGTTGGTTTCAACCGTAGTGAAGAAGAAATTTCCGAAGTAATTGGATCAGACAAGGTGATTTACCAAGATTTACATGATTTGGTTGATTGTTGTAAATCAGATAAAATTAAAGAATTTGAAGTTGGTGTATTTACCGGAGAATACATTACTGGTGTTGAAGATAATTATTTGCAAGAATTGGAAAAGATTAGAGCCCAGAATCAGCGATTGACTGAATTGCAAAATGGTACTGCATTGAAGGGGTTTAGTGTCGATGCATGTATTGATCAAGGCGATATGGTTGATGTTAAGGCTGAGGTTGATATAAGTATTTACAACCGTGGTGATTACTAGAATGAGTGGTGAGGAGGAGGAGGAGGGGGATGATGTTAATTTTGTAGAACAAAACAACGACAACAGGATGTGACAATTTATAGAAAATGATTTATTATTACATTTGTGAAATGACTAACGTAGGAATGAGATAGGGGAGGGTTGCATAAGTTCTGTTTAAAAGTGAAGAGATATCCTGCAACCGAGTAGAAGCGATTAAAGCTTTGGATGAGCAATTTGAAAAGTTGGATATCAATATATACACAATTACCAGCCAGATATGAATCACAATTTGTGTTAGTGTCTGTTTTTGGCCGCATTCCCTTTTAAGGAACAAAATCGCTGGTTTCGGAAAAACAAAAATAAAATAATAATAACAATAATAAATAGATGTAATAAATACACAAACTAAATGATAAAACAACAACAAAAAAAAGGGAGATTAAAACGACCTCTGACAATAATGAAGAAAGGTATCTCTATTTTAGAGATAATGGAATAAGGTAAATGTAGCAGTGAGTAATGTCCAATGTAATTCAAATTTGTAAAGACATATGTAAAACACCGTTGTGTACAAAAAACAAAAAACAAAAAACAAAGAGGCAAAAACATCAAACCGTGCTTGTAAAATACGCGTCTGTTCAAAATGCAAATACACCCATATGTAATAAAAAAACAACACTTTTCATCAAATGTGTATTAACGCGACATTGTTAACTAGTTTGTGCTTTCATAATTGTGCAACATGTGTATGTGTAACAGGTACAACGGCTTAACCAATTGTTGTAACTTACAGGTGAACACGAGTTCTTCTTTAGTGTGTAAAGCCTTGTTATGGGCAAAACCAATGCTAAAGAAAAGAGGTATCCTAAGTGTATAGCTCACGTGTAGTTGGAAGTTTTTTGGGTTTGAGACAAACAAAAAACAACTTGTAATGCAATACCAAAGCATGAGTGTTAAGATATAGTCCTTTCAGGTTTGATTGTCATTGATTGTCATTGAAGAACATTGAAGGACATTGATGAGAACAAGTGATGTATCCGTTGCATTGTCTGCTTGTTTATGCTGGTGGGTAATTTTGTAAGAGGGTACACGACCTGATCTCAGATTAACATCCATACATCAATACTATTCTAATAAAAGATTTTAGAGTGTAAACAATAAACAATAAGGGACATTGGAAAAGATAAAACACGACACAGAAACCAAAAAAGAAACTGCGACATTATTGTTACTATTTACACTATACACTACACTATACACTACACTACACTATACACTACACTACCCTCTACACGTACTTTAACAGAAACAAAAAAAAAAATAAAAAATTTAATTAAAAAGAAAAGGGCGTCTTTCATCTTTCAACTTTTTTTTTTTTTTGTCTTCTTTTGAACACAACAAAGTTCATTCTACAAAGGTTATATAATCTTACTATAAGTCTGATCTAACAACCACACTCAGATACACTGGCTACAGTCGTCTTCACAGTTAGATCTTTAACCTCCACCCCCATCCCCACTCCCCCAAAAAAATAAAAACTATTATTCCCTATTCATACACCTCATTGAAAGTGTATGGGAATTATTCTGGCTTACTTAATTGGACAAGCACTATATTTAATTAAACGCAAATTTTTCAATAATACCAACAACAACAACAACAACATTACCACACTAGATATGGAGAAAGGAAACACACCTGGCACAGGTCACTCATTGGCCAACTCAATCACCAACTCGGGTCCAATTTCGATCTTGGCCTACTGCTTATCCTCTATTTTGATGACTGTTACCAACAAGTTTGTTGTATCAGGCTTCAATTTCAACTTAAACTTCCTTTTGTTGGCAGTACAATCTGTTGTTTGTATATTGACTATTGGTACTTTAAAGACATTTGGTGTCATCACTTATAGACAATTTAACAAGGACGAAGCCAAAAAATGGTCACCAATTGCATTTTTATTAGTGGGAATGATTTACACCTCATCTAAAGCATTACAATATTTATCTATTCCAGTTTACACCATTTTCAAAAACTTGACCATTATTTTGATTGCTTATGGTGAAGTTATTTGGTTTGGTGGTAAAGTCACCACCATGGCTTTAAGTTCCTTCTTGTTGATGGTTTTCTCGTCAGTTATTGCTTATTACGGTGACAAGGGTGAAGCCAAGACTGTTGATGATCAATATGCCTTGTATTTGGGATACTTTTGGATGTTCACCAACTGTTTTGCCTCAGCTGCATTTGTTTTGATTATGAGAAAGAGAATCAAGTTGACCAATTTCAAAGATTTTGATACCATGTACTACAACAATCTTTTATCTATTCCAATCTTGTTGGTTTTCACCTTTTTGTTTGAAAACTGGTCACCAGAAAACTTGGAAAAGAACTTCCCTGCTGATAACAGAACTGCCACTATTGTTGCTATGGTTTTAAGTGGTGCTTCATCTGTCGGTATTTCTTACTGTAGTGCTTGGTGTGTTAGAGTCACTTCATCCACCACATATTCCATGGTTGGTGCTTTGAACAAATTACCAATTGCATTGAGTGGATTGATCTTTTTCAATGCTGCTGTCAATTTCTGGTCAGTTTCATCCATCTTTGTTGGATTTGTCGCTGGTTTAGTTTATGCTGTTGCTAAGCAAAAACAACAAAAGGAAGCACAAGCTTTGCCAACTACCAAGTAAACCAACACAGTGGTTGCATAGTGGTTGCAGCTTTTTATTCTATTTTACATGTGATGAGGTGAGTTGCCTTTTAGTATGTAAATGCAAGGCGCATGCTAGAAGTTGAAGTGGGAGAGAATTTAGAAACAGAGTCAATAAGTAAAGTTTTTCGATTCATAGTTATTATAATAGAGTTTTTTTTTTCATAACCATTTGTGATATCTTTTCTTCAATGTGGATCATTTGTTGGTAATGCTGCAGAGTGTTCAAGAAGAAAACCATCTTTGCCATCCCAACAGTGTCTTATCTCATTTCTATTCTGTGTCGTATCGTGTCGTGTGTCGTGTCTCATTCTTCGAAGATAGTTTTTTTTTTTTCTTTTCTTTTTTTTTTTTGATGTTTTCCATTTCCAAAAGTGTTGCCAAAACTTCTCCTTTTACTGAGCAGATCATTGCTGCAGCAAGAACGACATCATCATTCAAGTGTGTCATCGATAGATTGATATCAAAAGAAGAGGAAGATCATCAATTGTTGTTTATTGTACTGTCATCTACATTCAATCTTTACTAGAGATTCAATATGTCAGCTGAAAACTCATTAGAATCCATCCCAAAGATCTTGGAACAATCTTTACTCCCACAGTACTCCAACCAGGCAGAGAAGACTTTAAAATCAATAGAAAATGAACCAGGGTTTTCTATCAACTTACTACATATCATTGCTTCAAGCAACCTTTCCAATTCAATAAGATTAGCAGCAGCATTATATTTCAAAAACTTAGTCAAGAGAAAATGGATTACTGAAGATGGCACTAATTATCTATTACCATTGGAAGATATCAACAAGATCAAATACGAAATTATTGATGTGATGATAAATTTGCCTAATCAATTGCAAATTCAAATTGGTGAGGCAATTAGTTTGATTGCTGAATGCGATTTCCCTCACAATTGGCCCAATTTAATCGATACTTTAGTTTCCAAGTTATCATTGACAGATTTTGTCAACAACAAAGCAATCCTTTTGGTTTCTCATTCAATTTTTAAAAAATGGCGACCATTATTTCGATCAGATGAATTATTTTTGGAAATTAAATTGGTTTTGGAAAAATTTGTTGAACCATTTTTGAAATTATTTATTGAATTGGATCAGCTAATTGATAAACTGAAGGATAATGAAGCACAATTGGGGATTTATTTTGAAAATTTATTATTATTGATGCAGATTTACTATGATTTCAATTGTCAGGACATTCCCGAGTTTTTTGAAGACCATATGAATGAATTGATGAATATTGTTCATAAATATTTGGTATATGATAATCCGCTACTCTTGAAGAAAGATGAGGATGAGGAAGTTGATGTATTGATTAAAGTCAAGACTTCGATTATTGAATTGTTGTCGTTGTATGTAACAAGGTATGCTGATGTGTTTGAACCATTGATTCAAACGTTTATCACGTCAGTCTGGGACTTGATAAATAACTTTGTCACCAAGCAACCCAAATTCGACTTGTTGGTGGTTAAAGCTTTGCATTTCTTATCATCCATTATCAAAATCCCCAATTATCAATCACTTTTCCAAAGTGAACAATCAGTTAATGAGATTATTGAAAAGATTATTTTACCTAACATCATGTTGAGAGAAAATGATGAAGAAACATTTGAAGATGAACCTATATTATATGTGAGGTCGGATTTGGAAGGATCTGATTTTGATTCAAGAAGGAAAAGTGCTACTGATTTTTTGAGAGAGTTGAAAGAATTGAATAGTGAATTATTGACGACAACTGTTATGAAATATGTCAATCAATTTTTAAGTTTTGCCACTAATGATTGGAAAAACAAAGATACTGCTATTTATTTATTCAGCTCGCTAGCGACCAAGGGAAGTGTGACAAATGCCGGAGTTACGTCAACCAATGTACTTGTTGATGTGGTTGATTTCTTTTCGAAAAACATTGCTCATGACTTGGAATCAAACGAAGTGCATCCGATTTTACAAGTGGATGCTATAAAGTACATTTTTACGTTTAGAAACCAACTTACCAAAGATCAACTCCTACTTACTATCCCCAGACTAATCAATCATTTAGAAGTAAATTCCAATGTGGTTGTATACACTTATTCGGCAATAACAATTGAAAAATTACTTTCAATGACCAATTTCAGCCAGGGCCATCAACCAGTGTTTAATAAAAATGATATTGAACCCTTTGCTACTCCGTTGTTGACGAAGTTGTTCAATTTGATTTTAATGAATAGTGTTAGCTCACCCGAAAAATTGGCTGAAAATGAATTTCTAATGAAGTGTATCATGAGAGTACTCAATACTTGTGAAGATTTATTTTCTGAACGAGTCACCATTATTGACCAATTGTTGCAAATTCTTAAAATCACCGCCAAGAATCCATCCAATCCTAAATTTTCTCATTATACATTTGAATCTTTGGGGTTGCTTTTCAAATATGGAGCGCAACAAGATCCGAAAAACATTGATCAATATATCGACCATGCCATACCGGGTCTACTCAATATTCTTGCTGAAGATGTTCAGGAATATGTCCCTTACACTTTTCAAATCTTGGCGTACTTGTTAGAAAATTATCCTAAATCGAAAGGGTTGCCCGAGACTTATAAATCATTAATCCAACCATTGATGTCACCTTCAGTGTGGCAGTTTAAGGGAAATATCCCGGGAATCACTCGATTACTAATTTCAATTTTGGAGCATGATCCTAGTTTTTTCATTGAAGCAAACCATTTAACTCCATTATTGGGAGTATTCCAAAACTTGCTAGCTAGTAAAGCCAATGATTCGTATGGATTTGATTTAATTCAAAGCATATTGTTCAATATTCCCTTGACATCATTGCAACCGTACTTGAGTAATATTGCTCGTTTGATTTTAACGAGACTACAAAAGTCGCGTACTGATAAATTTGTTAAACGATTTGTCGTGTTTTTAAATGTATTGACAACGGTCAATTTAAGTGAGGAGGTAAAATACACAAACAGTGAAGCATTATCGGGTGGTGATTTTATAATCCAATTGATTGATTCGGTGCAGCCAGGATTATTTGGCCAAATTTATTCGTCGTTCATGTTGCCAACATCTTCGTTATTGGCTAATTTACAAGATAAAAAGATTGTCAATATTGGTATTAGTTATTTGTTGACCAATGCCAATTTCCAATCGCATTATACGGGGTTGATTATTGACACTATTGAGACATTGATTAAAAATTTGAATTCATATGAAGGCATTGCCAAGGCCAACAATAGCACTGGCAACAACAACAATGGCCACGTTGTTAATGTAGCCCCTACTACTGCTGGTGGGTCTGGTGGTGAGCCTGGTGGGTTAAATGAATTAGATTCAGATTTATCTACATTTGGATCGCATTATTCGAAACTAGTATCAATTTCAAATTCGTCGTTTGATCCATTGACACAAATAAAGAATAATGATTTTGATTTGATTAGGTTAACTGTATTGACCAATATTAAGAAAGTCGATGGTGGTGTTTTGAATCAATTGAGTAGTGATACTCAAACAGTGTTGCAAAAAATGGCATTTTAAAATCTAAAAGATCTATAGTAATAGGGGAGTTTGTTCTTCTTTTTGATATTGATGTTTGAATACGTGGTGAATATTTACTGTATTTAGGTATATATAAGTTACATATAAAAGTACATAAAACGAATTTGAACATTTTTGAAACTGAAATTTTAGTTGAAGATTGATTGATCTTTGAACCAAGCGAAGTGAATAGGTATTTCGTAATTCGGAAACAACTTAGGACCCTAGATTCCATGAATAAAAAAGAAAAATCAAGAAGCTTTCATCAGCTTATGCTAGGTTCGGGTTTCATGCTTGTTGTAGTTGCTGTTGCAACTGTTGCCTCTGCAGCAGGTGGTAGTGAATAGTTGATCCCATTACTTTCAATTTGACCACTGACAGTATTCTCATGTAAGTAACTAGTCGCATCACCTGATTTTGGTTTGTTATTATTATTGTTGATGACATCATTACCACCATCTTCTCTCAAACTCGCTGCATTCAGTACTCCACTATTGTTGATATTTCCACCCTCTATCTCGCCATTATTAACATGACTCCCATCTCCTTCCTCACCTTGTTCTTGCTTCACTTCGGTTTGCACTAGTTTTTCCTCTTGTTTTCCCTTCTCTTCTTCTTCCTTCTTCTTCTTTTCCAATTCGGCAATTTCACTAGCAGTCAAGAACCGTCCTCCTTGACCTCGAGGTCTTCTCATTGCATGTTTGTGTCTTGATTCATGCAAATACGGCTTTCTTATTCTGGCAATCTTCAAATTCTCTTCCAATTTGGCTCGCGCTATGCGTCTCTTCAATATACGATGGTATTGTTTGGCATTGACGTAGAATGGTTGCTCAGATGATGCTGCTGCTGCTGCGGGATCATCTACCGACGTCGATGTCGTTGTTGTTATTACACCTCCTGCGTTTGTGTTGTTGTCAAGTAAATCCGATGAAGAACCATCTTGAAGGTGCAGTTGCTGGTGGTGTTGTTGGCGTTGTTGATGACCGTGATTGTGTTGTTGTGGGTGATATTGAGCTTGTCCTTGGTGCGCATTATTAGGATGGTTCAGGTATTCAATATTATCGAAATATGAAGATGTTGTACTTGATGTTGGAGATACACCACTATCTAATGACGCGTAGTAAGCGGGTATCTGTTGCGGTACCTCTCCTGATTGTTGTTGTTGTTGGTGGTGGTGCTGCGGTGGTGGTGGTGATGGTGCTTGTTGCTGCTGTTGCTGCTGATGTTGTTGTGGATCATTGGTGTGAGACTGACGGTCGTAAAACGTGGAGGATTGTAAAGAAGTCATAATAGTGTGTGTGGTTGTTGTTGTTGTTGTTTTTACTCCTTAGGAATGTAAACCTTTGTGTAGAAATGAAAGAAATTAAGTAAGTGGTTGAGTAATTGTATCCTTGTTAAATGATGATATGGTAAGTTGTCTATTCTTTATGGGTGGGTTATTTGAAAAACTTCTTTCTTTCTTCTTTCTTTCGTTTATTTAATTGAAATGTTTTTTTTTTTATTTTTATTTTTTCTTCTTTCTCTCTTTTTAATTTTTTTAATTTTTTTTTAATTTTTTGTCTGTCTGATTCTTATTCTAACTCTTTGTAAATAAATCCCTTTTCTATTTCTGTGTCTGTGTCTGTGTTTGATTTATTTTTGATATTGTAAAGTGCGAAATCGGCAACTTCTTTTCTTACTGCAAATGAATAGTTTATATGGAATAGCCCTTGAAAGAACCTCAATTACTTTTGAATAGGCTTACAACTTCTCTACATAGAATAAGAAAATCTCCATAGGGAAGTAAAGATATCTTTACCTTTTGCTACTTTAATCTTAGCTATTAAAATTAACTCCTCTCAATGAAAGTTAATTTTTTATAAATTTTACCCAAATATGACTCAAAATCTTATAAAGTAGGAACAATTGAAATGAAAAGGAAATTGACCAATGTTCCAGTTGGCCTTTTTTTTTGGAAAGCTTATGCTTATTCTCTCCTTTCAACCAATTTGCGTGAAGCATGTCTAAGGTACTTGCTCCATTCTCATGGTGCTCATTTCACCTGAGGTCAACACAACTAATTTGTACTGGGTTCATCGCTACCAATTTGTTTGATCTGAAAAAAATATTGGTCAAAGGATATCATACAGTATTGACCAACCCTCCCTACTAGTTCGACAATGACTGATATATCGCATGGAGATGCTATAATTGGTGGGTTCCATTCAACGCTGGACAATGTTGATGAAATGTTTGCCAAATTGAGTATTCCTGAAATTCAACGATTATCATCTCAGTACAATTCAATCATTGCCACAACCAAGGATGAACTTCACAGCTTAGTCAGCGATAAATATCGCGACTTGATCAAAATTGCTGAAGATATTGGTGACTTACGAAGCAAGTCGCTTACAATTGAAGAGAACTTGCAAGAAATATCATATAAACCATCAACATTTGTATCACCATACACCGATTCGTACGCCAACTTTGATTCTATCTTGAGACACCAAAACGCAGCTAAAGCTCAACATAACTCGCGATCAGTTATAGTTCGAAACATCATTCAGAAGCGGTTGGCTAAATTGGTCAACAAGATCTCATGTGAAGGACGTAGTCCAATTCATCATACTTCCAACTTTATACCGTTTGTTAAGGAGTTATACACAATAGAAACAGTATTTAATGATGTATTGCAAGAAAAGAAGGATCTTCAACAGCAAATGCATAATATCAAGCACCATTTACTTGAATATTTCAAACATGAAATTGCTGTGTATAATTTCCCCTTGACACTGTTTAATTCAAATGATAGATTTAGTCTTCGTCAAAGATTTTTAGAGAAAGATTTTACTACTGATCCAAACTTGAAGTTTGCTGAGGATGTTTCATTTATTGATGATGATGACTTTGACGAGTTTCAAGATGGTGACGATGATCTTGACGAAACTCAAGAGAAGTATGAGCGATTTGACAAATTGGACACTTTTAAAAACACAAACTATAATAGAAATGTCCTGGCATTATGTAACTACTTGGTGTGTTATACCATTTTGTCGAGTGATATTGAAAAGACCGAAGCAGTCAAACATAAATTGATCGATCTTAGAATGGAGTACTTGAAAATGTTATTGTCCCAATCAATTCAAAGCCAGCAGACTGTCAATTATCGTCTGGTGTTTTTGTACTTGGAAAACACCTGCAATTACCTTAAAAGTTATTTTGGTGACACTGACAGTGATTACTTGCGCACACTTCGGGATGTATCCAAACCATGGAGTCTAACAGAGTTAGTGGGACACAAAGGGTGGATTGATGACGTCCAGGTGGAATTTGGAAGAAACATAAATTCAAGAGAAGAAACCCCACAAGTTAGCGTACAAGACTTTGACAAAGTTATGGCTTTCATAACCGAATTGGTTTCCGGTTCATCCGAGTCCAACAAAACAGTGCCTACGGTGGATGTTTTATCTGCATCCATTGTCAAATACCACGACCTTATTATGAGTTTAAAAAGGTTGGACAGTGCAACCAAGCTTGTTGGGCTGCAATCTCAATTAGTTGAACTTGTTTCTGAAACAACTTTGTTAAAGGAAATGTCGGTAGACCTTGAGAACATGATCAAGGAAATTTACGAGAGCCACATATCACAACTAATGAGTGATAAGGGTATATTAGGATCGGTTCGAGATGTATTGGATAGTGCATCCAATCACAAGGCTAGTCACAATCCGTTTGATCCCGATGTTGTGAATTTGATGGATTATAATCTTGGTGAGTATATGAAATTAGTCATACACAGTGATGAAAACTCAAACCAATCACCATACAACACCACCTACCAATTGAGTAAATGGTTAAATGAGTACTTCCAGTTAAAAAAGATTACCGATTTTGATCGAAATGCAATGGAATTGTCCAGGGAAAAACAAGTTATCTATGATTATCTTCCTCAATTATATCATAGTTTACAAGGAGAAGCTATTCAATGGGGTGATTTCACTGCCAAAAGTTTAAAGGGCCGTTTTCAATCACTTTACACCACCGTAAGTCAAAGCTTTCGTGACGAGGTTGCAAAATTTTGCGCGTCTTTACTAGAGTTGAGTTTGGATGAAAGTGATGTCAGCAAGTTAATTTACCTCATTGGGCTTTTGACAAAATTGCGAGATGTTATTCAATCTAAAAGTGCTGAAATGAATCAAGACACAAAGAAACTTATAAAAGCAATGGAGTCGAATACTGCTAGCATCTTCAAAAAAGTTGTTTCTCAAGTATTGGATAATAAAATTGACAAATTACGAGATTTGGTTGTCTTAGAAGAGCCACAAGCTAACGAAGCGGATATACCAACAAGACCCAGTCTTGAACTTGCTCTGAACTTATATGAGATAGCACAAATATTCCTCACACAGGCAGCCAAAATTGAGCCCAATAATGTCAATTTGTTTCTGAACTCGTCGACATTGGATCATTATATAAAGGCCAAAAATGAATGGCTTGATAAAGTGATTGGCACAATCATGTCTAAAACCAGCCCATCAGAAGATTCACCCAGTGATAGTGATGATAAAACTGAAGCAGGAGAGGAAGGTGAGAGTACGAATTCCAATGAAGATACAAAACCGTCGAAAACCACCACACTATTACAAATTGCAGCAAACGTTGCCTTTTTACAATTGTTTTGCAAGCCTAACATTGACGCGAAAGTAATTAAGAGCATAATCGAATCCATCCATGTTACTAAGGACCAAAATTTCAATGAAAACACTTTGGAAATCATTTCCAGTGGAGTTTCTTCATTTTACAAATCAAGAAAGAATATCTATCAACCTCTTCTGTTATAAACATACACAATGATATATATAAACCCCTCATTCAATAAAGGTAAATCTTCAGTCCTTGTTTTGTTAATTCTTTCAATACTTCAAAAGTCTCTTTTATATCCCATATATTTTGTTTCTTTTGATCTAGGTACGAGTTATCAACAAGGATAATTTTAATTTCATCTTTTTGCAATTGTGATTCTGGACTGTTCAACACTTTTTGTAACCTTCCTGGAGTACAACAAAGTACTCTTGATCTTGTTGATTTGACCAATTTTAAATCAACGTCTAATTTGTTTTTGTTGATTAGTTTTAATGAACTTCCATTTAAGTCCTTTGTAGCTCGATGAATATCGCATGCTCTTATTGCTGACATAGACACAATGGCTATGAATTTTCTATCCTCTGTTGGTTGCCTACTGTCATCATCATCTTGCTCCACATCTTCAACTTTGCTCTTGTTCTTATTCTTGTTCTTATTCTTTTTATTCTTTTGCTTGCCATGCTGTGGTTGCTGTTGCTGTTGTTTACCAGGTAGCATATTTTTAAACCGTTGATTAATATACTCCAGCAAATTATCCAATGTTCTTGACTTGGTGAATTCAGAAGTTGATCGAATATCATTTTTGGTAAAGTATAATTCACTCAATTCTAATGCTGATAAATTTGTATGCTTTCTACTGATTTTAGAATTGATAAATTCAGTAATTACTTCAGGACTTGCTTCCAATGAAATATCTTTCTTTTGTTGCATATCCAATTCCATCTTCATTTTCTTTTTCTCTTTCAAGTTTGATATATCGGTTTTACGTTTGCGTGGATTGGTTCCTTCTTCATCTTGGGTTGGTTCTTCATGGGTAACGGTTTCGGTTGCAAGTGTAGAAGGAGGGACTAATTCTCCTTCATCTTCGGAATATTGTACATCGTATTCCAAGCCATCATCAAGGTCATCAGCTTCTGCTCTTGTTAACTCTACCATTTTTCGTAAATGCACCGTTATAATCTTAATTTGTGTGTGGGATGATATGTTTGATTCTTTTTGCAATGAGATGAGTTTAAACAAATTATTTATTCCAATCAGGGTTACAAAAACCAAAGATTTTTCATTTCCCTTTTCAAGCAGAAGTTAAGTTTGATTCAAATAGGAATCACCACTACTATACGCACACACATATACCATGATTAATATATTCAAAAGATCAAGTCAGATCCTACCGAGGACTACACTATTGCATAAAAGAAACATCGTCATTAATGCCGATCTACGGTCAAAGCTAACCGACTCTCAAACTCATCCGGTTGTGGTCATTGGCGGTGGGCATGCAGGGTGCGAAGCAGCTACAGGGTCTGCAAGATCGGGGACCCCAACTACTTTAATAACCCCTGAAATTAGCAAAATAGGGACAGCATCGTGTAATCCTTCAATGGGAGGTGTTGGAAAGGGAACTTTATTGCGTGAAGTCGATGCCCTTGATGGCGTTAGTGCTAGAATCACCGACAAAGCAGGTATACATTTTCGAATATTGAATGCTTCAAAGGGTCCTGCTGTCCATGGACCGCGAGCACAAATCGATAGAAAGATTTACTTGAATGAAATGCAAAGGGAAATTTGTAATTATAAGAACTTGTCAATTATTGAAGCTCAAGTGAAGGATATAATAATAGAACCAGCAAGTTCTGAAGATTATAGTGGGCGATTATTTGGCACTGTGAAAGGTATAATTTTAGAGGATGGCAGGATATTGAAATGTGAAAAGGTTGTGGTTACCACGGGCACGTTTCTAGGCGGTGAAATACATATTGGTCTAAAAGCATTCCCTTCCGGAAGAATGGGCGAAAAGGCAACGTTTGGATTATCAAAGACTTTCAGAGAAGCAGGGTTCAGATTGGGAAGGCTAAAGACAGGAACGCCTGCTAGATTGTCGGCCAAGACAATTGATTTCAGTACTTTGATTGAACAACCATCCGATTTCCCACCCCAGCCCATGTCGTATTTGAATGACAGCGTTGATCTTGAGGATAAATTGGTCAAGTGTTACCAAACGCAAACAACTCCCGAATTCCACAAGATGATTGCTGATAACTTGGACAAATCAATCCACATTAGGGAAACAGTCAAGGGCCCACGATACTGCCCCAGTATCGAGTCCAAAGTCATTAAATTCCCCCAAAAACAATTTCACACCGTATGGCTCGAACCTGAGGGACTTGATACTGACTTCATATACCCCAATGGAATATCCTGCACGATGCCCGAGGATATCCAAGAACAAATTGTCAAGATGATGCCTGGATGTAAAAATGTAAAAATGGTGCAGCCAGGGTATGGAGTCGAGTATGATTATGTCGATCCCAGGGAACTCGAGATCACTCTTGAGACAAAATTGGTCAATGGATTGTACTTGGCAGGTCAAATTAATGGAACTACCGGATATGAAGAAGCTGCTTCCCAAGGCTGTGTTGCTGGTATAAATGCCGGTCTTTCGTACTTGAAAAAGCCATTGTTGGAAATGAAACGATCGGATGGGTACATTGGTGTATTGATTGACGATTTGGTAACTAAAGGGGTTGAAGAACCATACAGAATGTTCACATCGAGATCTGAGTTTCGGGTATCGATTCGATCTGATAATGCAGACAAGAGATTAACTGAGTTAGGATATGGACTTGGAGTAGTTGGGAAAGACAGGTATGAATATTTCAAAAACGAGATTAAGCAATTTAATGAGATAAAGAACCACTTGAAGGGTCTTCGTCTTTCAGGTAAAGCTTGGTCGCCTGCGTTATCAGGAGCTGCCACCGACTTGAGATCAAGTAACAAAGTTGATGGCTGGAAGTTGTTGTCATACAAGGGCGTCTCCATCAAGGATGTACTCCCTCATATGGATATATTTACTGGAAGTCATACCCCGTCATTTTACAATCACCTAACTAATCGATTAATAAATCGGATCGATGTTGAAAGTGACTACGAACCATTCATGTCGAAAGAAAAAGCTCATTTAAGTGCTTATGAAGCTGATGAGAGTCTACTTTTACCCACTAATTTCAACTATACCAATTCTGGCAATTTGAAAATTTCGTATGAAGCTTGCTCCATTTTAAACACTATTCAACCAAAGACTATTGGACAAGCACGTCGTATTCAAGGTATTACCCCTACTGCCATTTTTGAACTTTTGAAGCTCGTGAGAGGCAATCAAAAGCAATATGCCGCCTCTGCAGGGCAGTAGAAAAAATAAGCGTTCTAGTAAATATTTTATTTGTACATAGTTATACAACATCGTCATTACCGTTGTCATTGTTATTTTAAAAATCAACATCATCCGAATCATCCGTATCATCGTCTTTAGAAGGACTCTTCTCGTCTTTCTTTTCCTCATTTTCTTCACTGTTGTCATTATTCTCCGACCTAGTACAATTTGCATTCTTACCCAGGCGTTCTTCCCCATTCCCCACGACATCCTGATTACTTTGCTGATCATCATTGAGAAACAACACTCCTTCGTCGACAGCTTCAAGATCTGAAAGAGCCTGTTCAACACTATTCTCAAGCGCGATAACCAACTCTAGAGGAAGGTTATCTTGAGCTATGTCAAAGATCCGCTCAATATCGCCCATCGTTTCACCAGTTCCCCCGAAATTGATTTGACGAAGATACAAAATCAAATCGGTAATATCGACCTTATTTGAGTCCCTTGAGAATGCATATAATTTTAGAGTATTCATTAAATTTTGCAAATACTCATTTGAACTTGACTGAATTTGTTGCAAGATACTGCTTGGTGCATTGCTTATATGTTGCTGTGGTGTGTCTTCCAGTGAATTCAGCTCAAGCTGTTGACGACTAAGTAGGTTTCTGATGATAAAGTCAACATCGTCAATATTGAGCTCATTTTTTTTTGAACTGCTTTCTGAGTTCTCTTCAATTGGTTTCTCCTCTTCATCCTCAGACAAATCAATCTCACCCAAGGTGTCAATTTCTATTGCTCTTGCATCAGACACATTGCGAAGCGTGCTAAAGATACCTTCCGCTTGGGAGATACCTTCTGTTGGGGTAGCTCCTGCGTCAGATTTACCGTCTAACAGGTTCGATGCCTCATTCTGTAAATTCTTTACTGGGTTTACCTCTTCCTCAGGTTCTGAAGTTTCATTTTCAATTCTGTTATCAAGAACTACTTCATTATCTTCGTTATTCGTGTCCGCTTTTTTAAAATCTCGTAGAGCAATAGTAAGTCCTTCTTCCTGACGTTGTTCAATCAGCTCTGATACATCAACTTGAACGTCAGTCAAACTTCTTTCAATCAGTGCTACTTGTGCGTGGTTTGAATAGGCTACTTGATCCACCTTCATATCTTCTGATCCTTCAGCGTGCTTCTTTTCGGTATTCAGAAGCACAACAAGTTCTTTAGTCAGCTTTGGATTGGCTACAGAATGATTATCATCAATTGGAGACAATTGCTTGTCAACTTGCGTAGTCTCAAATGTAGAACTTTCTGTGATTATCTGTTCTGAACCAAGAGGATCACTCCTTTCAGTAGTTTCTGATACTGCATTGTTGCTATGCTCCCTCTCAGGCGCTGACTCATCCTCATTAGCTGGCACAAAAATTGATGCTTCCTTTTCAGTTGTCTCAGGCGCTGATTCGTCCTTCTCTTCGGTTGCACGCAAAGCCTTGGAGTTCAGCATTGGGTTTCCTTCTTTCCTGCAATCACCTGCTTGCTGCTCTTCCATATCAACAGTACAAAAAGTCTCAACGGCGGCGTCACCTGCATTCAAAACAGGTGAAATCTCTTCTTGGTCACCTGATTTTGAGGTTGCAATACTTTGTTGAATATTATCTTGAGCCAAATCAGTATTGCTATTCGTGTCTTCAGCTTTAGCACTATCTGATTGTCGCTCATGATCAATTTCAATGTCTTTAGTATTAGCAAGGGAACTCCGATGATTATTGGGATCATCGCCAGCAGCGGTTTCAGCATCTCTACTTCTATCCTCAACAAAGTTGCTCTTCTCTGGAGATTCAGAGGAACTCTCTCCCTGTCTCGCTAAGTCAACAGTAAAGTCAGGTTTGACACCAATGATTTTCCTCTTTTTTCGAGCTGGAATTTCATTACCTAGTTTCGAGACTGGTTCAAGAGTTTCTTGTTTGACATCAGTCGACCCCTTTTCATCACTCAGGACCACATCTCTGCCAGACTTCAATTTCTCAGCCTTGGCCTTCTGAGCAAGCAAAATCTTTTGCAAGTACGAAACTGGCTTCTTTTCTTGGCCAATATCTACACTTTGTGTAAGACCCTTTCCTAGCTCAGGCACTGGTGTAGATTCAATTCTTTCCACCGAGTTCATATCTTGATTCAAGCCATTGTGGTTAGCATTTTCAGACGGGGAAGAAGTATTCATCGTCTCAGACAACTTATCGTCTAGCTTTGGCTGTAGTACTGTACCCTCGTTCTCACTAGATGTAGGAGGCGTGTCATTGATAACAGTTTGGTCCTCACTTGATTCCTTATTGTTCTGCGCAAGAAAAGTAAACTTCTTGTAAAGATACCGTAGGTAATCCAACGTGATCGGACCTTCATAATTTACATTATATCGGGAATCAACATCTTCTTCATCGTTGGAGTTAGCTTTAAATGATGAGCTAGTTCGTTTTGTTGAGTGAGTTAAATCAGGGAGATTCAGGAATAGATCCACTGAATTCAAGTTATCAGTTCGAGAATTCAAGTTATCAGTTCGAGAACCCAAACCCTTTCTAGGGGAGTCTCTCTGTGATCCATGCCTTGTTGTATTTTGTGGGTGTCTGTGAGGAGGTAGAGGAATATTAAACTTTGTAGGTGACTGTGAGGCTGACAGAATAAAGTTAGACTGGTTCTCAATTACTGTCCCAGTGTTGGATAAATGTGGCAGCACTTCCATTTTCTGTAAAATTTCAAGCTCAATTCTATCTGATTTATCAACTATGGGCTCATTGGTTGACATATTTTCTCTTCTCGTAGGAACCCCTAAGAAGTGTACAAATGGTATTTGTTTACAATTTGCGTGTTTTGCGTTTGTGCCACGCGCTACCAAGTTCACTTCAAATCTGCAATTGGAATTTTCGGTTTTTCGATTGCTGTAGCTTAAACCGAGTTGTAACGGCAGATCAATTTGTGGTATTATTATGTCAAAATCTAATGCAAAGGCCTCCAAACTGGCTGCTTCAACGCCTGACACTTTCCAAAAAGGGGACAATTTGCTCACTGCGTTAGTCTCTGGCTGTACAGCTGCTGCGTTTACGGCCACGGTTACTTACCCATTTGATTTCATAAAGACCCAACAGCAAATAAACAATGTCGCGTATATGAAAAAGTGGGACATTCCAGGGAACTATCCAGCAACTTTAGGTCAGATGTACAAAGGTGGTAGTGCTTTGGTTTTAGGAGCAGTCGTCAAAAATGGAGCAAGATTGATTTCATACAATTGGGCATCTAAATTCATGTCGATCGACTCTCATCATGGAGAAACAAACAAGACTACAGCTCCTCGAATTGTTATTGCTGGTATAATGAGTGCAACAATTGAAACAGCATTTTTAATACCGTTTGAAAATGTCAAAATCACAATGATTCAAAATCAATCGTTGAAAAATGAGCTAGCTAGGACCAAAGATATAGGCTATGATATTACCGGAACCAAAGTGGGACATCACTCGCATCATCACCATCACCAACAACACACTCCCCACGCATCAGTTGGTAAGTCCCTTTTTGCGCGTCAATACGTTTCACCCAACTCTTACTACTCGACAGAAATTTTGGATAATAAGAAACACAAAGGTCGGTTCCCACCACCCGTACCAAAGGGGGCTCAGAATATCGAGAGTTTGAAAGCCCACTACAATCAGCATCCATCATTGACTTTATTCGGGACCATAAGAGAAATGTACAGGCTTAAAGGAATAAGAGCCTTTACAGCGGGTACGTTCATTACCTATACGCGACAAATTGCACTTTCATGGGTATGGTTTTCCTCGTATAATGCTATGCGTCAATTGATCAATCCTCATCAAACGGAAAATGCTTGGTTTGGACACAATCATACACTTGTGCAACTGCTCGGATTACACACAATCTCGTCGTTTGCCGTCATTGCCGTAACGCAACCATTGGATGTTGTTAAAACCCACATGCAGCTGAAAAATGGGAAAGCAATTTATAGAGATTCATTGAGCACTGCGTACAAGTTGTTTATGAAACAGGGACCATTGTCCTTGTTCAAAGGTGCTCTTCCTCGGTTTGTCAAGGTCTTGGTCAGTGGTGGAATGACAGGAATTATCTATGAGTATGTCGAAAATGTTGTTAACGCGGCCGGCGGTCAAACAATGTTTAAACTTGAATAAGGCTGATGCGATATTACTTCTCAAAATATACTGGTATCAATGTTTCTCCACTTTTATGAATAACGCCATTGAATGCTTTGGCTAATAATCCACCACCATAACTTGGTTGACTAAATGCGATTTGGCTTTTGCGCAAGATTTGTCCATAAACTGAGTTTGCCATTACACAATCTAACAATTTCTTCGCCAATCCATGTTGTCTCCAGTCCGCTGAAATCCAAATTCGCGAAATACCTATACGGATGTTTTTCATCACTTGGTTGGGAACTATTACTTGTGTATTATAAACCATCCATTTTGCTTCGTTTATAGAATCTGTCGTACATAGACCAATAGCTTTACCTTCAACTAAAACGACAAAAGCTTTACTAAACTTGAATTTGCTCGACATCCACTCCTTCGAATCATCAGTGGCATTAAGTTCTCTATTTACCATTTGCAAGATCTGGTTGACTTTGTCAATGTGCCTCTTGTTTTGTTTATCAATAGTTTGAATGTGGACCTTGACACGCTTGGAAACTGTCGAACTCTTTAACTTGCCCAATTGTTTAGACTTTTCTCTACGAACAATAGCAAAGGAGCTTAATGGGTCCAAGTTCAACGATTGAGGCCAGGTGACACCATTCGTAAATTGTGTGTGATATTTCCTGTGTACTTCCGCGTCAGCGCGTACTTGAGAGCTGTACGCCATGCCACACACGCGACATGTTGTTCTCTTAAAAGGTATGTCTAAAACGTATTGGACTTTCCTATCAGTGGCCTGTTCTCTCATATCATACTGAACAATCTAGCTGTTAACTGGGTTAACTTTCAAGCAGTTGTACAAAATTTGTGCTTCGGGATGTACTCGTACCGGAATAATTGGCATTTTATTCTTTATTTTTTATTTCTTTTTTTTTTTCTTTTTTTCACACCATTATTCCAGTAACAGACTTTCCCCAGATCTAACAACTGGATTGGAACTACACTTTACACAGCAATGTCATCTGAATATGCCAACCTTTTACCCAAAAACGGGAAGTGGAAACAGCAAATCACCGACTTCTTAACTGAGGATGTACCTTCATTCGATTTCGGTGGGTTTGTTGTTGGTGCTAAACCAGAAACAGCATCATTGTATATGAAACAAGAAGGATTAATTTGTGGTGTCCCATTTGCCGCTGAGGTTTTCAAACAATGCGACTTGAAAGTGAAATGGCATCGTGAAGAAAAGGACTATGTGACAGCAGAAGAGTTGAAGCAAAATGGTGGCAAGATTGTAGTTGCTACGGTTGCCGGTGCTGCCAAAAATATCTTGTTGGCAGAACGGACTGCGTTGAATTTATTAGCAAGGGCTTCAGGTGTCGCTACACAATCTTACATTACCAAGAATTTAGCCGACGAAAACGGATACACGGGGTTAATTGCCGGGACAAGAAAGACTACACCAGGATTACGATTGGTTGAAAAATACGCCATGCTTGTTGGCGGTGTAGATACTCATAGATATGACTTGAGCTCTATGGTTATGTTGAAGGATAACCATATTGCATCTACTGGAAGTATCACTGATGCAGTGGCAAAAGCAAGACTGGTTTGTGGATTTGCTGTTAAAGTTGAGGTTGAAGTAAGTTCAGAAAAGGACGCCAAGGAAGCAATAGATGCCGGCGCTGACGTGATTATGTTGGATAACTTCAAAGGTGACGAATTGAGGCAAGTGGCACAGAGTTTGAAAGAGCACTACAAGGGAAGCAACAAGGCGTTCTTGTTGGAGTGCTCGGGAGGATTGACATTGAAGAATTTGAGCAGCTATCTTTCAAATGACATTGATATTTATTCAACCTCATCGATCCATCAAGGCACTGGTATAATTGATTTTTCATTGAAAATCGACGTTTGATAGAGCAAAAAGGGGCGAGCAGACACGTATATAAACTACCTAATGGAGGAAACACTTTTGAGCTCGATGCTTTCGAAACCGGTGTTATTACCCAACACTGTATTGACGTTTTGTAGTATTTTGGCAGTCTCTGAATCTGAATTATCGGGAACAATCTCTTCTTGATTCTCTTCCTCAACTTCATACGAATCCCCACCACCTTTTGAGTCTGATACAGCTCTGGAACTCTGCAGAAGTCCAGACATGCTACTAGACCCACTTGCCAAACTCAAATCTTTCAACAAATCAGAATGGCCAAGCTGCTCCAAAGGCTTAGTTTCTTCGTGCACCACTTGCAATTTTTGCGGCACATTCTTTTTACCATAGCATCTTATGGCTCTTATGTGGCTGTCTTTCCCCTCTTGGTGGTTGGCTAATATGATTATTTTCACCATGAAACACTTTAAAACGCCATCGTTTCTAATCCCGTTGAATATTATATGTGACCAACCAATTGGCTGATTAAAATTGACAGTGCAAACTTCAATCAAATCCCATCCTTCACTACTACCAGCCATAATTCTTATTTTACTAGGGGTATAACTTTCATCTAAAGAATAATTGGTGAAGATTGATATTCGTTCCAACGCCACTTTTTTAATGAAATGAATAGTTATGGAATGAGGATTGGCTAAATGGTTATTCATCAAGGCTGAGCTATTGGGGTTAGTATTATTGCCTCCATTGCTTCCATCACTTTGCCAGTAAGTTTCAGGGTTATCTTCGCGCAATTGAGCCAAGCCAAAACCTTGCTTATATGATGATAATTTCCAACTGGCAAGTGGTGACAAATCAACCAACTGTAAATCCTCCACTTCTTGTAAACCCTTCATGTAATATACTCGCTGAATCTGTTCCAAACTTGGTTGCGCCGATGAATCCTCCATTTGCAGGTTTTGTTGATCTTCGTTGGCTTCAAAGGGATGGCGACTGGAAGTTGTACCATGACTAATCATATCATGATCAATCGACTGGTCGTCTACTTCATCTTCGGTGTTGTCTGGCTCATGCTCCAACAGCACGACACTCTGGGTGATTCTGTTAAATGACCCTTCAAGTCGCTCGTCCTTATCTTCGTCATCTTCGTCAATCAGTTGCATAAATGCATGATGGATCCTACTAGACTGATCATTCGCTAACGAGCTGGATCTGATTGAGTCGCGTATTTCTTCTGGGGTGAATGGAGGTTGTATATGTAGCTCATGCTGTGTGTCTGGATCGGTTGAATCGGGGTATGCTTCTGACATTTGTGTTTCTAACACTTCATTACTCTGGGTATTTTGTTGTGGTTGTTGTTGCTGTTGCTGTTGTATGTCATGCGAGTTATCTGTTCGATTTAGCAGTTCAGCAGCGCTATCTGCTATATTAGAAGAGTTGGTGATTCCAAAACTCAAGTTATCCCAATACCCTGATGAGTTCATATAAAGGGGAAACTTTTTTAGTAAAACACAAATAAATTATTTTGAATTATTTTGTTAGAGAAATATTTATCTACACCCGCCAAATTGTAAACAAAAAGAAAGAAATTTAACAATCTACAAGCGTTGTTTTCAAAGATGCAAGAGGCTTTGGCCAAAATGGACTTTTAAAGAAAATAATCTCATACATTGCAAATGGATTTGGTATTTTCAAGCAAACTATATGATCGTTATTATACCTCCATTCATATCTATTTCTTACCCTTCTTCTTTTGTTTCTTTTTCTGTGATTTCGTCAATGGTTTAGTCTCGCTTTCCGTTTCAAGACTTGGTTCTTCAGTCTCTTCGACTTCGAGTTCGTCTTCCTCGGCATTGGCACCATTTTCGGCAATCACATCATTCTCGGTTGAGTCAACTTTTGTTGAGGAAACTTCTGCCTCAGCTACCTTGATGGGTACTTCTTCTTCCTTTTCGTCTGCTTTTGGTGTTTTATCATTCAAGTCTGATACTGATTCTAATAATACTGGTTCATTTTCTGTAATTTTGACATCTTGTTTCAAGTTTGAATCAGCTTTGTCCTTTTCTTGCTCATTGTTTTCATTGATATTCAATTCTTGAAAGTCGTTTTCCAAGGGCTTTCCTTTTGGTTCCTCGTTTCCAGCTGGAATCTCAACCTTCAGAGGTTCTTGTTTCAGTTTGCCATCAATGATTGTTTCCTTTGGTATAGTGAATGAGCTTGAATTGTTATCAAGGTTAACCAAGGGACTTGACACAGCCGGTTTGTTCTTTCCCTGATTAGTACTCAAGCTCGTGGATGAGTTGTTTTTGGAGTGCGGTGTTCTCAAATTTACGTTTGAACCGCTTCTCGATTGATTTAAATATGGACTGCTTTTACCTGATTCATGGACTTTTTTAACTGGCTTGGGCGGTTGATAAGCGGTTTGAAAATTCCCAGTCAATCCGTACTTTTTCAATGCTCTCTTCTTCAATACCTCAATGTAACCTGGTCTTCCTCTCACTCCATCTTTACCAAATTCTTTGCCATTTCTGTCGTAAAAGCTTAATTCACCTTGATTCTCATCTTCATCACCGATCATGAAATCGCCATCTCTTTCTGGTGATAAAAATCCCAATTCTTCTCGATACTCACTGGAATCAATCAAGAAATTTCCCGACTCTAAATCACTAGTAAATTCAAAAACAAATTCTTGTAAACTGTGAGCAATAACCAACTTTGTATCAAAGTCACGTCCAAACAAGATAATTTGGCCCCACGTACCATTTGGTCCAGGATTCAAGTCCATGGCAACCTGATTTCCAATGTTATCTTTTAACAATATTACCCACCCCTTGTTGTAGTAGTATGGTTGTATTGAATTTGGTGGGATAGACCTCTGATTTGTAATAAAAGTGCCGCCTTGTCTTTGGTGTTGCAGCAGGCTTCCTTCCTTCAACTCATTTTGTTTCTGTTGATGTTGGGCCATATATTGTTGTTTTTCTAATCTTTCAGCAACTTTGTTCCATAATATATTTTCCTCCACAATACTCTCCAAATCCAACAACACCAACCCCATAATCAAGCCTGTTGGCTTGCCTCCCCTCAATTGTCCATCGTGTCTTTTATAAAATTGTCTAAAATCCTCAGGTAGGCTTCTTGAACCACATTTCAAATCTTGTAAAAACTCATTCAAATCGGCTGAAGTGACACCGTCATTTAAATTATCCTCCAACTCTGGGTACTCTTCATCAATCCAATGTTCAATACGATCCCATAACGAGTCTATTGAAGGTAATGGAGGTAATCCATTAGCATCAAAGTTCTGAAGTTGAACATCTTGACCTAACTGGCTCTGTGATGATCGTAATCCGGGTCTATAGAAGCCAGCAGCTGTAGAATCATTCAATGACAGCCTCGATGCATTCATATCGGCATTCAAATTTATGGCTGAACCGTTGGGGTGTGACCCAACTGAAGTGCCAGTGAACGTATCATCACCGTTTTCTTGTGTTCTGTAAGGTGAATCGTAAGAGGCATAATGGTCATTAGTAGTAATGGAATGAACAAAAGCCTTAACGTTATCGAGAAATCCCATCTTGCAAAAGGTATTGAAAGCTTGGACTAATAATCAATGCTTTGTAAAAGGTCGAAAGGATTTTTACAGAGAAAGCAAAACAACAAAAAAGAAGAAAAGAAAGAAAAAAAAAAATAAAAAAAAAAAAAAAATAAGCCGAGGCGTGACGTGAAAACTCAAGGGTGTAATTGTCAGGGTGTAAAAGGGAAAACATTGTGAAGCACAGCTACAATCGAACTCCATTTGGATTACTTGCCAGTTACAGAGGAAGTATACACCTGTAGCATTGAAAGAGCTAGATGCTTTCAAAGTGTAGAGAGAAATCGCGTTATGGTTGCACCTGATTTGCCTCAAAATGTTCGCGACAATTATCATTACATAACCAGAAACTATATTGTTTTTGTTGCAGAAAAGTCGTGTCGAAAATAAAAAGTTACGATGGTCAAAAGTCTAGAATCTCTTTCTGAAGAAAAGAGGGTTCCGTATAGAGATAACCCACCTACTATCCAAATATAAATAACTCATCTCTCATTCGCAACTGTAGATGAAATAGAGATGAAATTTACTCTGGAATTAAAATACGTATTCACAGCAATCACTACACAGCCAACTTCCATTGTTTTCTGCAACACAGAAAACCCTAAAGAATTCACAATCCAGGACGCATGAGCTACGAAGAAACCATATTCATTAATTTAGAAGTCATTGCGGCATCTTCACACTGTAGTAACTCTTCATTCCCGAGGCGTTCTATTATTCAACAAATATTCACTGATAACGTCACCAAAGAAATCAGTCACCAATTCCTTATCCTTCAAATGAGTTAATTGATCAATGTCATCGATTAATTCATAATTCATTGATTCTGAAATTTTGGAATCTTGCTTGTAGTTTGCACTGTTCAACACTTTTTGTCTCATCCAATGTGCAGCAGTCGGTATCTCGCCGCTGGCACGTTTCGAGATCAATATGAGATAGTACTTCAATCTGATCAATGTTTGAGCACATTTGGAGTCGGGACAATGCTGGCAACATTCTGGAACTAATTCAGTGGCGATTAATTTAATAATCAAACTAATTAAACCGGGGAATTTGCCATCTCCATTAATGATTTCGTTTAGAGTGTAACGTTGATCCATGCCAAAGTCGTCAACATCATTTACCTCTTCAACTGTTTTTCCCTCGCACCCTTTCTTGCATTTTGCGGCCGATCCATTCATTTGGGCATTATTATGCCCCACACCGTTACCATTGGTCTTTCCGTTCATACCAGCAAGACTTGCACTCGAGGAATATCCCTTTAAGTAAACAGGCCCATCTTCTAATACATCATTACCCTCCATCAAAAACCGATCAAACCAGGTAAAGTCATACCCTGTAAACTCATGATAATCTAAGTTCCACGAATCCATTGACTTGAACCAGAACTTATCATTCAATACAGAGTCGACCTTATGTGCCAAGGTCATGTTCAATTCAACTTTCAGAATGGGAATATACAAATTTGGTTTGAATTTCAAAATAGCTCGTGATAGTAAAGTAATGAATGACGAAAATGCAGCATTTTCAAAATCAGTAATCTGAACCTCCATTGGCCTGAATTCAACTCTCCACCCTGGTTTGTCACTGAAGTCGATTTCCCCATCTGCGCCCTTTTCGTACAACGCTGGCGGCTTAAAGCGTAGGGTTTGCCAGTTGGTACTCTGAATGTTTTCAAAATGGTCATTGCTCAAAGTATTGTCCTGGTTAATTCGCTCGCTGAATATGACCAAGGGGTCTCTGATAAACAAATGAGCAAAATGGTTGGCCAAGTACTTGTCAAATTGTCCTAGTTTATCGTTGACTAAACGATTATAAATTTTAGAATTTATCGGCGCATTTAGGTCATTATATCCATCTTTAAAGTAACTTGTGTCGTATTTGTGATCGCCAAGATAGTTATCCACCGACCCGTATCGCGATTTTGGTACTCTTTGAATAGGCTTGCCGTCTTTTGTGCACAAATCTTGCAAATCTCCATAAGCATTCACACTGTGGTTATTCACCAGCAAATTCTCTTTCTCATCTATGTCCAATCCCCCAAATAAATGATAGCTGGGGTACGGTTCTTGAGATTTCTCAACAAATGTACGATCATCAACAGCGCCACAAATCACATTCCACCTCACATCTTGATCCACCAAGTACCCTTTGAAGATAGGTGCAGCACCGGTTAAACTCAACAATATAGGTGCCACTGGTACTAAAGTATCATACAAGTATCTCGCCTCGTCGATGTTTTGACACTGCATGGTGATTTGTAAACAGCTTGATCCCATACCAAACCCCATTGAATCCATATATACATGACCAGGCCGGGACGCGCCAATGTGGGGCTCTATATCGCTCTTGAACAACTGACGATTAGTTGGTATTGAGTCGTCCAATAACTTTGTACGCTTATCAGGGTACATGGGCAAATTCATTGCTACTTTGTGACCTTTCCTCTTTCGTATATTGGCAGTTAAAGTGGGGAACCGCGCGTGTCGGTTAATAATCTCATCAGGTAAGAATAATGATTGCGACGCAGGCCCAATTGGTTTTGCTGGTGGTGATGTAAAGTTGCCACAGCCCATCCTCGGGAATGCGGTTATAGTCAATGGTTTGATATGAGGCGGAAGCTCTCCAATGCTCAATTCTCTGCGTTTAATCATATTATCTTCGACATAGATGTAATCCTCGAGTTTGTCTCCGTCGTATGGTTTTGCTGGTGTTGCTTCAATCATGTATCTGCCATATTCGGGGTGAAACAAGACGTTGTTTTCCTGAGCCTTTGGAAGTGACTTGGCTTCGTCATTCAAGTCGTCCAACACATAGTCCTTATCGATAGCCAACTTCGCAGTCTTCAGTTGGTCATCTAAATCAACCAACATATACTCGACCTCATCTCCCCATAAAAATCTATCATTGTCTCTATTATAATGTTGGCGAAAAATGTTCATCAACTGCGTAATTCCGTTGTCTCTGACATGTTCATTGTGTTTCTTAGACTCGTGCCAGTCTAGTGGAGTACCCAAGGAAAGCAATCCCATTGAAATTTGGTGTTTCTAATCAGTGGAAACTGATACTGGTAAGTGAAGAATGAAAAAAAAAAAAAATTAAAAACTAAAAAATTGTGGTTGCTAAATGTTGGCTGCTGCAGGCGAATTAAAATCAAAGCTTGCTGGATGAGTGAGCAACTCCTTTCAATGAGTAATAAGTGAGTGGGTAGGTTGATGGTGGTGACAAGATGTAAGTGTAGATAAGCACCTTAACTTCAAAGCCAGTTGACTCTCTTCCTTTCTTTCTTTCTTTTGCTAAAGATTGAAAATGCAATTTATTTATTTAAATTTCTTTTTTATTTTTTTTGTTTTATTTTTTCGTTTATCAATTTTCAATATCTATACACACACACACACACACAAGAAACGAAATGAACTGGTATAATAGTTGCTTCATTGGTTAGAGTCCACTTCAATCGAAACTTTGGCTTAAGCTTTTACAAGTGAGCAATATTAGGTGAAAGATGAAAGAAAGTTCTTGCGAATATGTTTATAGTTAGGGATATTATTTCTCAATTTGGAGGTATATGTTTTGTCAATAGATTACTAAGCAGATCCTTTCTACACTAAAACGTTTTTTTTATTCTTGTTTTACGTCGGCTTGCACAATGTTCTCCCGCCCCCTACAGTATTTTTAGCTCGCTCCATTTTCGCCCTTTTCTTTTAGTTTTGAGTCGAACGGGCTACAAAGAGAGAAAAAAATAAAAAGCCTCCACACTGAAAATTATCATTTTTCCTTTTGTAACTGAAAATGAATAGCGGCTTTTCCTACATAGAATATTAAAATGATGTGAAGTCACGTGCAATCTGAATGTTAACTTTCCTTGCTTAAGTAACCTTTGTTGAAAGAAGAAACAAGTATTTTCAATACATCAGGTGATTTGTGGTTAAGCACCTGGTAGTATCTATACGTTTTACTTTGTACTCCGTATAAATCTGTCTCGGGTTTAAATGGTAATGATAGAAATATGGATACAGTGTAAGATAAAACAGGCTTCACTTTTCAAAGTTATTTGTAGCTTTAGACCTACTATCTCTATTTCTCACACTGTTAACACCCTCCTCTGTAACCGATATTTAGTAACTTGCATCTCAACTTCACCATGACATCATGCCAATAAAATCTATAGTGATCATAAAGTAATTTTGTTCTGAGTTGTTGTATTCTCCTTTTTTGAGCACGTGACAACACTTTGATATTCAAATTTTAGAACTTGTTTCAGACCTTTGATTTAGTTTGGTTATTAAATCAATAGTTCATATCTGAGTCTCATTTCTCTTCTAAATCCTGTCTCTCTAGTGAATCGTTAATACACACTCTGTTGGCCATTACTAATCTAGCCTTTTAAAATCGTTTCAAGCTGTGTCATCTGTTGACGTATGGGCTTTGCAAGTGCTCATACTCATGCTCATAGAGATCTGGCGTTAGACGCCGTTTTGAATGTGGGATGTCTCGTAAACGTCTTGATTCTTTTACACAGTTTATTTCCTCACTACATCATCTAATATAATCCATCTGCATTGTCAACAACACATCCTTCTTCTCCATCCTTTCTTGCAATCAATTCACCAATAACAAGAGCACCTTTCTCACCAGCATTTTCCAAACTTTGCAATACTTTATCAGCATTAGCCTTCTCAACAATCAAAACCATACCGATACCTAAATTAAAAGTCTTTAAGATATCATGCACTGGCACTTGACCTTGTTTACCAAACCATTTAAAGATTTCGGGAACTTGCCATCTACTTATATCAACTTTAGCTTGTAAATGTTTAGGTAATGCACGGGGGATATTTTCCACCAATCCACCACCAGTAATATGAGCTAAACCTAATAATAATCCCTCATTAATACTAGGCAACAACTGCTTGACGTAAATCTTGGTTGGTACAAGAACTTCTTCTCCAATGGTTTTAGATTGGTTCCATGGTGCTGGTGATTGGTAATCAAATTCGCTAATTTCAATGATTTTACGTACCAATGAGAACCCGTTGGAATGGATACCATTTGACTTCAATCCAATAAGTACATTACCGGTCTCCATATTGGTAATTTTAGGTAAAATCTTGTTCTTATCAACAGCTCCAACTGCAGTACCGTTAGTATCGTAATGGCCTTCATCGTACATTCCTGGCATTTCTGAAGTTTCACCTCCAACCAATGCACAGCCGGCTTCAATACAACCATTGGCAACACCATCCACAAATTGTGCAGCAATTTCAACATCTAATTTGCCAGTGGCAAAGTAATCCAAAAACATCAAAGGTTCTGCACCTTGAACCACCAAGTCATTAACATTCATGGCCACCAAGTCAATACCAACGGTATTGTGTATATTCATAATTTGGGCAATTCTCAATTTTGTACCGACACCATCAGTAGCAGCGACCAATAGGGTGTTGGCGGTGTTGTAGCCAGCAGCCTTCAAGTCAAATAAACCACCAAATCCACCAATGTCGGAATCAGCACCTGGTCTTGCTGTAGACTTGACCTTATTTTTGATATTTTGCACCAACAAGTTACCATTGTCAACAGAAACACCAGATTCAGCATAAGTAACACCACCACTCTGCTTGAACTTGTCAGCATCACGGAATGCTCTATGGGCAATGTCCTTTCTGTTGTACTTTTTGTGGAAGCTGACGTGGTCAACACCAACATAAGCTCTGTCAACAGACTCCCTCAAAGTATCTCCTAATGCAGAAGCTGCAATGACTCTTCCACCACTGGTTACGACTTTACTGTCGGTAGCACTGGTGCCCGCATGGAAAATAAATGTATCCTTTGGCAATGGTTCCTTGACGGTAATTTCATCGCCTTTACCGTATGCTTCTGGATATCCACCTGCTGCCATTACAACAGTGGTGGAAAACAATGGTTTAGTAGCAATCTTTACTGAATCCAATCTGTGTTCAGCTGCTGCAAGCATAACCTGAGCTAAATCAGTATCGTCGCTCAACAATGGCAACACCGTTTGGGTTTCTGGATCACCAAATCTGACATTGTATTCCAAAACTTTTGGTTGCTTAGATGGAGTCAACATGATACCAGTGAATAAGATACCACACATTGGGAAACCATCTTTTCTCATTCCATCAATTGTAGGCTTGATAATCTCGGCATCTATCTTGGACAACACTTCCTTTGTGGCAATTGGAGCTGGAGCATATGCTCCCATACCTCCGGTGTTTAAACCTTTATCGCCATCACCAATTCTCTTGTGATCTTGGGCAGCGGGCAAGTTGTAGAAAGTATACCCGTCAGTGATGGTTAAAATACTCAATTCATCACCTTCAAGATACTCTTCAATGACAATTTCATTACCAGCATCTCCAAAGTTCTTATCAACCATAATTTCATTCAATCCTCTCAAAGCTTCTTCTTTAGTTTCAGGAATCAAGACTCCTTTACCAGCAGCTATTCCATCGGCTTTCAAAACCAACTTGTAATCAATCTCTTCAATATACTTCTTTGCTTCCTCGACATTGGTGAAGTTCTTAAACCTGGCAGTAGGGATTTGATGTCTCTCCATAAAGTCTTTTGATGCTGCTTTTGAACCCTCCATTATGGCAGCTTTAGCACTAGGGCCAAATACAGGGATACCAACAGATGTGAAAACTTGAGTAATTCCATCAACCAATGGTTGCTCAGGTCCAGGAACAACCAAATTGATTTTCTTTTCAACAGCAAAATCTTGCAATTTTTGGAAATCTTTAGGTGATGAACTGATGGGGACATTGGTGACTTTTGAAGATTGGGTAGTAGTGCCACCATTACCTGGAGCTACATAAATGTGTTTGACACTGGATGATTCCAAAAGCCTCCAAACAATGGCGTGTTCTCTTCCTCCGTTACCAATTACAAGGATATTTAAAGACATAGTGCCAAGGGAGTATGAGTTAGGTTGGATGAGATCTGAATTGGGTGCTTCCTTTAAAGGTGTGTGTATCTGATTTGTTACCAATCTTTTTTTTCTTTTTTCTTTTACTTTGTGATGAGGCTGTTAACAATTACGAAAATTAATTTTCTTTTTTAATTTTTTTTTTGACTCTTTTTCAATTAAATGTAATTGGTAGCATTGAATAGAATAATACTAATTTTGCATCCAATTTCTATACTCGAAAGAGAGTGACTCAGGCTCAGGTAGAACTGAGTGAGTGGCTAATTCCACAAGACACTTTGGTTCCTTTTTATATTTACAGAGCTCAGCTCTGAAAGTCATTATTTTCTATCGTCAAATTTTCATTAATTGAGTTTTAGCATAGATAAGAAGCAAAAACATCAATCCATCAATAGCTTAAGATGATTTTCCAACTTCATTTCCGCAATACCCAAATCACTGAAATTGTAGCATACCAAATTCTGGTTCTTGCACCTTACACAAGATTAGTCATTAATAAGTTTCAATGTATATTATTACCGGGCCGCTCTGATTTTTGAAATCCGATAGCATTGCGGTGTCTTGAGCACTTGTTATTGTCTTTCTCTACATAAGCAAGGCTTAATCACCACTGAATTGGTTGTGAGGAGACCAAACAATGCAACAAAAGGGATCCACGAAGGGCCCACGTTGTTGTTTACAGTTTGGAATTAATGAACTCTTTGATAATGGGATGTGCAGTTTTTGTGTCATGATTCATGATGATAAAACAATAAGGTACACGGGAGAATTCGTGAACGTCAAGATATCTTCGAACAGTGGGGCAATTACTACACATGGTCGTGTGAANCGCTTTTCTTTTCCAACCTTTCAACTCCGCCCACCTTCAAGATCCAACACGATGCAATTCTTGACCCACTCAATTCTTTTGTTCCTTGCTGCTGCTGTTATTGCTAAAAACATCATCTTGAGTAACGATGATGGCTGGGCCGCAACCAACATTAGAGCCACTTACTACAAATTGAAAGAAGCTGGCCACAATGTGTTTTTGGTTGCACCTGTTTCGCAAAGATCAGGATACGGAGGTAAATTTGATGTTCCTTCTTCTTCAACTTTGCAAACTGATGGTGAATTCAAATACCCACCTGCAGGTTCTCCATCTTGGGGTCACGAAGAAGACGATGATCATATTTGGTATTTCAATGGTACTCCAGCTTCATCAATTGCTTTTGCGTTGCAATATGTCATCAAAGAGAAATTCAATGGCACCTCCATTGACTTGGTTGTTGCTGGACCAAATGAAGGTACCAACATGTCTCCAGGCATGTTTACTTTGTCAGGAACTATTGGTGCTACTTACAACTCCGTCTATAGAGGATACCCAGCTGTTGCTTTCAGTGGTTCCAACTCCAACAACTCATTCTTTAAGGATTCCTTGGACTTGAATGATACCAGCGAGCCATCTACCATTTACGCAAATAAAGTGACTCAGTTTGTTGAGCAATTATTTCAAGGACAAGGAGACAATAGCTCGAGAGTTTTGCCACTTGGTGTTGGTTTGAATGTCAACTTCCCCAAAGTTGGTCACGATGACGAGTCTTGTACTGATCCAAAGTGGGTTCACACTAGGTTATCTGGTGAATACGCCAGTGGATCTGATTTGAAATATAACGCCGAGAAAAACTCATTTGAATCAACCCTGGGAAGTTGGGAAGCTCTTACTGTTTGCCACAACGGTAACTGTTCATTGCCATCAGAAAACTCAATTGTTGACCACAGCAAATGTGCTTCAGCGGTTTCGGTGTTTAGTATTGATTATGATGCCAACTTGGATATTACAAACAGAGTTGAAGGAGTATTGGACCTGTTGTTTTAAAAAAGGTTTAGTTTAGTTTTTCATTTCGTATAGCGTTGCTCATACATTGTTTAATAAAAATTTCAACAACAAAAGTGAAGACAAGCTATTGCTTGTGCTAACACTAGATCGAGTTTCGACCTAAACTGGTCCAAAAGATTGGTATTAGAGGGCAATCCTTAGTGCGATAAACTTTCGGACCATGACTGCGAAGCAGAGATGGTGTCTTCAAAGATAGCCAAAATTCACTGAGTCCAGACTTGACATTAACTAGGCTAACAGAAGCAAGGATAATCGTCCAAATACATCTTTAATGTTTAGTTGTAAAGGGATGGGATGCATGTGCAAAAACAGAATTTACGAACTGCAAAATTGACAAATCAGAAAAAAAAGTTGTACAAATAATTTTAATATCCAATCGAATCGTGGATCTTTATAGTGAAAGGAATGAATAATTGTGTTTCTTTTTGCTCCGCAGAAGAAGTGCATAACCCAAGAAAACGCTAACGATGTTAAAAATAACAATTGAAAAAAATATGTGTCAAATCATATAAGAATAGAACGAGCACAAAACAAAGCATTAAAAGAACAACAGCATTTCAAGAAACAATGCAAAAGTAGAAATTAGCCAATCCGCTTCTTTTGAAGTGTTTTTTTCTTTAAAAAATAAAAAAAAACATAAGAAAAACTATCCCGCCGATGCGCTTTCTAAGTATATATTATTGATTTAGTTTATTAACCCTTTGCCTAGAAAATTACCAACATGATTATAACATGTCATCTCCTGAATAGACAAACCCTCTAAGAAAATCAAACAAACAAACAAACAAACAAAAATACTCACTGGATTAAAATACATGACATTCAAATTTGACTGGTGTGAAATAAAGTAGATGAGATGGGTTTTGGTTCCAAGAGCACTGGGTTCTAATCCTCCTTTCAATAAGTAAAACCCCATTGTTTCTATTTCTGTTTTGTTCATTATGCATAAGAAATTGTAACCAATTGTTTAAAAGCTTTAAATATAAATATAAATATAAATATTTATTGCTTATTGTTATTTGTTTATTTCGTTAAAAAAGAGACAAAAGTGGATTCTTATTGGCTGAAAAGTTTAAAAATTAAAATAAAATCAGGCGTCTAATTTCTTTTACTTTTAAAGTAGAGAACAATATTGGGATTTTCAACTTTGTGTTAAAATTGATGTTAAAACTAATTTATCTTTTCCATCAAACAAGAAGAAGAACCAACACAACAATACAATGTAGCCTTTTCCCTAAAAGTTTTATTGTTTAAACCACATTTCAAATTAAATATAATTTATACAGTTTTCCTGATAAAAAATTTTTTTTTTTGGGTTTGGTTCTTCCTTTTCACTATTCCCTTTAATTTCAACAGACCTTTACCCCCCCCATTTGCTACAAACAATCATGGTTTCGTTCAAATACTTAATCACCTTAGCTTTGGCTACAACTGCAGTCCAATCATTCTCCCTTTTGCATGATGCTGAAGGTTTCGCCATCTTGCCACCAACTGATGTTGTTTTAAACCACTTGAAAGAAGCTGGTAAGAAGGATGCATCAAACCATTACGATGTCGTCAATACTGTTCACAAGAATGGTGAGATTGTTCAAGTCAACATGCACACTCATGAAATTAAACAAACCGGTAAATACAAGTACGACTATGACAACTCATGTTACCGTGATGAATCCAAGAGAGATTTATTTACTAGAGAAATTCAAGATGCCAGTTTACAAGCATGTTTCAACAAAGAAGATGAATTGGAAACTTCTCAATGTGGATTTGATTTCGTTGCTTATGATGATGCTTCAAACTGTGATTCTTCATCCACCAAGTACTCTTGTGTTTTGGATGTTCAAAAACAACAAGATGCTACGCTTAAATTGAAGGATATGGATAATATTCCAGCCCAAGTCAGATGCTACCACAAACTTTCAACTGCTCAAAGTGATAAAGTCACTGGTGGTGCTTGTGCTAAATAAGTAAAGTAAAGTTGATCTTTAGTTATTTGCTTTTAAAAAGTAAAAAAAAAACTTTAATATTCGTATTCCTTTTAGGTTAGTTTAGGTTTCTTTTTTGTTTAATATATAATCTCGTGGCGGTTTAAAGAGAGGAACTGTAGTGATTACTTACTTACTTACTTACTCTATTGGAAATATTGCTGTAGCTAGCGTTGATAGAGAGATGTCGATGGTAGCACTTTTGACAAGGCAAGCTTCCTTTCGGTGTACAGTGGTTGCACCTTTAATGCTTTCTCGTAAATTTAACCCACTACATTGGCAAGGACTCTCCTCCACCCCCGGTAGTACACAAAGTGCATTTCTATTTACACAACACATCTAAACCAAACTAAACAACCTTCATCATATAGCAACTTCTCCACCATCCACAACTCCTTCAAACTTATACTCTCCATCACTTGGCACCTTGACTTGATTTCCATCAGCACTGATGGGGGAATACAAATAATAACCCAACAAACTATTAATACTGGCTCTTATTTGTGCTTCTTTCAAACTCGATCCAATACCTTCACCCAATTTATCACTGCCTACAAATACACCGGCCAAGAATTGAGGATGGGCCGATTTTCTACCAGTTTCAGCAATTAGTCTAATCTTGACCGGTTCTTTAAACTCCAATTTATCGCATAACCTAATCAATTCGGCAATTGGTTTATCAAATTCAAACATTTGCTCCAAGGGTAATTTTCTTGACAAGATGTGATCATTGATAAATTGTTTAGCTGCTGCTTCACCGCAATGCGTGTATATTCCACCAATGATTGACCTTACTGCTGAAGCATAGGCAATATCTTCTTGTTTCAATAAACTGTTTTTACCAGTATCGCCCAAAACTTCTTCAATTCCATCAACCTTGACTTTATTTTCCAATTCTTCATTAGTCATAAATCTCAATCTTCCATACTTTATAAATTCCGATTCTTGACCCAAGAAACGATCCAACTTGGAAACAGAATCAACTTCAATACCAAATGACGCTCTTCCAATACTTGACAATGTTTCTACTCCCATTAATGAATCAACAGCAGCGTTATGTATAGCCATGGGTAATCGAGGATAATGTAACAAGAGATATTCAGTGACATAATAACTCAACAAGGTTTTTCCAATGGTGTTCAAGCCAAAATTGTTTGCTAGTCCTTCTCCCTGTTGACTTGAAGTTTTCACCATATTGAGACATTGGGATAGGGTACTCAATTTGAATTGAGGACTTAAATTGAGTCTGCTGTGTAAGGATACCAATAATGGAGATTGTTCAGCTGTCGACTCAGGCAACCTATGGACGAATATATTTGATCTGGAAAAGTCAGTAGCCAGAGTAGACTCACTAGTCTCTGAAGGGGATTTCGATGCGGCTGTAGCTTGCCTTATCCTTCTTGTATGATGTAACCCACGTATAGTAGTGACCTTTGATTGATTTAGTAGATATATTGACCTAACATTGGCCGGACGTGATAAAAGCTTAAACATGATATAGATCTATGTGCTCTAGTGAGGATGCTGCTGTTACCAAATTATAGCAATAAGATCTTATCTCAACCCTGTGTGTTTAAAGATGTTGCTGTAATAAAACCCTTCTCCTTCTAACCTGAAAAAAAATTTACCCATTCACTGAGAAAGAATGAAAAAAAAAAACAAAAAAAAAACAAAAAAACCTCAACTGGTAGCACTGTCAACTCTTTTTCTTCAACCAACCAACCAACCACAAGCAAAGCGAAAAAAAAAAGTAAGCGATTTCAATAAACCAACCTACAATAGTTACATACAACAGAATCATTTACCAATAGTAAACATGGCACACGCACCATCATTAAGCGTACCAGCAATACTCACAATGTCTTCCGTAGCTGTGCTTTACGGATTAATCAAATCACCATTGAAATACAAATGGGCCAGTGAAAGCAGAATTAGTCCAAAGGCAGATTTGGCATTCAGGAATAGTGCCGACAAATGGTTAGAAGATCACAAGGGTGAACGTTATTAGAGAGTTGTGTCCGTGCTGCTGCTGTTGTCGGATGGAGAAGCTATTGAAGAGCAAATATGAGGTTGCTTGGTCAATTATTGAACTACTAGATGCTTTTATATCACTGGGATGGGGGATGCTTTACCTATAGATGAAACTGTCTGGTTAGAGCTATGTCTTTTTGTATACTTATTTATTGAATGGATTTAACATTCAGGTCAATTTAGAGAAAAAAAAACGTATATCAATTTAACGTAGATGAATGAGTTTCTTATTCTGTCTATAACTCTACTATAATCTACCTAATGCACGATTACCTCTTCCCCATCTCTGCCAACTCAACATCAACATCAACATCAATATCATTTGGTCCTTCTTCTTGCTCCAGCTCATGAAGCTTCAATTTAACCCAATCACTTTCCAATTTAATAAAACACCACATCCACCGTCTAAAAATCTCCAATGTTTCAATAACAACATATCCAAAAGAATAAGCATCGTAACCAAATAAAAATGTTGAAAATACATGAATTAATTTAATGTCTGACTGGCTTAATTGGTCATTGATGATGAATATCTTGAGCACCCATATGAATCGTAAAAAGAAATCAATGACAATTGCTGCAAAATAGATATAGTCAGGATAAGCTTTATGAATACGGAGAATGGAAAATTGTGCTTTGGGATTGAAAAATTTGTTGAATAATTGTAAATGCCAATCCATTTTGATATCCCAAATAAATGAGTAAGTTGAATTTAGGGCCAGGAAAACATACCACCATCGATTAAGTGATGCTAAAGCAGTGAATAGATCTCCTGATTGCCTTTCTTGCTCTGTGGCATTTACTAATGTACTCTTGATGAAAACATTGACAATGAGAGGTCCAATACCTGTACTATACTTGACAAGATTTAGCAAATGTTGTAATTGTCTAGTCGTGCGATATTCAAACCAGCACTGTCTTATTCGAATTAAGGTAGGAATGCAAAGTATAATAAACTCAAGTTTGTAATTGTATGCGGTAGATTCATCAATATAAAACCCCCAAATGAACAACCCGAAATCATTAATGACTTTAGCAAAAGACACCATTGAATCACTAATCAAAATATCATTACTTCGCATAGTTTGAAAATTTATCTTTCCTTGAATAATCCTTTGCATGGTTGTCCAAATTCGTACTTGACCAGGACTGGAAACATTTTCATAGAAAATCCGATTAAAAATATATGCAAACTGTATGATGGGTATACTGTAGTAAATCACTTTCCAGTTACCATTAAAGTATTGCACAGCTTTAAATATAGCCCAACTGATGACATTAATTAAACTAACTCCCTTCAAACTTGACCATATCCCATTTATAAATCGACTATTTTCATTTCGGTCAGCAGGCATGGTAGTAGCATACTCACCACTTGCAGGCAAAGGCCCATCCAACTGGGCATACTTGTGAGGGTTGTATGATAAATTTAGCAATTGGAGAATGTTTAATGATGAAAAATTGAATAAAATGACATTAAGTAAGAACCAAAATGTGAGGCCTAATTGAATAAGCCCCGATATGCGAAACGGAAGCGGTATGAGGTCGTTGAATAATATGGCCTTTGTCTCACTCAGTGGTTCATCCATGTTTGCATTTAGTAGTAACTGTGTAAATCAACAGCAAGTAAGGAATACTTGGAAACTTTTCACAAATTCTGTTTACAGTCTTTTTATTTTTTATTCATAGTAGTGCGACATAATTATTCATACCACAAAGACACAAATGTTCAAACCAACACGACATAATTTTTCAAACTAGCGCGACATAAATTGTTCAAACTTTGATGAGAAAAGAAGCCGCGAGCGACAACCTACAAGTTAGGGAGTGTAGTGGTGAACTGGATTACAATAAATAAAATGGTGGCTTGCCGTTATCAAGTCGAGTCAGAGTGTGTGTATTAGTTGTAGTTATGCAGTTTGTTTGTTATATAGTGTTCGTTTGATAATTGCACCATGTATAGTGCTAATTCCAGTAATCTTCCCTTGTTCTTCCAACAACATCCGATTGTTAAATTATTTCCCTCCTCTTATTTAGTGGATAATTCCTCAACAGAATTATTGTCCTGACGTACACTACTCTAGATTCCCATCACGTTGCGTGTTAACGTGTCTGCACAAGAAGTCGGACAGAAAAAAAATAATTTGCAACCAATCTTCTTTTGCACTTACCTATCTAGTTTTACCGTAGCACCTTTTAAAGCTATACAATTGAGACCCATGGAGGGCCCTTCATTAGGTTGTGACCAAATAACTTTTCTCACTTTTTAGTGCTTATTTATTGCATCTTCAGCGTATGTCATTCTTCGTTTTATTGCAACATGGCCTAAAAAAGAAGACACTATTTTCGTCCAAATTTAGTTCTTTCATTCAAGGGTTTTGGTCATGAGTGCTAATATAGTAGAGAGGGAGTCTAGAATAGCTATTTTTGTACAAAGCAATACATATTTTATGTTTTGGTTAATCAGTTTTGTTTTTTCAATTTGTTGATTGGGGTTGTCATAGACTAATTCAATTATATTGTCGGGTAAATGAACAAGCGATATCATAGTACGGTATGGGAAAAGGAAATGTGATGAGCCAAAACTTGACAAGGCTAATGTTATCTCGGAGTAGTTGTTTTCTCATGATGGTTGTGCTTTCCTAACTCCCATTGGCATGAGATTGCGTCTCGGCTGCGAAATTTGACAAAAAGAAAAAACTGAAAACTGAAAACTGCTGATAGACTTTTGTACAGTGTTCTTTTTTTTCTCTTTTTGTCAAATTTTATTCTTTATTTTTAGAGAGATCGCGTTTCATTTAATAGTAGAGAGAGACAGACACAGACACAGAGATATATATGCCAATTTACTACTCGTGTGCCTGTATATGGTCGTAGAGTAGTTAGAGATATTCAAATAACGTACAAGTAAGATGAGAAGAAAGGTCCATCAAGTAAAGGGAATTCCATTCAATTCAATGTGTATATTTGGCTTCAGACGTGCCTTTCGTAATGAAAGTACACGATTTAATATAAAAGTTGATAATCAGAAACATTCATGATTAGCATGGAAAAACATCATTAGCCAGTCCCCACATTGAATTGGTTAAAGAACATCATCCTCTCTATTCTGTAACCCATATCTTGCTCTACATCAGTTATAAAAAAAAAAGAAAAGGAATGATATATATGTGTGTATATATTGAATATGTCTAGTCCTAATCCTAATGATATACTTAGTTAGTAAACAATTTCCTTCAGCTTTCATCTTCAATTACATCTTCCCTTTCATTTGCTTTTTGTTTTTCTAAACCATCTTATGTATAAATTTATGTATCAGAATTTTCAGTGTTTGGCTAATGAATCGAATCGGTCAGCGTCCTGAAATAGGATCCTCCGTTTGGGGCGACATCTTTGTCATCATATTAATTATAACATAAGGTTGATATAAAAGAAAAAAAATGACAAGGAATTCAGTTGTGAATCTGTTTTTGAATTGAAAAATAAAAAAGACATACTATAGAAGCTAGGTTTGAAACCAGTTCATTATAGTGAATCCTAATTCATGTGAATTGGAGTTGAAAGAAAAGAAAAGAAAAGAAAAGAAAAGAGTTGAAGAAAGCGGTTGAATATTTTATTGAAGTTTTTTTCTTTCTTAGTTTCTTTCATTTCTTACTCATCGCTCAAACAATTTTCCCCAGCATATATTACCCGGCTTAAAATTCATTCATACCTCTTCAAGTATGTTGACCACTTCTATTTGCATTTATTAGCTATACAAACAAGACCTTTTGCTTTGAAGAGGATACGTCAAGTTAAGTAATTACCTCGTTCATCTAATTATTGCAAACATTATACGAATAAATAATACAGATATTAACAACACATTCATTCTTACTACTTCTTTCCTCGAAGTTTACTCTTGAGTTTCTCCTTGCGGGTATTCTCCCTTCTTTCTGCTTTACTCAAATATCTAAACTTTTTCTTCTTTGTCTTTTGTTTTTCCACTTTCGAAGAAGGTTTAGCAACGCCACACAAAACAGCGTAATTCTTGGCTCGTTCAACTGCTTCTTCCAATACTTCTTCTGATTTATTCAAGTCGACATTATTCGTCTTGGCGATTTCTTCAAGATCAACTCCACCATTTGCGTGTCCAAGTGGTTTATCTATTGATTCTATCGTAACTGTAGTCTCATCTCCAAATTCATTGAGGTCTGAGTCTGGCTCATATACTTCCTTGTGATGTAATATTCCCTTGAGTGACACTGGTTTATCTTGCTTAATGTTTCCATCTATGTCATCTCCATCAAACCCGGTCCATTCCTCTTCGCCCTCCTCCCCTTCGTCTTCTTCACCAGCTAATCCACCATTTATCATTGCAAGTTCTTTAGCCTTTTCATTAAACTCTCGCACTTGGTTCTCCAAGTCGCGTTTGCGCTCATCACGTAGTTGCTTCCTCTCTTGTATCCTGGCTAATCTATCTTGTTCTTTGATATACTCTTGTGCCTTCTTTTTCCTCTGCAATTTACGTTTATGAAATCCCGTCAAGTATTCCTCACGACTCTCTTTATCGAATGTTACTTCATTAACTGCATGTTTTTTGGCTTGCTTCTCAGCATAGTTCTTACCGGCGGTAAGTATCTGTCTGTTATGTCTCACCATTGCTGTAGTTTCAATCTGCCTTCAAAAGATGTGTGTCTATTATAGAAATGATGTTTGAAAACCAAATGATGTTTTAGTGATGAGATCACAAAAAACGAGAAGAAGAAGAGAAAAAAAAATACACCACCTAAACCATCTAATCCTACAACACTCTACCCAGCAGATTTCGTCAAAAACATAATGGATAACTTGAACAATATTAAAATCTACCTTAAAGCGCTCGATCAATCATTATCTCAGTATGAATCAACACTTGAACCCCTCCTATCACGGACTCTCGACGAGCATCTAGCCCAACAACCAACGCCTCAAGACAAGATAAAGTTCCTCAACAACTTCCAATACGTGCTAATATCAACGATATATTCATACTTGAAAACCATCGGCATTGACACCGATAATCACCCCATCAAGAAGGAATTGGCCCGAGTCAAGAGTTACATGATGAGAGCTAAAACCATGGACCAAAGCAAAGATCACGAGCAAGACAATATAGCGAATAAAGAGAAGACAAAGGAGTTTTTAACCCAAACTTTGGGAGTTAAAAATGGAGTTGCAAATACAGTGAAAAATGTGGGACCGGCTATAAGTACGCAGAATTTTCAAGGCACACATACAAAATTTGCCGACGATGATGATGATGATAATGAAAGCAGTGATGATGAAACTAAACTGAAGCCACTGAGTAAAGAAGAAGAAGAGGAAGCTAAACGAAAGACTACTCTTGAGAATGTAAAGAGAGATAAACAAAAAAAAATGAGCAAGGACTCAACCAAACAAAAGAGCAAATCTAAACTGCTGAAGAATAAAGTGACTAAAGTGAAGCATGGGTATTTACCTCCAAGGTCTGATAAACCAAAGAAAACAACGCGTAAGTAGTCTTTGTAGACTATCCTACCACTACAAGGTGTATACACAATTAACGAATGTAAGAATCAAAACTCTTTATTATCTATGCAAAATACTCACTAAATACATGTTCATCTCTCAAATTCTCCTGAACACAATAATAAATCTCCATCAACAAATGAGGGAACTTATCATTGAAATATTGATAAAATCCATTAGGCAACGGCGCCATCTTGGCTTGTAGACTAGGCGGCATGTCATTATAATGATGATACTTGTTACGTATAGCTCGTAATAAATCCATCAATTTCGCCGCTTGATATTTGCGATACTTGCCCAAATTATCCAAGAATTCGTCATCATCAAGTTGTAAATGCCAATCGAGATTGTGCACTGTTTTGGCATGTTTTTCCAACTCAAGTAACAAGTCACTAGGTGGATCACGTTTTTCAATTTCGAAACGATCGCTGACTTTAAGTAGAAACTCAAGACGTTTGATATTTGACCAGAAAAGTGGATGATTGAGAATTTTGGTGGTGTTGGGACGCATGGCTGGGTTGGCGTGAATTAAACTTGCAATCAAATCAATTGATTCATACTTATCATGAGGACATTTCGTGAGCAATATAGACAAATCGTACTCACCTTTGATGATGTTTCCTTCGCGCATATACCGATCTCCAAATGGATGTAATCCATTAGTCAAGATGTAAAAAAACACACACCCTAGTGAAAATATGTCAATGGCCTTAGTTAATCGTTTACCGCTGGCGGATATTGTTGTTGTTGATGATGTGGCCGACGATATAGCACCATTGGAATGGACAGATGAGATGGAGTCAGGCGAAATCTCCAACAAGTCATGGTTGAGAAGCAATTCTGGAGCTCTCCATCCAGACGTTCCCGATGCCGCATGTTGAGTGGTTGCTCTGAATGATGATTGATCATGCTCTAGCTTCTTACACAATCCAAAGTCGGAGATCAATAACCGAACATTATTTTCATATTGTATCTTGTCCAGCTTGATTTCGTCTTTGCTTGAATGGCTGGTCTTTTTAACATTGGCAACCAATATATTTTGTGGTTTTATATCACGATGGACAATTTTTAATGAATGTAAATAATGTAGCCCACTGGCCAATTGATACAATATATCATTTCGTCTCGGTATCGACAAGTCAGCAACCTTTTGTGGCTTTTCGATAATATCTTCCAAAGTACATAAACAAAGCTCTAATGCAATGTACAAAAACTTCTCCGACTCCGATGATTGAGAACAAAAGTATCTAATCACATTAGGATGGTCGTCCGACTCTTGCAACAACCGCACTTCGTGATTTGCAATGTCAAAGAAATCAAGCAACATACGTTTAACGGCAACAGGCCTATTTTCAAAAGTACCTTCAAATACAACCGTACCATGAGAACCATAACCAAGAATTTTGTCTGAAATCACCAAATTATTTTCAATTTGAAGCTTCTTCTTTTGCTTTGGTGGCAATGGTAGAGTTTGTATAAGACTCTTTGTCGCAATCACTTCTTCTTCTCCTTCTTCTTCTGCTTCGTCTTTTTCTTCTTCGCTATTTTTGTCTTCGTTGCTAGATTCCTTTTCTTCGACGGGTTTGTTTTTGTTGATGTGTCTTCCACCTCGTTTAGCTCCTCCTCTGCTGCCCCTTTTCCTCTTTTTCTTTGTCACTTGTTCGGTCTCAGTATGTTCTTTCTCATCTTCGAGTGCTGATGCCGCTTTGATATGCGGTTCATTATTAGACTGTTCTTCCTCTTGCTTTAGCTCAGAGTTGACACCAGTGTCAAATTCTTGAACTGAAGCGGCTTCCGGTTCTATAATAGTAACCTTTTTCTTTTGCAAGTTTTCAGTAGGCTTTTCAGACGATTGAAGGTTCTCTACTTCAATAACTTCCATGATCTTTTCTTTATTACCATCTGGTGTTTCATCTACTGCTGGCTTTGTTTCTTCCGGGTTGTTCACTCCATGAAACTCTTCATTTAGCAGTTGATCAAGAACAACGACGTTCTCAGCCTTCTCCTCTGCATCAACTTCTAAGTCACTATTGACTCTAAAGTCCCCAAATAGCCTTTTAACATACTTGTTTGATCTTCCAAAAGCCACTACCAAAATAAGAATAACCATCATGACGCCAATATCTTCAGCTATACGTTTCATGATTGCACCTGACCCAGAGATACTTGAAATCGGTTGATAGTTTTCCACGGTATCCTTCACAGGCTCAAGCATAATTACATCTGATCCGATAGTCGACACCTTGGCAGGAAATTTGATACCATCAATGATGTTTGGAATCAGCTGTGCTGGGGTTTTATTCTCTTCACTACCATCTCCAATTCTTTTGACATCTTTTGGAGACGAAAACTTTGATACCGGTTGGTAACATGAGTCGCGTGTCAATTCCACGACTCGATGAATACCAGTAATCAACAGCTCGACCTGCTCTGGAGTGCCCGTTGAAAGTTGGTAGTTTTCAATATACCCTGCTGCCTCGTTAACGCCTGCGTAATATTGATTCAAGATAGCTTGGTATTTGGAAATAGGCGCACTTTTAATCAATGTGGGATAGTTGTGAAAGCTCATGGCAACCCACTGATTCGAATCTGCTGTTTTGTTGATAAAAACTAAATCGTCATTCTTGGCGTCACTCGTTTGTAATTGATTCAAGACTTCTAATGGATGTGGCAATAGAACGTAATCCCGCTGCTTATCATTATGGAAAACATCAAATATATTTACAGCCAATGCTGGCAACCGACTAATCCAAACCGGAGTACCAATGTCTTTATTTATAGCGAGCAATGATCTGTCATGAAAAGGCGTAAAATACAACTTGTCCAAAGAGTGTTTGTTTTGCATAATCAAGTCATTATCAATATTGTTCGGTACCCACTGATTATAAGTCACATTCCAAACAATATTACTATTTGTTTTGGAATGGATGGACAATTCATACGTTGTTTTACCAATCATTATGGTATCGTCTTGTCCACCAGGTCTGGGAGGCAAAGTAGTTTGCAGTACCGGGCACTCATCTTGGTTACCAAATGATGACTTCACCTCTCCTGTATGGATGTTTAAACTGTACAATGATGTTTTCCTTGTACCAGTGTAAATCTTATCATCGCCGCTGAGCGAAAACGGCGACTCCATAACTAAATGCTTTATACTTGTTGGTAGTTTGTTTAAACCAAACATGGGGGTAAAATAGTACAAGGTACCCTCCTCATAGGGCTCCACAAACCACAAGATATTCGATTGCTGACTCTTCAGGTTTTCAAAAGTATTATTTGCTTGAACTTTAACTAAAGGCTCATCTATAGGCAATGTCCAGACCATAGTTCCAGTACTTCTTTCAATTCCATGCAAGTTCCCATTAATGTCACTAATGAGTAGAATGTCTTGTAGTTCGCAATCATCAATCGATCGAAATTCTAATGGTAAAAGCGACCTACTCTGTGCCTGATGGTGTAAAGGCTGCTGCTGTTGTTGTTGTTGTTGTTGCTGCTGCAGTAGTTGATTAGCTGGTTCATGTTGATTTGCCGTTATATGTGGTTGTTGGTTATATTGTACATCGCTCGGATGTATGACCTTATTCTTCTGTCTAAAGGCTGGGTCAGTTGATTTCCCTAGTCGTTCTGTAGCCCACGATAGTCTTATGAATATGAAACATATTAGGGTTGTTATTATGGCAAGTATCTGCATTCTATAACACTATTAATTACACTCTATTTGCATGTAGTGGGAAATTTTTATTCAAAAGGGGACCAAATTTATGGGGTGCTAGTTTTGGAAAGGGGGGAGGGAGAGTTTGGTTTTGTAATGAATAAGTTTTTGTCTCATGAAATTTTTCTTTTTTTTTCTTTTTAATTTTTTCTCATTCGCTTTGGTTTGGTCCTTATGCAAAAGCTAAATAATATACACACATGCAAAGGGTAACAATTTACCAGATGTAGAGTTATGATGTATACTTAGGTGGAATAATGAATTTAACAATAGTAGTGTTGGAGTCTGTATGAGGTAAATGGGATTGCTATGGCTGGATATTTGTGCAATAGAAGGCGTGTTATAGATGGACAAAGGTGCCACTTTTATAATAGCAGAGCACACGAGAGAGCAATTCTATATATACTCCTACAATGTCGAATACGCTCCTTTAGAACCTAAAATTTTTCTTATAAACTTTATACATACATTATTATCATTACCATCATTACAAAGATCAAATGGCTTTACCATCAAAGACAAAGACAAAGACACATTCTATAATCTAAATTTCATTGCCATTTTCACCAACTTCAAGTTTCATTTCATTAAGGATATCGGTTGTTTTCACTTGTCTCTGGTCTGCAATCAATGTTACTAATTGTAATGCAACATCTTTCAACTCGTTATATTTCTTCAATTGTTGAATATGTTTCTTGATGATAACTTCTGGTTGTTCGTTCCCTTCCAACTCATGAATCAAACATGAACACTGCTGTTTGATTTCATCGAGATTCTTTTCCTTTGTCGAGATGCGTTCTTGGTCTTCTGGCGTAAGCGTGGATGTGGAGGAAGTGGCTGAATGGGACTTGAAGGATTCCCGTGGTGCTATAAATGTAGTTGGCGAAGTGGGAGACGTGCTAAGTGATTCCACAAATGGTTCTGTAGCAAGCTTTACATCAGTTATAATTGGGGGTATAGTTGAGGTTGTTGGTGCACCCATCCCCTGCGTCTCACTAGTTGAAATTTCTGTGGATTTGCCTTCACGAGTTTGGGTTTCATTAGCCATCTTGTGATTGCGTAAACCTGAACTTACAGACGAATCAACCGTAGTATTAGCTATGGAGGTAGTTCCTGCAGAGGAAGGAGGTGGAGATGTAGGAAGATGTGATCGTGAACGCGATTGTGATTGGGGGTGATGACTGGTAGTACTGGTATCAGCTTCGTTATTATCTATGTTGAGGTTCGTGGTTGACTCAAGTAGCGAGTTATCGTGATCTGCAGTGTCGGACATATGCGATATAGAAGTATGTGTGATGGTATTTATTAGTGTGGTTGGCTCAAAACAAAGGAGAGTTGTGTGTGTTGCAAATGTATTTAAAAGATGTGTTGAAAGATGCAATGATGATGTGTGTGTGTGTGTTGCAAAAAAAAGATATAAGAAAACTTTGTAAAGTTGGACAGTCAAGCTTATATTGAAACAGCTGAATAAGCTAAAAAAGGTGTGTTTGGTATACAGGTGTGGTAAGACTAGATCTGGATAGGTATTAAGATGTTTATCTAAAGTCTGAAGAAGGAAGAAATGCAAAAATTGTATTAAAAATTTTTTGAAGGAATATTTGTGGATGCTTTACTCTCTCTATTTTGTTTTATTTTTTTTTTTTTGTTTAATTTACACACACATGCACTACACATACACAATACATACACAATACATACAATACACAACGGGTAAACATACAACAAGAGAGCGAGAGAGAGAGCGAGAGAGAGAAAGAGAGAGTAAGAGAGAAAAAAAAATAATGTCATCCTTTTTACATACAGTACATCATGCAGCTAATACAATTTTTAGTACTTAACCCTCCTCCCAAGGCAAGTATCCGAGATGGACACCAAAGTAAATAACACCCTTGACTCAAGTGTGACCACTAGCTAGAACTTTTCTCAATCGTATGTATCCATCTATGTTTAAAAAGAGCTTAATCAGAACTAATGAAATGTTGTCTTCACGTGACTTGCTTTTAATCTTGATCTTTTGTGTATTTTGATCTCTGGGAAGTCCTCGGATTTGAGCTGTCCCGAAAAATAACAATAACAACTGTAAAACAATAAATATATACATATACATATACATATACCTAATCTTGCACTGCCTCGATATACTCCGACTTAGCATAACTTTGAAACCATGTAAAGAGCTTCATTATTAAAAGTAAGTTGAGCATCCTTGAGTCTGGTGGTTACTCCAACTACTTCTCATTTGTAACTTTGACTCCACTCTACTCTGTTTTGTGTCGTAAATGTTTTTCAAACAAAAGTAAATGATGATGACTGTGATTTGTAATTACTTTTTTTTATTTAAACACGACATAAATATAGTATGTACAAATAGGTGACACAAAACAATTCATTTTTCATTTTAATTGATCATTACGTCATATAGCATCTTTCAACGGTGAAGAGTTTAACCAGCCATATTTTTTTTCTTTTTTCTTTTGGAGGACTACGGAATGAAAATTTAACACATGTCCATTATACGATAGCGACCATTTTATTTTACACGAGGGGATAAAAACGCCGCATTCTACGTCCTGTAAGGTAGAAAATCTATATATAGTCAACTTAACTTTTGCCTTTGCTGAGTCGTACGATATATATATATATATCACTTCATATACGCCTGTGCAAAGCACCGCCAGTCTCGTACGATAACTGCATCTTCTTCCACAGGCTTCACTTCGCACTCGGCAAATAAAACTAAACAAACTTAAAAAGGGGGTATCAAAATTGTATTTCATAAAATCTATTAAAAAAACCGTAAAACCGACTCGCTCTCACTTACATAAGCATTTCCGGCTAAGCCGCCGAGCCATCATCTCTATTACTTGATAACCATCGATGGAGTAGGGGCAGCGGGTAATTCATCAAACTGGCCCTGTCCTTGTATTTGTCCACCCTGTCCTACTTCGTCCTGAATATTTCTTAATCCGCGCAGACTGACTCTAAACCCATCATTCTGATTGACAGTAGGATTTCTTTGTCCCCCTTGAATTGTATGTGGAGTCAGTCTATTACCAACGACAAAGTGTGGTTGCAACTGTTCTTGTCGGTGTTGCTGGGGGTCATAATTGGCATTTAGTTTCATTTTGACGCCTCTCGTTGCAAGCCCACTCTCTCTCGGTTCTTTCAGGTATACATAATTGGAATACTGTTGTTGTTGTTGTTGCTGTTGCTGTTGATGTTGATGTTGCTGTTGCTGTTGATGTTGATGTTGCTGTTGCTGCTGCTGCTGCTGCTGCTGCTTATACTGTTGTTGACGCTGGTCATCATGGGAGTTTTGCATTTGCAATTGTCTAAACCCCATAGACGGTGCATTCAAATCGTAGTCACTTCCAGATTTTGATCTTCTCTTTGTCCTAGCAAAATGCCCATCAACGTGTCCATTGTGATCATTACTCAATGAACCATCCCAATTGGAAGCTGCAGCAGGAGAGCTGACATTTCTATATTTTTGCTGTGTAATTTCAATGCCAGGAGACTGAGGTCGTTGTGAGTTTAATGCAAAAAATTTGTTTAAGTAACCCAGTGATGATGATTGTCTTTCGTGTTTCAAATTCTTCAAATCTGAATGAGAATTATCTCGTGAGTTTAGCGAAGTAAATGACCTTACGTTGCGCAACTTTCGGAGTTTCTTTGTTGCTGGGGTATCCATTTTTGACTTCAAGTTGTTATTATTACTATTATTGGCTGCTTCTGTAGTTGTCGACGTGGCAACCATAAGAACCGACTGACATATACGCAAGAGCCTCCACACTTGCTCCATAATTGCATCTCCATCGATGGACACATCTTCGGGTATTGGTTGGACATACTTGATGCCAAAAGTATGCACCTGGTAATTGACATCACCCAAATTTGGCACCACTCTTGCTAAAATATGCAGAAACATCATCTCACCCTGTCTCATCCGATGGCTATAGTTCTTAAATAGCACATGGTTCACCAAGGCAACATTATTCTGCAGCTGCTCACTAGAATAGAATAACCAACACTTGATTAAATTGGCCAATAAGTGCACTAATCCCCAATCATTGAAAAACGTCGATGCAATGAAATTGAGTGAGATATAATAGAGCCAATAATTGAGCAAAAACTGGTATGAGCTAGGTTGAAACTCTATTTGTTGATCGAGTGCTTTGATGGTGTATAGCGCTGGTATCAATGCATTTAGCGTGTTGAAGACAAGGTCTAGAATATTAAACATTCTCCCCCTCTTGACTAACTTGTAATGAACGCCACGCTTTGAATTAAAAATATAGCACTAGTTATGGTGTGCTATGATACTGCGATAGTCAACAGAACGTGTATGGTAAAGTCTCTAAATATTATTTTGTTATGAGAAGAAGAAGAAGAAGAACGTATAGATATATACATATATATATATATATATATTTCTTTGTATTGTTCTCGGAGTTAGTTAAAAATAAACTAGATTTTTTATTCCTTTGCTTTTTTACTGTCTCTCTTTGGAATTACATTAATACATAACAAAATAAACAAAACCACACGGAGAAAAATACGAAAAAATCCCTTCGGTTAATGAAGGAGCCTGCGAATTTTACTTATTCAACAAATTAAAAATAGAAATAGACGAAACTGAGACATCGGAACAAAGGCATTAAGTAACACTTGCGAATCTAGACTTAAAATCCAACAATGAAACAATTGAACAATCTAAACGATTCTTCAATTTTTTAATTTTTTGTTTTGGGCTGTTACTTTTTTCTTGCAATAAGAATTCCTAAATAGGAAGTGCCCATTACACAAAAATAGATCGCTAAAAATGATAGATGCAAAAAATAAAAAGAATGAAAACTGCTTCTACCAAGCCAGCAAATACACTAATTGTGGTTTTCCCGTCTCTTTATAGTTATGCTTTACTGCTGAAAGGTTCCAGAAATAACAAGGATAAAATGTAAAATATCCGCTTATGCTACAGATAACATACAATGTGGTCCCTCAAGTACTCTTTCTTAAATACACGCCAAAAACCACACCACTACAACCCAGCCCATTCATGCTCTAAATTATTCCTCTAATACACTACATTATATACACCTGAATACTTATCATCAATTATGACTACAATTCATCGCATCCATCATGTCCAACTTATTCTCACTTCGGGCAATGATCCATTGCCAAACCTCGCGCTCAGCATCACAATACACCTTCGACCTCAAGGCTTTATCTTTACCACCATTGGATAACAAAGACAAAAACTTATTGGTGAAGATGAAAACCACAACAAAGGTCAAAAGCATGATCAAAAAGCCAAAAATTGTACTGTCCATAATTGAAATTGGAACCAGGTCTCCAATCGACTTGGCCAACGCTGTGACATTCTCAACAACACTCTTTGATTGTTCAACAGGCTTCTCTTCTGGTTTGTCCTTCTTTTCCATACTACGTTTACTTCTTGTTGATTTCCGCTTGGTGGATCCACCAGAATCCTTCTTATTGTTACCCTCTACTAATATCGTATTCAAGGTTTCAATCATATCCTTCATACTATCTTTTTGTCCATCAATAGTTCCCTTTTCGATCGCACCTTTGATCCACGATTTCCCACTCCATTCAATAGATGACGCAACCCAAATCTTTGTTTGATTGTTTTGTGCCCAACTGAGGAAAATCTTGGTCTTAACTTTAAAAGAATTACCACTGGGGACATCGGGGGTTTGCGTGGTTTGCACTACTTGGTAACATTTCTGCGGGTCATAATCAATTAAATCATCATCAAGAAGACATTTGGTTTGTTTGGGACCAATGGATCCACCCAAAGGTTTAATATATGTGTAATGACGGTTTTTGTTCTCTTTAGTTAATCCGTGAAGACCTGACTCGTCAATATCAAAGTTCTTTTGGTCCTTGAGTACACGCACAAATTTAGAAGTATCAGGCCCAAACAATAGCAAATAAACCACACCGGGTGGTGCTTTGATTGTTTCCTCGGCAATAAACGTTTCATCTGATGCTTTCATGTACCCAGTTTCAGTAGGCGTATGTGTTGCCGGTCCAACAATTGGGAACCCGTTAAATCCTGAAGACGAGTCACCCGAAGTTTCCCCACCTCCACCACTGCCAGTAGCCACATCTGCTGACTTTGTCGTGTCCCCATTACCCTCTGACAGCTCTGCATCATCTTCCTCATCTAAAGACGTTTCATCATCGTCGTCTGACCCACCCAGATTCTCATCATCTGATGTATTTCCATCATCAGTATCAGATTGATTTTCCGCTGAGCCATTGGCATCCTTTGAACCATTTTGACCCTTTCCAGCTTTACCCAACTGTCTCGGATCAATATTTGACTGCTCCAACAACAACCGGTGCCAAACATTAGTGATTATTCTAAAGGCTGAATCACGACCTATTATACTGGCAAAGGTGTATTTCTGATGTAGGGTTTTGATAACCATACCATTGGGAAATAGACCGGCTGTTGATTTCTTTTCTATTTGAATTACTTCTTGCAAGGGGATAATTATATGTTTAATCCAACCAAGGATGTTGGAGTTGAAGCATACATAATGATCACTAAGATACATCTTCCCCTGCACAAGTATATCCTTTGAAAGAGCACAACTAAAGTCATCAATTAACTTTTCACTTTTGGGTAGTTTCTTGAATGCTTGGTGGAATTCTTTATTGCGTTTCTTTGGTGCGTGTTTAATTTTGGCATTGTAATCAATCACATTGTCAAGTTCCTCATTCTCAGACCCCGATTCGTAAACAAGTCGGTCCTGGTCCAGTGGTTTGTTAGCACCGCTTGGCCCTTGCGAATCGTTTACAGTTCCATTAGGACTGACAGCGGGAGACTGAGCATTATATGTTCTTCCATTCGAAACCAGTCGTTCTCTTGCTGGTACCAGGCCACCATTGGTTGACATTCTATGTACACGTTTAACATCCATTCCATTTGAAGTTGCTTGCAATTGGTTCCCCTGCGGTAGGTTTCGGTTGATTTGGCTAGGACTCATGGTACGCTTTATTCCTGCCCTGGCATCGTTCGACCTCTGAGAAGGTATTGAACCCATGGTTTGGATCTGGTTATTTTCAAAGTCGGCAAGTGATAAGTCCCCATTACCCATTGTATTCAAGGGAGATTCTCGGACTGGTTCGAATTGAACTGATTGAGCTGCATCGTGTTCAGCATCGGTTGAGACCCGTTGTGCGTTAGTATTAGAAGGAGACATAGAAGCACTGTCCAGAAGATGATTGGGCGTAAGAAGTTTTTCTTCCTCGTGTCTCACTGATTTGATAAAATTGTCTAGTCTCGAAGCAAACAGATGTTCCTTCTTCTTCTCCTTTTCCTCTGGTTCTTGCAAAGTGGACATCTTGTTACTTGCTGCCGCTAGGAGTGACGATATGAACCCACCTGGCTCACTCTTAGTATTTGAGTCATTAGTATTTGACTTGGACGGACTGGCATTGGTAAACGACGATTGACCTGAGTGTTGGGTATCTGAATGCGGTGCATGTAGAAACGTCCCCTTTGATGATCCAATCGTTCCTGTTCGTGACTCCTGTCGAACCACATTGACAGCAATAGCAGGATCCTGTGTTGCCTCTAAATCGTCACCGCCGAAATCTCTTAGCGAGCTGTCGTCATCATCACCATCGAGAGGTGCTATTATTTGGGGTGTGGCTTGATGCCTTTGTTGCTGTGGCGATTGTTCTGGTAATGATTGCTGTAGTGGTAATGATTGTTGTGGCAATGATGGCGATGTAGCTCTCGGTATCGATGTTGTTTGACTTCCACCATTGAATGGTCTGGTTGGCGAAGAAAGCCTATGTGCGGTTCTGGTTTTCAGTGACATACGCAATATAGATGGTCCAGAATCGATTGAAGCGCTGTCTACAGAACCACGCGATGAATGATGGGAAAATAGGTCACTGAATCGGTTTCTCTTTCTGCTTCCACCTGTATGCAGACCGTTGCTCTTGTTTGACTTGGGAGAGTTGGGTGTTTGCAAGTCCGGATTTAACAGCTTTTTTCGTTTCAGTAATATTCCCATATTTCCTCTTTGTCTCTCTCCTCTTCAATTATTTTTTATTTTTTTTCTCTCTCTTTCTTGCTCTGTGTGTGGGTGAATAGGGGGAGGGAAGCCAATGTTTGTGTTATCTTATTAGACGTAGCAATAAGCTTGAATCAGAAACGAGCCAAGAAAGCTCACGATGGATGTTGATGTTTGATGATTATAATTTCGGTTTTACAAGTTTGAAAAGAAATTAGACTAAATAAAGAAGCAAGCTTACGCAGTCTAGAATAAGGAGATGCGTCTATTGTATATATTCCAATATACAAAAGGAACTGTCGGATATAAAAGAACACACAAAACGGATATTAAATTAATTAATTCATTTAGTCTTGCTGTTGTGTATTGGTATATATGTCAATTCTATTTTGACAGTAAATACCTTTTGGTTTGTAAATGACTTACCTCATTAACAACACGGAGTCAGAAATCTGGCCCTTTCCCCATTCATCGTAGATGTAGATATTATGCGAGATGTTGTTAACACAACAACGCATTCGAAATAATAGAGTGAAAGATGCTCATCTATCGTTATCAGAGCTCAGTTTCTAGGAACAAGCATATGTCATGCATCTGTGCATCAACCTTTTCAGCATGCTCCCCTTTCTGTAGTGTGGTTCTAACTGAAAGTTATTATCGATTTTGTAACACCTATTAACCTTTGGGGACCCTGTCTCTATAGTACACTCTTGATTTTCTGCACTTTGCGTAAAATTGTTCCACTTGCTACCTCACAAACATCCCAATAGTAGTGCCTACAGCACTGAGGATACTCATAGGTATTATAAAGAAAATGACTTTTATTAAACAAAGATATACTAAAAAAGCGACGTTGAAAGAAGTGAAGAAAAAGCTAAAAGACTAATCTTTCTTGAACAATGGGTTCAACAAACCTTCGACTTGGTTGGTGATTCCCAAGTTGGAATCGTAATCAATATTGAAAACAGAAACAGCTGAAGCACAGTTGGTATGTTCGACAATCAAGTTTTCTGATGGTAAAGAGCAGTCACCGTTGTTGCAAACGGTGAGAGCTTGCCAGCTGGTTTGAGCGTATTCAAACAAGTTTGATGTAGCATTGAACTTCAAGTCTGCACCGCTAGCATATTGACCAGTTAATCTAGTGTAAACCCATGCTGGGTCAGAACAAGATTCATTTTGGTAACCGACTTTTGGGAAGTTGACATTCAAACCAACACCAAGTGGTAAAGCTCTTGAGTTGTCTCCTTGAGCTTTGAACAATTGTTCAACAAATTCGGTAACCTTGTTGGCGTAAATGGTAGATGGCTCGCTGGTATCATTCAAGTCCAAGGAATCCTTAAAGAATGAGTTGTTGGAGTTGGAACCACTGAAAGCAACAGCTGGGTATCCTCTGTAGACGGAGTTGTAAGTAGCACCAATAGTTCCTGACAAAGTAAACATGCCTGGAGACATGTTGGTACCTTCATTTGGTCCAGCAACAACTAAATCAATGGTGATGTTGTTGAACTTTTCTGGAACAACGTATTGCAAACCGAAAGCAATTGATGAAGCTGGAGTACCATTGAAATACCAAATATGATCATCGTCTTCTTCGTGACCCCAAGATGGAGAGCCTGCAGGTGGGTATTTGAATTCACCATCAGTTTGCAAAGTTGCAGAAGTTGGGATATCAAATTTACCACCAAAACCTGATCTTTGCGAAACAGGCGCAACCAAAAACACATTGTGGCCAGCCTCTTTCAATTTGTAGTAAGTGGCTCTAATGTTGGTTGCTTGCCAACCATCATCGTTACTCAAGATGATGTTTTTAGCAATAACAGCAGCAGCGAGGAACAAAAGAATTGAGTGGGTCAAGAATTGCATCGTGTTGGATCTTGAAGGTGGGCGGAGT